CAACTGCTCTTCGAGGGGCCGGGGCCTGGGCCTGGGGTTCGCTCTGTGACCATGCCTGCGCTTCTCTCCCCACCCCAGTGAGGGCAACCTCCTTCTCCTGAACGAGGCTCTGACGAAGCACGAGACCTTTTTTATTCGCTGTGGTATCTTCCTTATTCTGGAGAAGCTGAAGATCATCACCTACAGGAATCTTTTTAAGAAAGTGTAAGCGAAGTATTTCTTAAAATAAGTTTAAACTCTTAGTATGACTCATGCAGTAGAGTTGTCAGGTTATGAAAACTGTTACAGTAACAGGTGCTGTGTTTTCTGAGATGGGGATGTCAGTCTCTGTGGACAGGTCCCATCACTGTCCCTTTAATTGTGTGGAATAAAATCAGACTTCCCTGGCCCACCCATTGCCTCACAGGCCTTGGTGCTGCACAGGTGAGTGCTGAGCAGAGGCTCACCTGTGGGAGGAATTACTCAGGTGATGAGTGGTGAGAGAACTTTGTAATAAGTATTTTAAAACGCCAGCCCTAAGAATAAGATATTTCACATTTTATCAGAGTGTGTAGGACTAATTGTTCATTTCCTTTATTCATAATTAACCAAGCCTCCCTCTGCCATTCCTATCTGTCGGAAAGTTGAATTCTTCCGCAGTTGTGTTTTTCTTGCATGTAACACTGGAAGTTGACTCTTCTCCAAGGCCTAGTCCCAACAGGATCTCAGTTAATTAAACTTCAAACAAAGGCAGGCTTTATATTGCTCTGGGTAGATTTCAGAGATGTTAAAATGTGAAAATACCTGATTCTTAGGTGCAATGAAATATTCAGTAAATATAAAAAATTGTATTTGTATCAGTGGCTATTTAAAATTGAGAAGTCAAAACTATATTTAATAGCTCTTATTTAATAGGTGGATTTAATAGGTGGAAGTTTTTTTGTATTTAATAGGTGGAAGTTTTTCCCATTCCTTTTGAACAGTAGTTTATTGAAAGGTGTGTGTTCCACTGACTCAGTCAATGTGCCTTTTCTCAACCTTTGAAGTATTTGCACCCTGTTGGTAACTACTGTGGACCTTTGTTTCCCTCTTGCAGGTACTTGTTACTCAAAACACACCAGTTATCTTTGGATGCTTTTCTAGTTGCCTTGAAGTTCATGCAGGTGGAAGACGTGGACATTGATGAAGTCCAGTGTATTCTGGCCAACCTGATATATATGGTGTGTGAGCCCCGTGGTTCAGCCAAGGACCTGGTCTAGAATGTGAAGCGTGGGTGTAGTGTCGTTACAGTTGTTATCCGGCCCTTTGCTTTTGTGAAGGAATTTTCTGATAGAACTAATTTTACCCCAGGAAATACCATGATTATCAAGGGGCTTTATAGGGGGTTAGGGTGGCTAGATATAATGTATATTTCTATATTTTCCATGTATATTTATTCATTGTCCTTCCAGTGACTTGAATCTATGATTGTGTCAGGATGCTTATGCCATAGGACTAAGTATTCAGCTCATTCAGCATCAGTGATGTGACTCAAACATAAGCCAACCCTCTGTTTTTCTCCCACAGGGTCACATTAAAGGCTATATATCGCATCAGCATCAGAAGCTAGTTGTTAGCAAGCAAAACCCATTTCCTCCGCTATCTACAGTGTGCTGAATATATGAACAGTCCTGAGAAGGAGTGTGTTCCTCAAGTTTTTATCATACTGATGAATTCAGTACTTTGCTGTGGTGTGATTTTCTACAGCAGGAATTTCTTTGGGGCTCTTTTCCCAGGGATGCCGAGACTGAGTTTGCAGCATACATAGTCACCTTGAAGCTTCCTCATCACTCATGACTAATGGCGACCTCACGGAGTCTTGGAATTCTTTCTGCAAACGTTGCGGACACCTCCTTTGGGTCTGGAGTGTTGGTGGCTCTTCTGTGCAGGAGGCTCTGTCTCCAAGGCAGCTATAGTTTATTTCTCATAAGAATTATTCCTAAATACATGTTTGTAACTTTTTATATAATTTGTTCTATAACAAAGGCATTCTGAATGTATTCAAGTGATATATTTTTTATTGTATCTTCTGAGAAACCAAATTTTGCTAAGATTTTAAAATTCACTCTTGTTCCCCCACTGTTCTTAGCATTAGTCTGTGTTTGATTAGCATATTTATTATTTTTTAATTAAAAAAATTTTTTTTTATTGTTCAAATACATTTGTCTTCATTTTCTAGCCACCACTTTCCCCTGCTCCACCCACCCCCACCTCCCACCCTCAATCCTTCCCCTTCTTTTCCCCTTTGCCCCTCTCTCTTCCCTCTCATTACTGTCAGTTCTTTTTTCTTTCAATGTAGTTGCTGGTTATATTTTCCTTGCATGTTTGTTTTGTTGATTAGGTTCCACTTATAGGTGAGATCATATGGTATTTGTCTTTCACCACCCGGTTTATTTCATTTAGCATAATGTTCTCCAGTTCCATCCATGCTGTTGCGAAGGGTGGTAGTTCTTTCTGCTGTGTTGTATTCCACTGCGTAAATGTACCATAGTTTTTTGATCCACTCATTTACTGATGGGCACTTAGGTTACTTCCAGCACTTGGCTATTGTAAATTGTGTTGCTATGAACATTGGGGTGCATAGGTTCTTTTGAATTGGTGTCTTGAGATTCTTAGGGTATAATCCCAGCATTGAAATTGCTGGGTCAAAAGGCAGTTCCATTTTTAGCTTTTCGAGGAAATTCCAAACTTTCCAACAGTGGCTGCACCAGTCTGCATTCCCATCAGCAATGTACTAGGGTTCCCATTTCTCCACAACCTCGCCAGCACTTGTTGTTTGTTGATTTGTTTATGATGACCATTCTGATCAATGTGAAGTAGTGTCTCATTGTGGTTTTAATCTGCATTTCTCTGATGGCTGGTGATGCTGAGCATCCTTTCATATGGCTCTGGGCCCTGTGTATGTCCTCCTTGGAGAAGTGTCTGTTCAGGTCCTTTGCCCATTTTTTAATTGGGTTGTTTGTCTTCCTGGAGTGGAGTTGGGTGAGTTCTTTATATATTTTGGAGGTCAAACTCCTGTCCAAGGTATCATTGGCAAATATATTGTCCCATGCAGCTGGTTCCCTTATCATTCTGCTGATGTTTTCTTTAGCCATGCAGAAACTTCTTATTTTGATGAAGTCCCATTTGTTTATTCTTTCCTTTATGTCCCTTGCTCTAGGTGACATATCGGTGAAAATATTGCTGTGTGGGATATTGCAAGTTTCCTGCCTATTTCTCCTCTAGGACTTTTATGGTGTCGTGACTTATATTTAAGTCTTTTATCCATCTTGAGTTTATTTTTGTGTATGGTGTAAGTTGGTGGTCGAATTTCAATTTTTTGCATGCAGCTATCCAGTTCTCCCAACACCATTTGTTGAAGAGGCTATTTTTATTCCATTTTATGCTTCTGTCCCCTTTGTTGAATATTAATTGCCCATAGAGACATGGGTTTATTTCTGAGCTCTCTATTCTGTTCCATTGAGCTATGTGTCTGTTCTTATGCCAGCACCAGACTGTTTTGATTACAGTGGCCTTGTAATATAGTTTGATGTCAGGTATTGTAATCCCTCCTACTTTGTTCTTCTTTCTCAAAATTGCTGCAGCTGTTCGGAGTCCTTTATGGTTCCATAATATTTTTTGAATTTTTTATTGTATTTTTTATCACCATTTAATCTCCTACCCCTTTTATCCTTGAAATTACCAGCTGTTGTCTGTGTCCATGAGTCCTTTCTCCTTTCTGCTCAATTCCTCCACCCCCTGACCTCCCCCACCCTGGGCATATTTATTTTTGCCAAAGTCCTTTCAGAGAAATGGGCCAGGGCACCTGCAGATTGGCAAAAAAAAAAAAAAGTTATTCTGGGTGTAAAATATAATGTTAGAAATGAAAGAGATAGATAGAAATGAAAGAGTATTTAATACCTATAAGACTTAAACATCTGAATTGTGTTTAAATTCCCTGCCTTTCGCTCAAAGGAGTATTTAAATCAACTCACATTTTTAATCCCTTTAGAAAAAATCCCCTTTACAACTCTGTATAACGAGGCCCCAGCAGACCACTGTTCCCCTTGCATGTGCGTCTGGAGTTAGAGCTGCCCTCTCTACCCGTCTTCTGGTCTACAGAGCAGTTTGTAGAAGCTGTTTTATTTCACTCAAGGGAAATGCAGGACTGGAAATTATATGCATGTAATCGAGGAGCAGTTTTGCTACTTCCTAAGTAAGAGTGAAGAGATTAATTTAAAAGTGAGTATCATTTCTATTTTTTGCTCTCACTTTTCATTTTTGCACTCACTTTTCATTTTTCATTTTCAAACTTGTACCCTGATGTGGAGTTCTGGTCTGCAAGGGAGCACAGTTTTGGGCTGAGTTCTGAGTTCTATCTTTTACTTGTATTGAAGCTGCAGTCTTCACGGTGGCAATAGAAAAATCACTGTGATTCACACTTCTAATTTTTAACTCAGCTCCCTTTGGTAGATGATGTTATTATTCCATTTAGAGCCCAGGGGAGAGGCAAGGAGGCGCAGTTAAGTAACTGCGAGTCCGCTAGCTGGTTGAGAAGCAGAACTGAGAGGCTGAGCACCAGCCCTGATCCAAGGGGTCCCTGGACCCTGTCTGGGAGGTTTCCCTCCATGAAGTGCCTCTCCGAGCATACAGCCCTGTGTAAAGGCCCCCCTCTTCTTTTAGCCTCTCTTGTGCTTCCTGATCCTTTCTCTAAGACTATATAACATACTCCACTCAGTGTTATTTTCTTCTCCCGGGCTGACTCTCTTCTAGTTGCTTCTTCGAACACCACGCAATGCTTTCACTCACACAAGCAGTCAGCGGCCCTGGCACAACTATGAGGCCATTCTTTGTATCTAGCAATTCTTAGAAGCTTTCATCCCAAAGACATATACTCACTAAGCATATGTTTATTGTTATATGAAGTGACATTCATTGACTCGATAGTATTGGAAATCAGTAGACTTAGAAAAGGAGAGGATTTTAAGAAAATGGGCTGTTAGGACTGACAGATAGGTTTTTATTGTTTAATGTATCTCCCATTTTCTTAAGGTCTCTGTTTAGATCAAAAGTCCCAAGGAAAGAACTTTTTACAGTACTCAGTAATGATTTCATAAGCCAGTGATTTTCAACTTCTTCATCTCATGGCAAACATAAGCTAATTACTAAAATTCTGTGGCACACCAAAAAATTTATTTTTGGCCGATCTGACAAAAAATAGTTTTGATTCATTCACACCGGATGGCTATTGTTGTGTTGGCTGTTGACATTTTTTTATTTAACAGTCTTAAGAGGAAAGAGGTCAGTGCCTCTGACCAAATAGGTTATTGCATGTTTTAAAAATTCCTGTGGCACACCAGTTGAAAATCACAGTCATAAGCAGTAACCGATGGTTTGTTGATGGAATTGTTCTGAAGCAGTCACAACCGTTTTGCTGTGAAATTTCAGTTTAATTCCATGCTTGCAGTTAAAATGTGCCACCACATACTGTATTCTTTCTCAGTAGCTGCGTTTAGTCACTTCATGATTTGTCGAAACCAGAGTGAATATCTTGAAACCTTGGTGAGCAGAAACTCCTGTGTGTGCCCTCTGGACTCTTGGGCGGGCGCCAAGCACAGAACCCCTGTCAGGAACCAGGTGCCTTTGTGTTTTCTGGCGACCACGCTGCCCTCCGCCCACTGCGCCCCTCCAGCCATCGCTCCTCTCTCGCAGTATGTCCTCGTCGTCACTGTCACATTAAGGGCTGTCCCACACTCCTCGCTGTCCATGTGCATGACTGGCAGCTGCATCGGAGCGTTGCCCAGCTCGGAGCCATTCAGTCTCCAGCCAATGAGGAGGCCCTGTGTCGCAGGGATGAGGATGCCCTCTGCGAAGTCGCTCTCTGGCATACAGATGGAGAGCCCCATGTCTGGGCACTGGATGGGCACCTCTAGCTCCAACAGCGAAATGTCATTGTCCCCCGTCTCTTCCTCGTACCTCATGTGCACATGGATGCTCTTCACCTTTACTGTCAGTGGGTCCTTGCTCAGCCTATGAAAACCTGAAATAATGGGCAATCACTGGTTTCTGAAGTCAAGGTTGCAGTAATAAGAGACTCATTTCTCAGTGAACCATGTGACCAGGCAGAGGCTGGGCACGACAGACTGCCACGGCTAATTGCACTGATCCCCTTTCTTCATCTGTGGATTGAAGGGCAGTCACGGAACGAAGCATTTCAGCTAATCCCTCATTCTCTTTTTAAAAAATCAAAATGAGTTATTTTGGTGAAATGGTCAAAAAAGTAGGAAGAAACTATGAGGAACTTTTTCAAGCTTACCAAAACTTGGCTGTTTAGAAGTAGTTTTTCAGGCTGACATTTTGTTGACTGAAAAATAGTCAAGGATGAGGAGTGAAATACATTAAGGTTCTTCAGAATCATTATAGAACACTTTCTCTGATTATCATTGAAACTACGTGACCTCCCTGCTGGATAGAAATTACTGCCCAGTTTTCTCTGATGAGAAACTAGGGACAGGCAAGGTAGATGGTGAGCCCCACATCACAGCCATGGTCTTGGGTGACGGGGGAATCTGAACCCAGATCTACTGACTTATAGTCAGTTATATGTTTTTTTTAGCACAGCCACTCCATTTCAGTGTCAAGTTAAGTTATATTTTTATTGGCTGTGATTTCCTCAGACTGAATATTAGCATTTGCTTACTTGTTAGACCTAGACATTCCACCAGGTATTTTACATATGCTTTCTCACTTTATATGTATCTCAGTAGTATTGAAGCTAAATTCAGTTCTGTATTGCATTAAAAACAAAATTCGAGGGCTAAAAATTTCATTCTACATAGGATAGCATTTATTCCCACTGTGATCTTATGAAAATGAGTGCCAAAATACTTACTTGTTTTCACACTAATATTTCTGTGTAACAGTGAACACTTCGCTGTTGTCAGCACAAAATTTCCCTGTATTATAACACCACCACAGAAGTCTTGTCCTTTGGAATTTGTTAGTTTTACCTTAAAAAACCAAAACACAATAAATAACCAGTGACAGTTGGCAGGGTTAGGGGCAACATAAGTCAATGCTTAAGAACATGAGCCCCAAAGACAGCCGTTGAGGGAGTATATCAGCGGAAGGTGCGCCAGGCTGTGAGGGAGCAAAGATGGACCCTGTGTCCTAAAGCAGCCGCTAAACCAAACAATTCTAGCTAATAAGCTAACGAGGAAGCTGAAATGGAATTATAAAAAATACATAAGTAATCCAAAAGAAGGCAGAAAAATGGAAAAAACATATGGGAAAAATAGGAAACAAACAGCAAAATTACGAGTCTATACCTATGTAAAAAAGTATAAAGTGGTCTAAGTACTCCAATTAAAAGGCAGGGATTTGTTAGATTGGATAAAACAAAGCCAATTATATACTGCCTATAAAAGACACTTTAAATATAAATATAATTTACAAGTAAAAGATTGGAGAAAAACTACATGTTAACACTAATAAGTAGTGTTAACACCAGACATGGGGGATTTCAGAGCAAAAATATTACCAGGGATATAAAACAGATAAAATGTGAGATTATTCTGAGGATTAAATGAAATAAAACATGCACTCTTATAGCACAAGTGCTCGCTCAAGAAATGTTAATTATAGTTTTTAGTAGCTTAGTAAAGTGAAAAATGCTGAGCAAAGTGAAAGTTTTTCAAATTTAAGGTAGCTTCATTTCTGGGAATCAAGTGCTTATTAGTAATAGTTGCCGTTTATTGACTACATAAGTCAGGTATATTGTCTTTAATCCTCACTACAACTCTGGTATTACTATCTTTATTTTGTAGGTAGATAAAACCAAATTTGAGGGAAGATGGCATTTTCAGCATGAACAATAATCCTAGCTCGAGGACTACAAACAATCTAAGCTTGTAGTAAAATGCAGTGGAACACAGTGGCAATTTCTTATCTAGAATGTAAGAAACAAATTGCAAAGCTAACTTTCAACTTCACATCCTAGTCCAATAAATTCAGTTAAATAACTCAAGAACTATTTATTATGCCAGAATAAAAATCTAATGGTGTTTAACTTGCATAAATCGATGTGTCTCTAAATGCGTTTGATTTGTATGTAGAGAATGCTCACCTCACACTCCCGGTCCCATTGGTACCAACACTACTTCCACAGATGAAAATGGCCGCTAAGATTCCCCTGAAGGGACTGGGAGACTGAAGATGTGCATTGGCAGAACCAGACCGCCACTGCCATTCACGAAGGTGGGATTGCACACGGTCATTCCTCAGCCCCCCACCGCCCCGCATTCTGAGGCTTGCCTTGGCGCGCTGACGGGCAGATGACGATAATAATGCAAGTATGAATAGTGGGTCTCAGAAAGCGTAAGGAGAAAAAGCAACGGACGATAGTGTTCCCCAGCGGATAACGAGACCATTCTGGTTTTGTCCCTTTCCGTCATTTTATCTCCACTCAGTCTCCTCTCAAATCTGGATCATTAGAGTAGTCACTGAGCTCTGTTCGATTGTCTGTCCTGGCCTCCACATGGCAGCCAAATGACTCCGCTGGCTAAACTGGCTTTTAGGCATCAGGCTGAAATAAAAGTGTTAGGCACAACCCATGTGAGGCTTATTACTCACAGACGCTCTAAAGAAACTTCTAAAGCTGAGCTGTCCAACATGGTAGTCACATGCGGTTACTGAGCATTTGAGATGTGACTGGTCCAAAGCAGGATGTTCAAGTGTGAAATACAACCCAGATGTCAAAGATTTAGTAATGGAGACAAGATGTAAGCATGTTAATTTTTTATATTCGTTGCATGTTGAAATAATAGTATTTAGACTTATTGGAGTAATTAAGTACTTTATCCAAAATCATGTCATCTGTTTTACTTTCATTAGTGTGACTAGGAAATTTCAGTCACATGTGTGGCTTACATTATATTTCTATTGACAGGGTTGTTCTAAAGGTATTTCAAGCAAAAGGAGATGACCTGCATTAAAGGCAAGGACAATGGAAGCCATAAGTAAATAAAAACCCACATTGATGATATAAGCTATAATAATAAAAATAATACCTATTTCATGGAGTTGTTAAAAAAGAAAGAAAAGAATAAAGTACTGGTTTAAATAGCAGATGAGCCTAGTGTGAGGTGCTTGAAATAATTTGGGGGGACAGTAAAAACACTAACTTTATATATTAGGGAGTTAAAAGTGAATGTTTAAATGTCAAGAGTGACCATTAAATAGAAATATAATAGAATGTTTGACTTCTAAGCCAATCAAGGGGGGAAACTGGACAATAACAAAAATGAGTACAATGAAGAGAGAATTTCTGCACACAGTGGAGCTGGAGTGCTGGCTACGTGGCTGGGGAGTGGAGCCTGTGTCCTTAACTCTGGCCACCTGCCTTTCCCATGGTCACTTGCCGGACCCCGTGTCAACTCATCCGTCCAAGTGCAACTTCAGGATGTCTATGTTCTGAGAGAAATGACACTGGGGACAGTTTTTAAACTCCATAAGAAGACAGCTGAAGTTGTGACCTCAGCATTAGAAAGTGCTCTGAATTACGACGGCAGGATTAGTAGTAAATAGCTCACCTAAACCAGGATGCCTCTTCCTCTTTAGTCACGTTCCTATTTGGTTGGCAAAGAAGATGGAAATAACAAGCCGGATGAAATGTGTAACAAAAAGTTAAAACATGTTTACAAAACGTTTATTACCTGCCATGGGAAAACTTGAAGACTCTGCCTGCTTTTCTGCACTGTCCTGATGCATTCAGAATTCAGGATGCCACAGGCACACTTGTCTGCATTTATGGTGACGACATAAGAAAAGTCAGTGCCTTCCGAATCGAACATCAGGTTTCATCTGCTGGAATGGTGCTAACTACTTGCTCCTGATTTCTCAGTGCCCATTATTTTGACCTAACTCATGGACACGGAGCATAATTAAGTCACCTGCTCTCAATCCTGTGGGTTGGCCAAGATACTGCTGTGATGCAGGCAAGGTCCCACACGGAAGCAAGGAGGGCTGGCCGAGGCCTGGTCACGCCCCCTCTCCTGGAGAAGAGGGGGCTTTTCAAACGTTATTATAGGAGAAGGAGGGGTGTGGATGGGAGCCAACTGGGCAGGAAAGAGAGAGGCCACCTTTTCCCATTTCTAACTGGTTGCGAACTCACCATGAGGGATGCACGATTTGCGGTCTTGGTCCAGCTTATACCCCTTGGCACAACTGCACGTGTAGGAGTCCTGTCCCGGGTGGCAAAAGTGTTGACATCCATCAGTCCTCAATGGGTGACATTCATTTTTAGCTGAAAAAACCAAAAAACAAAACAAAACAAAACAAAAACAGGGAAAACCAGGAGTGCTAACATGGAAAGAGTCGTTTCCTTGTTAAATTTCCTTGCGCCTTGGGATTCTGGTTTTTTTCTGTCCAAATGTTCTCGTTCTTTTCAGACTTTTGGTTCCAAGCATTCCTCACACTTCCACCTTTGGGAACGTGCATGGAGAAATCAAAGGCTGAGTGAGTGACAATCCTTGTATTTGTGCTCAGGAAAGGTGACTTGGTCGTGGAAGTGTGTGCATATGTACTGCAAGGCTTCTCTCCACTTCCCTAGCTGTGTGTGCTCACTTGTGGTCAGCTTTCACTTCCTGCTGCAGTCGAGGCGGGGATGTGGGGTGGGAGGCTCCTGGCGTGACTCCACATGGGTGGTGGAGCAGCTGGGATGGGGGGAAGGGACACGTGTGGGGTGGAGGTCAAAAACTTGCTTCGGTACATGTTAAGTCTGGGGTGTCTGCAAAACATTACATGGGGTTCTCAAGGTGGCAATTAGAGTGGAGAGCTGGACTTCAAGGAGAGATCTGGGCTGGAAATATTTTTCCCTAGAAAATTGACTCTATATTGACCAGAGACATTGAAAGGATTATGTGAATTTATTTCTATATCTGATCATTATTGGTAGGAAATTGGTTCCTCCCTATCCCACAAGTAAATTTTGTTTTTAATTTACTTGTTTTAAGGAACATTAGTTCCCATGTGCCTACCTCTGAGCCAGCCTATGTGTGATTTGCCCTTAAAGGTGAACCCTCCAGGTCCCCTCTTCCCTTCTTGGGATGGGTCTGGTTCCAGGAATTCTCCAGAGCAGATTGTGAATGGTTTAGGTGGGAGTGGGTTCGGGAGGACGAGGAGGAGCCTCGCAGCCAATGGGACCATGGGGAGGCGTGTTTGGAAGGTAGGAGGGCCTGTCACAGGATGGTGTAGGTGGAGAATGCAGACAGCACTGGGTTCCCACAGGCACCCTTTGTTCACTCCTGGGAGCCCATCACTGTGTGGTGGGGGTGGGTCAGGGCAGGTGGGGGCTCACCAAAGGCGCAGTCCCTGCCCTCGTAGCCTGAGGGGCAAGTGCAGGTGTAGCTGCGGATGTTGTCCTGGCACGACCCGTTGTTGAGGCAGGGCTGAGAGCGGCACGGGGAGCCATCTGCCAAAGAGTTGTGAGAAACTTGTGCAGGTGGCATCACCTGGGCCCTCCTGACAGCCCCTGGCCCTGCTGCCCCGGACACCAGGAGGCGGGGTCAGGCTGCCGGGTGCACCTCCTGTCCCTGGGGTCCCATCCCTACCCCGTGTGCCTGTGATGTTTGCCTAAGTTCCCTTCCTTAGCCTCTCTTTCTTTGCCGCGCAACCTCCATGACTGGTGACTGTCGCTGGCTGCCCCAGCTCTTCACCTGATTCCCCTCACCCATCCCTTCAGCCCCCAGTCACTGTGGTCTCTGGGGGCCCCACCCACAGGGACGCCCAGCTTCCCCCCAAATTAACCAGAGTCCGATCCTTCGGCTAGAGGCCCCAGGGAGCCTGGGAGGCCACAGGAATGAGAGGAGCTGCTCTGCATGGGGGACCCCCGGCTTCTGCCACCCAAGGCCCCGAGGGAGCTTCTCCCTGACCCTGGCATAACCTTGGGAACTTCCCCACCCTCGTCCTCGTGCTTGTCCTCAGGGGCTGTCCAAGCACCGAAGGTTTGAATGTGCAATGCCTTACCTCATCTCAAGGGAAAAGAAGAGGAACTCACCCTTGCAAGAGTTGAGGAAAGCCACTTACCCATATACCTCTTCCAAAAGTCAACCTGTAAAATAAAAAGTGTTGGAAATAGATTGTTTCTTGATATTTGCTCCTGGAGATTGGCTTAAAGAAAATGTTGATTTTATCCACTTTATAGGAACATATGGATTGAAATAAAGTGCAAAATTCTTTACTTAATACCCTATTTGATATACATGGAACATATCCTAATTCATGTGTATTTACTGTAACCGATTAAAGGAAGGAGAAATAATAGTCTGTGATGTGCCACCCACACCGTGGCCACAGCCTCCCAAGGCCACTTCCCTCCCCCGGGGCAGCCTTCATTAGTGTCCTTGCTCTGTGGAGGGCATAATGTAAATAAAAAATTAACATCACTTTTTTATAAGCCAGTTAAACATCGATTAAACAATTAAAAGTGTGTATGTGTGTGTGGGAAGTTGGTTTTGGTGGGGGTATCTAAAATCAGGAGAATTATTCAGAATTAAAGCCTAGAAAGTAAACAAGTGATTGTATCTCTCTAATCATATTTAGACTTGTAACAACCTGAATGATGTCACAAGTACAAATTAAACACAGTTTTCCGGCTAGACCCAGAGGGTATTATGCTAAGTGATAAGTCAGGCAGAGAAAGACAAATACCATATGATTTAACTTACATGTGGAATCTAAAGGACACAAAATAAATGAACAAACAAAACAGAAACAGTCTCCAGTGGAACAGAATAGAAAGCCCAGAAATAAGCCCAGGACTCTATGGACATCTAATATTTGACAAAGGGGGCAGAAGCATAAAATGGGGCAATAACAGCCTCTTCAACAAATGGTGTTGGGAGAGCTGGATGGCTACATGCAAAAAATTGAAATTGGATCATCAGCTGACACCATACACAAAAATAAACTCAAGATGGATAAAAGACTTAAATATAAGTCGCAACACCATCAAAGTCCTAGAGGAGAACATTGGCAGGAAACTCTCAGATATCCCACGCAGCAATTTTTTCACTGATATGTCTCCTAAAGCAAGGGACATAAAGGAAAGAATAAACAAGTGGGACCTCATCAAAATAAGAAGCTTCTGCACGGCTAAAGAAAACATCAGCAAAATGAAAAGGGAGCCAACCATTTGGGAAAATATATTTGCTAATGATACATCAGATAGAGGTTTGATCTCCAAGATATACAAAGAACTCACTCGACTTTACTCCAAGAAGACAAACGATCCAATCAAAAAATGGGCAAAGGACCTGGGCAGATGCTTTTCTAAGGAGGAGATACAGAGGGCCCAGAGGCATTTGAAAGGATGCTCTGCATCACTAGCCATCAGAGAAATGCAGAGCAAAACCACCATGAGGTACCACCTCACACCGGTCAGAATGGCCATCATAAACAGATCCACAAACAACAGGTGCTGGCGAGGCTGTGGAGAAAAGGGAACTCTAGTCCACTGTTGGTGGGAATGCAGACTGGTGCAGCCACTATGGAAAGCAGTGTGGAATTTCCTCAGAAAGCTGAAAATGGAACTGCCTTTTGATCCAGCGATTCCCCTGCTGGGACTATACCCTGAGAACACCAAAACGCCAATACAAAAGAACCTATGCACTCCAATGTTCATAGCAGCACAATTTACAATAGCCAAGTGTTGGAAGCAACCTAAATGCCCATCAGTAGATGACTGGATCAAAAAATTATGGTACATATACACAATGGAATACTACGCAGCAGAAAGAAAAAAGAAGTACTAAACTTTGCGACAGCATGGATGGAACTGGAGAGCATCATGCTAAGCGAAATAAGCCAGGGGGTGAAAGACAAATACCATATGATCTCACCTATAAGCGGAACCTAACCAACAATGCAAAGAAGCAAGGAAAATATGACCAGCAACACTGAAAGGAAAATAAATCAACAGAGACAAGAGGGAAGGGGGGGCAGGGAAAGGGAAGGGAAGGGGAAAGTCAAGGAACATATAGCAAGGACTCATGGACAAAACCAAAGGGGAAGAGCTGAGGGAGGGAAGGTGGGAGGGGGCAAGGGAAAGAGGTGGGGGGAAGGCAGAGACAAATGTATTTAAAAAGTAAATAAATTAATTAAAAAACAAACAAACAAACAAACAAAAAAACAGAAACAGTCTCATAGATAACAGACATAGACATAGATATAGAGAACAGACTGATGGTTGCCAGGTGAGTGGAGAGTTGGGGAACTTGGTGAAAAAGGTGAAGGGATTAAGGAGTACAAATTGGTAGTTATAATATAGTCATGGGGATGTAAAGTACAGTATAGAGAATATAGTGAATAATATTGTAGTAACTATGGATGGTGTTAGATGGGTACTAGGTTTATCAGTAGGACCACTTTGTAAATTATATAAATGTCTAACTACTATGCTGTACACCTGAAACTAATATAAACTAATATTGAATGTCAACGGTAATTGAAAAATAAAAATCCTCCACAATTTTCCCTTTACCAGAAAGTTTTGATTTCTCCTAGTTTTATTAAAGATGGACTATTTCAGAAGAGTTCTCTGATATATAAGCATGTAAAAATGATTTTTAGAATATTTTAAAAATACTTCCTGACTTGTGTGGCTCAGTTGGTTGGAGCATCATCCTGTGCACTGAAAGGTTGTGGGTTTGATTCCCCATCAGGACACGTAGGTGTCGGGCTAGATCCCCAGTGGGAGGCAACCAATCGATGTTTCTCTCTCACATTGATGATTCTCTCTTTCCCCCTTCATCCCCTTCCTCTCTCTCTAAGAGCAATGAAAAAATGTCCTCAGGTGAGGATAAAACATAAAAATAAAAATATTTTTAAAATATACTAGAGAAACAGGTTGATATGTTATTCAGAATAACTTTAATTATTATTACTGTTATATGTAAAACTAGGAAGTTTTTATTAAATATTTTACTATTCTGAAATACTTACAAATATTCAGCCTGTCAGTTTTGACTTCTTTATCTTCTGATAAGCTTATGAGTAAGTAAGAATGATTTGCCTATATTATTTAGCTTTTTAATTAAAATTATAGATTATGTAGTTGCTTTTTATTCAAGTTATAGATTATGAGAGATTTTTCTCACTATGTAGGCACTCTAGAGAGGATTTTGTTTCTTAAAAATATGCTGATATATTGACACAATTAAGTCTCTATTAAAAATACCAAATTCTGTCAGAGTCATGTCAAGCTGAGTGATGTTTGTGATGAGTAAATTAAATCAATGTGCTAATTTGCTTAACAGAAAAAGAGTTGAAGGGTGTGGAACTGAGTTAATATCTGAGTCCCCTTCTTACTAGACGCAGAAAATCATTTTACTGCTCTCTGTTTCCTCATCTGTAAAACTAGGATTTTGCCACCTCACAAGTAAACAAGTTATAAATTTAGCTTAGTCTCTTTGAGAAATTATGCCCTTGAAGACAGCAGAAATTTGAATAACCAAAAAGTATGTGAGTTCCCGGTGGGAGTACATACAGTGATCGCGTCGTTTTCAAATACTTCTCTTGCTTCTTCATAGACACAAATCTCTTCGTAACATTCTTTTTCCAAATTTCCCTGAAAGAGCTCTTCCAAAAGATAGGAGCCAGCACGCTTCCATCTTACCAGAACATCATTTGCTTTTGAGGCAGAAAGAAAGACTATGGAGCGAGATAATAATGTAAGTACTGTCATCGTGGATGGACTTCCTCGAGAATTGTGAAGCCTGCTTCAGGGGGGTCAGAGTACATGGTGCTGCGACTACATGACGTCCATCTGTGGCCTGGCCACCGCTTTTCCTGTCCCCACTAGACCAGGCTCAACTTCTTTCATGCCTGCTTCTTCCTGGGCATCTCTTCTGTGAGAACCCCAAGGGACACCATTTCCAATATATTTGTCATGGATGATAAAGAGACCAGAAGGGCTCTTTTGGGAGCTGAGTTAAGACCTGCTGGTCACTCAGGGGTTCCTCTATCCTCTGAAAAGCCCCCTGACCAAACTCACACTGTCCAGGAGGACACAGGAAGCAGACACCAACCTGAGGGCTCGGCGCAGTGGAGGACCAGGAGGAACAGGAGCAGCTGGACACAGCCCGCCATTCTGACCACTGCCCTGGGACAGGTCTGTAAACACAGGGGCCGAAGTCCGTCCTGGGCACGCTCACAGCGCAGCAGCGCTGCTGAAAACGACCACCAGCCCTAAAATGTGGAGCCAAGCAGGAGACAGAAGCCAGAAGTGAGAAAAGTGTTTCCTGCTAAGAGGACATTTCACATGGAATTTTATTGCATAAACTCATTGTTCTAAATATATGCTGCAGTTGTGCATTTTTCTGTTTAAGGGAAAGATGGGAAAGGAAAGGCAGAGGAATGAAAAGCCAAAGCAAAGAGGGCTTGGGGAGATATTTAGGAGACAGAGAACTGGATAGACTTCTTGGGGGTGAAGTCAGGAGGTCCTGTCCAAGGAAATAGGGCACTAGAACTAGAGAAAGCGATCCCTCCTCACACTCGTACACAGCCTAAGTAACAAGCATGGGTGGGCTTCCACCCCAAGCTACCATCCCCGGCCTGGGGAGGCTGCAGTGAGCAGGACAGTGGCCTGGAGCCTACATTTTAGGTGTGTGTGGGAGGGCAAGAAATAATGTCATATTTCACTATCAGGAAGAGCTGATTAGCAGGCAGAGGGCAAAGCGGGCACTATTTCAAACAAGCCGGTCACAGAGGCTCCCTTTGGAAGAGGAATCTGAACACAGTGAGCTTCATGAGCCTTATGGGATGTGGGGGTTGGGGCAGAGGTGGCCAACAGCCCTGAGATATTAGGGGGCGCTGCTGCCTGGAGCACAGCGTGGAGGAGGGCATCCACAGGAGGGCAGCAGAGGACCTGAGATCACAGACAATTCGCATTTAAATTGGATGGGCCAGGGGTCAGCAAGCTTCTCTGTAAATGGCTGGAGAGGAAACCTCAGCCCTGGGGCCTCACCTAGTTCTACGTGAAACAAGCCCAGCCAGGTTTCCTGGAACACCAGTGCCACATGGAAGAGTGGACCTAGGTTATAAGAACCAAGTATGTCCTTGAACTGAGAATCACCCTCAGCGCCACAAGGTGATTAAATACTCTGAGGGGTCAACACACCCACGCTCCCCCCTCTACTGATTCCTGGCCACACACTCACCAAGTGGATCAGCACCAGGGACTGACCCCCAGTGGATGCTTGTTCTCAGTCTCTGTCTCTTTGTCTGTTCCTCTTTGTATCTCTCTCCTTCTCTCTCTCTCTCTCTCTCTCTCTCTCTTTCTCCTCTCCTCTCTTCTCTACACCCCCACAGGCAGGGGATTCCCTTCTGTTGAGGGGCATCTGATGGGACCCTCCTGCGGCATCCTCTCTCACTGCGTCTTGTTTCTTTCAATCTATTAATGTAGTTCCCGGATGTTTTGGGGCTTTTGGCACTGACGTTTTGGGAGCACCTGCGCCTTTGTCAGCCGGGTTTGTCCAACTGGCCTCTTGCAGTTAGACTCAGGGGGAACCTTGCATCTGTGATGTGTGACCTTCCTATTGCACTGTGTCAAGAAAGGCACACCTGGTAGCACATCTGGTCACGTGGATGAATGCGTACAGCACAATTTGCCCCTATAAAGCTACCCTGTCCTGTTAGTAATTAAAAAATCATTTCTGGGGGGATGCTCTGAGACTGTAAAATCTTGTTTCTCAATGACTTTTCCATCGGGGTTTTGGTGTTCCTCAGTGGCGCGCCTCAATCAGTGGGTGACTCCTGTGGTGGCTGTAGCAGCAGGGGTCCTGCTAAAGTGGAAATGTAAACCATCCGGTTCCCGGTTAGGTGGCTCCATCCCAATGGGGACAAGGAGCAGCCACTCCACCACCACAGTCCCATTGCTCCTCCTGCTAGAAGGCCTCTGTCTTCGCGACGTGCCTGCAGCAGGGCCTCAGGGCCGGACAGACCCTCCCAGTGAGCCGGCAGGCCCTGCTCGTGTCGTGGAAGGTCACTTGTGTTCCTGTGAACCTCCCACGACTGCCAGCTTTGAAGCAGCAGCGCTGGGCCTGGCCACTGTGTAGCTGACTTGTGTTCTCTTGCTTCCTAACTCACGCTCAGCTGGGCCTCGCCGTCCCTTCAAACCTCACATCACCGTCCAGAGCCCCCTCCATGTTTCTAGGCATGTGCTCCCAGGGTGTCCCCTTCATTCTTCTACCCTCAGGAACCGAGCATGCATGTGTAGAGGTGGCAGTGCCCGGGGAGAAGGTGGTTTTATTGTAGTGTTGTAACCTCCCCCATTCTCTGAGGGGAAAGACATCAAACCCTTATTTTGTCGCCCTCGTTGGTTCCCCACCCTTGGCTTCCTGCTGATCTCTGTGCCCCTCAGATAACTTCCCCAAGGCAGCTCTGGTGGCAGCAGGTAAGGAACGTCCCTCTGCACACAAGCCTTGGCCCATGTCTGGGTTAACACGTAGATGAGGCAGCTTCATTAGCCCCGTTTCCCGTGCAGACGGAGATCCTCAGAGGCGGCGCTGCATTGTCCCCGGGCAAACAGGGACGAGCAGTGCTGGAGTTGCCTCACCTGTGAGTCCCAGGCCAGGGCCCTGCCCACTGCATCCACCTGCATCGCTTCCCCATGTTTCCTCTAGAACCTCACTGTGTTGAATCTGTTTCTGGATGGGGAGCTAAGCAGACCCATGGAGGCGGTGGAGGCCCCTCCCACCCTTCTCTCTGTTGTGCCTCAGTTTCCCTTCCTCTCTGATACATGCCTGAGCTCCATGGCCAATAATAGTGGCCGACAGTGAGAGATCAAGTGGTAACAGCAAAGGTAAGTTTTATTGGTGAATCTTCCCTGGAGTTCTCTCTGGACCCCAAACAACTTTTGACTTCCAGAAACAGGATCCCAAGTCTGGGGTTTGCCTTGGGACAGAGACCAGTCAACAGCATCGGAAACTCTCCACCCAATAACACAACGGTCTCCTGCCAGCTGAGGCCTTTGCTCCAGGGAGGGCCTGGGGAGCGTGCTTGGCAGCGGCTCATTCTGAGGAAAGTCGAGGCAGGCAAGAGGGGAATGTCACCCTCAGCTTTTCCTGCTCTTTCAGGTTGTTTCTGGGAAACTGCATCCTTGTCAATATTAGTTTTTCTAACCGTCCACTGTCTTTTGTTTGTAAAACACTCTAACCTTGCAATAGCTCCTGTTTACAAAAAGGGAAAAAAAGCCACTGACATTTTGGTAGTTTTTGTAGGGGGACTTTGAAACTTTGCTTAGCAAAGTTACGCAAAATGCAAACTCTATAGGGACATTAGGAACACACTGGTCTGGTCTGAGCTGACCTTTTTCGTTTTCTAAAATGTTTGGTGTTCATGACCATTTAAGTCGAGGGCCTGGAGCCGGCATGGACAGCACTCAGATGGGAAAGGAACTGGCGTTCAGACATGACCCAGGCTAAGAGGGGGCAGCCCTCCCTCAGCTCCAAGCAACACACACTGCACACGCCGGGGCTGCCCCCAGAGCCGTAGGAACCTAGGGGGCCCATGCTCACCCCACGGACCCTGATTTAAATGCTCTGTGCTGTGGCCTGGGTGAAGGACTCCAGAGTCTCCTGGTCTGGGGGCAGATGGTTCCTAGTGGGCATGGAAGTTGCTCAGGTGACTGTGGCTGGGTAGGCCCAGGCTTGGGCGCATTTGGAAAGTGCCCAGGTGATTCTAGCATGAAGCCAGGTGGTAAAATGTCCCCACCAATGAGAAGCTTTCAGGGCCCTCCTTTACCAGGCAGCCCGCCTTTCACAGGAAGTCCCCGGAGGATATGTTTCCACCATTGACTTATCCCGGAAGGTGAACGACAGGGGTAGGGGAGCTGTGCTGGCACACTTGGGGAACCCCCACCCCGACCCCAGGGTGAGGCCGCCCACTCGGGGTCTGGCCATGACCCTTGCTGTGCCTTCTCTCTGTGCTCCCAGAACCTTGGCCATTTATTCTCAAGTGTTGTGAGTGTGGTTGGCCGAGATGGCAGGTTAGGTCGATCAGAAACAGAAAAACGTGCCATGAATGGAAAAGGCTCCCTCACGGTTTTGAGCAGAGGAGTCATCCTGGGGCGTCCTATAAAATATAACAGTTCCAGGAGGAATCTTCCGACCTGGTAAGGGAAAAGTGGATCTAGTGTTCCAAATGAACATTTCATTTCCCACTTCAATAGAGCAAGAGCAAAATTAGGATAAGGAACCAATGCAGATCGAATCATCGCAGATAGGAAACTTACTCCAGGATTCATCCTGTTCAGAATGGCAAGTGTTAAGACAAAACAAGACACCAGTGGCTGCCAGTGGGTCTTTGGGTGGGATCACTCTAATGAGGGGGACAATGTAGGGACCTCCTGCTCACTCTGGGCCCTGGTCTTGGCTTTCATGGACCTATTGATCCACTTGAGGAAGTTGGTAACTTTGGTGTAGATCCCAAACTTTCCTTTCTGTGCACATCCCTCTCCCCAGCTGACGATGCCAGTGACAAAGTAGGTGTCTTTGAACTGGGTGACATGAGGACCCCCACTATCCCCCTGGCAGGCATCCTCGGGGTTCGAGTCATAGCCAGCGCAGAACATGTTGTGGGTGATGGTGAATTTGGTGGACAGCTTGCACGTGTTCCTGTCCACATAGGGCACCTCCAACATTTTGAGGGTGGTGGACAAGCGGCCTTTCTCGTAGGTGCGCCCGAAGCCACTCACGATGCCTGATTTCTGTGTCATGAGCATTGACTCAGCCCAATCCTTCTCAGGCAGGCAAGCAGGGGCCACGTTCTTGCGGAATGTGATGGGCGTCTTCAGCTTGAGGACGGCGATGTCACAGTCATAGGTATTCTTGTCAAACTTGTTGTGCTTTATGATCACCGCCACCTCGTGCATCATCTCGTTGCCATCTTCTTTTTCTGTGTTCCGATCACCTGGGACATGGGGAGAGCGGGACAGTGTTAGCTCAGCCTGGGCCATGCACTCCCAGGGGGGTTACTTTTTAAAGTAGCTACTTTTTTTCCTGATTAAAAAATGGCATATGGTCACTAGAAAATTTGAAAAACATACGAAATCATAAAGAGATGAATAAAAATGGCCTTCAATTTCTCTACCTAGGGGCAACTATTCATCACATTTTGCTGTTTGCTCAGTACCTCGAAGACTTTCAGTTCATTCTTTGACAGATATTTCCTGAGTATGTGTTATGTGCCAGGGACACGCGGGAGCTGAAGATCTTTTTCCAGACCCATGCTGTCTAGTGCGCCACCACCAGCCACTGGGGTAACTGGGCACTTGAAATGTGGCTGGTCTGAATGGAGATGTGCTGTGCGTGTCCAATTTCAGACTTAGAAAGAAAAAAAGTATTCAAAGGAGCTCATAAATACTTTTATAATTGATTACATACTGAAATGATAATATTTTGGATATATTGGGTAAAATAAGATATGTTACTAAAATTAATTTTCGCCTGCAAACTTAAAAAATATATAATCAAAATTTAATGTAAGTAGAAAATTAAAATTACGTATGTGGCTCACATTTTGTGGCTTGCATCACACAGCTCTGGAGTCTGGTGGAGGAGGGCAGACGTGACGAAATAATCCCACAGACAAAAATGTGAGAGGTGGAGAGACTCGGTGTTTCGGTCCTTGAAGGGGGGCCTTGCCAGAGGAAAGGCCATGGAGAGGAGCCCCCCCTGCTGGGCACAGACACCAGATGCCTCAGGAGGACCATGAGGGAGGAGCACTGAGCTGGCTCAGGGAAGGCCACCGCCATCGCTTCCTAGGCCTCCCAAGACTCCTCATTTTCCTCCTGCTCCCCACTCTCCATCTTAATCCCCCCCCCCCTTGTCCTCTTCCCCCTCCTTCCTCCCATCTACCTCTCTATCCTCTTCTCCCTTGCCCCGCCCCGCTCCCTTCTCCTCCCCCTCCTTTTCCTCCCTTCTTCCTATTTCCCTCCTCCCCCTACTCCTCTTCCTCTCCCTCCTACTTCTGGCCCTCCTCTTCCTCCTCTGGGAAACTCCCCCCTACCCCCAGCCTGAATTCCAGTAATTTGATCTGTTTCCAACAAATCTGATCCGTTCTAATGGTCTCCGAAAATATGAAGTGACAGTGGGCCCTGAAGGGCAGCTGAGAGTGTTGGCGCCACTTACCTACCATCACCTTGAATCTCTTGGCTTGGAGAAGGCAGTGAGCAGCAGTGAGGACATAGAACCTGTTCAGGATGGTGCCTCCGCAAAAGCCCACGTTCTCCTCGTTGATGAGCAGAGCCTGTGAAGAGAATACCAGAGCCAAACAAGCTGAGTCTGACTTTCTGAGAAGAGGAATTTGGAACCTTTAATTCAAGTCTTCCTCTCCATTGCGCCCGTCTGGCCTCGGGCATCCTCCCCGCCAGCTGGTGTCTAGTTGAGCCTCTCCCTGGTCCTGCTCTCCCTCTCTGCTGCCCCTTCCCATGCGAGAACTGTGGGGTCTCCAGACTAGAATGCAAGGCCCAAGCCAGCGCACCCGCTGTGCCCACCAGCCCACTTAGGCCGTGGCCCAGCACGGCCAGTCCCGCAGACCTTCTGACCACCCACCCCACACCTGTTCCACTGGCGTTCGGTCCAGCGCCCTGGCACATTCTGCAAGAGGTGGCTCATGGTTGACCCCATGGCACCTTCCCAGCTCTTCCCAAACCTCTTCCTGATTCCATAGCACAGATGTGGGCAGCACCTCACGCCTTCTGGTCTTTGCTTCACCTACCAGCCAATGGATTGACTTAATCATTCACGCCACAGACATTTGTTGGGGCCCTACTAAGTGGCAAGTGCTAACCACTGAGTAGGGCTCTGTCACGACTTACCTACCTCCTTTTCCTCCTGCACTACAAACCCACTCTGACAACGATTAGTCTTCTATTTCTTCTGGGTCTGTCATAGCACTCTCTAAAGAGTCACACACAGAAAAATAATTTTCACTGTGATAAAAATCCTTATTGTCTATGTGGTTAGGAATTATATACCCCCGACCAGTCTGTGGAGAAAATGCTTGCCTATACTCGCATGACTTCTGGGCTCTAGAACAGTTCCACTATTCAAGCCAGTCTCCCACAGCCCATGGAAGCCGCCATCAAGGTTAATTTCAGGGGAATCCATGTGGCTACTTCTGCAGCGGATTTCACACTGATCCGGAATTTGGGAGTGAGGAGTACTCCACTTGGGAATGAGCATTGACGGAGCAAGTGAAAGGCTCTACAAACAGGCAGTTCTCTTATTCCCCTCCCCCCAAAGAACCAGGCTTGCAAATCTACAGATGGAACATTTTTGTTTGTTTGCTTTTTCCTTTCTCTTGGGAATTCCATGTCCTCTAAGCAACAGTTATTGGCTGGGGATATGTGTAGGTTAAAGAAACAATTAACATGAAGTCCTAAAAGTATTTTTGAAGATGTTCCTGACTGGTATGCAGTACAGCTGCCTCTTGACTTACAATGGGGCTGCATCCCAATAAATCCATCGTGAGGTGAAAATATCATCAGTTGAAAATGCATTTAATACACCTAACATACTAAATATCATAGCTTAGCCTAGCCAACCTTATATGTGCTCAAAACAGCCCTGGCTGATGTGGCATAGTGGGTTGACTGCTGGCCTGCGGACAGAAAGGTCTCAGGTTTGAATCCCAATCAGGGTACCTGCGTGGGTTGCAGGCCAGGTACCTGGTTGGGGGCATGTGAGAGGTAACCAATTGATGTTTCTCTGACACCTCAACGTTTCTCTCCCTCTCCTTCTCTCTCCCTTCTCCTCTCTCTAAAAATAAATTAAAACAAAACAAAACAACCAATGCCTGCTCAAAACATAATAGCCAAAAACACTGGCAACACAGTTCACTGTGAAGTATCAGTTGTAGTATCACTTGTTTACCCTCCTGATCTCCGCTGACTGGGAGCTTTGGCTCACTGCCCAGCATCATGAGACAGTATCATACGGCATATTGCTAGTCCTGGAAAGATCCACATGTATCACTTTCACACCATTGTAAAGTCGAACAGTTGTAGGTTGAACAATCAAATCAGGAACCCACTATAATGGTTTTCTGCCCTTTTGGGGGGCGAGGGGTAATTTATCAACTCATAATCCAACTTGGGTAATGAGTGAGGGCATCAGTCTTTCTAAGATGTGGACACTGCCTGTTACTGTTAAAGATGGAGATGAGGCAACTTGCCAAGACTGGAACCAGGAGAGCAAGACCCATGGATGCCCACAGACCCATCAAGGGAGTCTCCGGTGAGGATCCTTCTGCCCGAGTGCCCTTCCCTGTCCTCTCTGCCTGTGGAGTCCCATCTAAAGCCTCTGTCAGAGCTCTGAGTCGGACACCTCCACCCCGTGGGGAGCTTGTCCTATTCATCCCAGTGGAACTTCATTTTACTCCGACTGGTGCTGCTTTCATAGCCTTTATCACATATCAACTTGAATTGTGGTCATTCGGGTGCATCTTACCTCCCAGACCTAGATGGCCACATGTCAGAAAAGTAGCTCTGATGATTTCGTAGCCTACATACACAACCCCCAATTCTGGGCTTGACATATAAGTTCTCCATAAATATGTGTGGGATGAATGATGACTAGATGTTGAAATGTCCTCCCTTGGGCTCTTCACACTTCAGGCAAATGCACACCTGTCGTGTACCTTGGAGCTAAGGGTGAGCTGAGTTAATTTCTAAAGGTTGTTGGTGGTTCTGGGATTATTACTAGTAGGAGAAACCATTTTAGCTTTGGGCACTAAAAACGTATGGTCCAAGTGAGGATTGCCAGATAAAATAGAGGACATCTAGTTAAATTTGAATAAAATAAATAGTAAGTAATTTTTTTGTATAATAAATATGTCCCACGTAATACCTGTTATATACTTATATTAAAAATTATTCATTGTTTATGTGAAATATAAATTTAAGTGGAAGCCCTATTGTTATTTGCTAAATCTGGCAACCTGAGTCCAAATGAAACCTAAAGTAGAATTTAGGTGTTTAAATAATAAATAAATTAACCCAATTAGAAATGGAACAAGGAGAGCAAATCTTTCTGCGAGCAAGCAGAGGCCCCACCCACCGTCGGGGAGCCGCCCTCCACCTGCTCAGCAAACCTTCGGCCGCAGCCGGCGCCCCATCTCTCCTTCTCCTGCAGGTAGAGATTTTAGGACTGAAATCCTGGGCGCACAAACAGGAATGGGCAGCAGGGGTGGCAGAGTGTGACAAGGGCCCAGCTTCTCATCTCAGGTGCCTTCAGCATCTCAGCAGCAGAGCCCGCAGTCCACTGAGGATCCACACATGTGCCGGGCAGCAGGAGCCCGGGCCTCGGGGCTGCGCCCGCCCGCAGCGCCCAGCCAGGCCGGGACCCCCACGGTTAACGCGGCCGCGCGCTCCGCAGTACCTGCCAGGGGCACTCGCCGTCCTTGCACTCCCTCCCTCCCACTATCCGGGTGAGGCTGCTCTCATCCGCCAACGCGCTGGCCTCCGTGGTGTTCAAGTCCAGCAGATCGAAAGGGCTCACGGTGGGACCCAGGTCTTCAGGGTCGTACACGTCCAGCGTGACTGTTTCGGGGGACTCCTCGCTGCTGGGGGCGGTCTGAGCCACCGACCTTTTCTTCCGTGCCAGAGTGGGCCTCCCACAGGGAAAAGGCTCTTAAAAAAAAAGAAAAGGCCAGGGGCTTCAGCAAAGAGAACGTCTCCTTACACATCGCATATAGTCCACTATGCGGCAGGCGGAGTCGGGGAGGCCAGAGGGGGCCCAACTTCCACGTTAATGGGGTGAGACGGCTCCAAAATGCAGGTGGGGAAGAGTGACTAGCGTGCTCGGTAACGGGGAGGGGGTGTGAGGGACTTTTGCGGGGTGGCGTGCTCTGTGTCTTGATCGGGTTGGGTCACAGGGTGGATGCAAATGTCACCATTCAGGGAACGTGCACTTCACATCAGGGTACTCCACTGTGTGTCATTTTACCTAAACGACAGAGCTGTGGACACAGACCTCTGGGGTTGAGCAGTATGCCGAGGCATTGAAGGGGAGGTCTGCCATCTGCTTGGAAATGTGTCAAAATAATAAAGCAGCTTGTGATGGACAGAGGATAGGCAGGTGATGAAGCAAGCAGAATGAGATGTTAACGGTAGAACCCAGGTAGGGGCATAGGGATGCTCACTGCCAAATCACTGCTCTGTGTCTGAAAGTGCTCATGAAATGTTTTTTTTTTTAAAGTGTTCTGGGGGAAAGGGACAGCATGTGCAAACAACCTGAAGCATAAAAAGGAGCACTACACCATGGCTTTGCATGATAATGTCTAAAAATGATAGCTGTCCTTAAAAGCACCAAGCACAGGGGAGGTGCCAGGAAAACGAGGAAACGTCCTTTCTGTGCTGCCACCAACTAGGGAACTGAAGCAGAGAGAGGGACCGAAGCAGGACAGAAGCAGGGGGAGGCGTGGAGGGCCATGTGGAAACGGACAGCCTCCCTCTGCCGCCTTGTGTTTGTCTAAGAGCAGAGAGGCCAAGCTGAGTCCTTTTTAGTGGTTGCGGGAGCTCCTGTGGGACCTGAGGGACCCTCCCCCGGCCCCCGCCCCCCCACCCCCCACCAGGCTCTGGCAAATGTGTGAGTGGGAGATAGAGTTCTTTACCCTCTGATTTGCTGGTTCTGTGTTAATGTTTGTATTCACTGCTTTTTGAAATTCCACATTAAGAAGTAGTTTACTTGATTTTATTTTCAAACATCAAACTTTATTATATTAATTTGTAATCATTCCTGGAATTTAAACAAAATTTCCATGCATGTCTACCCTCCATTTTTGAACCAGCTTGAAATCTCATTATCAATAGACATGTAAATGGCATTGTCTTACTTGTTGAGAGAGCTGATGTTGCACAATCCTAGTCTTCCTGGACTGTCCCTGCCTCCTGGGGGGGTGGGGCCTGGGACTCTGCACTTCCAATCCCCCCACCTCAGTTGATGCCAAAGCTATTGGTCAGTCAGGGGACCACGCTTTGAGGAGCAAGTTGGGGTTGCTGTGAGATTAAGCTAAGAGAAAGGGGTGGCCTCTCAGAGCCGTTGGCCCGAGGCTGGCCTTGCACCTAAGGAGGAGCCTCCTACAGCGTGAGACCTGGACTCTCTCACCCCAGAGGCCTGCACATCTCTTAGCCTCTGAACAGGTCATGCCCTCTGTGAGTTTCTTGGTCAGACTCACGGTATCTGGCTTTTATCAAGAAAAAGAAAAATAATAAATTTGATGAACACGAGGGCCCACACAACTTAAATTAGTTCTTGAGGGTCCTCGGCGGCCCTTCTGGCCCCTGCACCCTCTGCCCAAGTCCCCAGCTCCCACAGTCAGGCCTGCAGTGCCTCTCACCAGCCTGTGCTCCCACCTTGGTCCACTGAGCCTCCCGCCCTACCCGGGGCTATGAAACACGCCTTCCTCACACCCGGTACAGAGCTAGGGTTTGCAATGAGCCAGGCACCAAGCAAGGTGCCCTCCACGCCTTACTTTCCACATTCATAAGCACTGAGGTAATACCATTGGACCCATTTTTCAGAAGCTCCCAGAGACAGTGTGTCTCTTTCCAAACCTTGTGGTCCACTCAGGATGCTGCCCTGCTCACCAGCACTAGCCCTGGCCTCTCTGAGTCAGGGGGCCGTGGTGGGGCAGCCCCATGATCCTCCTACCTGTGGAGATGCAGGACTTGCCGTTGTCACTCAGGATGTACCCACTGGCGCAGGAACAGACCACGGAGTTCTGCTGTTCGCTGCAGAACTGCTCGCACTCCCCATTATCCAGGCTGCAGAATTTTCGCGTGGCTGTAGGAGAAGCAGGTAGGCTGTCAGGACAGGCTGGGGAAAATGAGACTGCAGCCAGCTGGGAGGAAGGACAGTAACCCCAGGGGGACATACACCCCCTTATGAACCCTACAGCGGGCCACCTGGCTAGAACAAAGGGCCAGAGCCTTGTGGTGGACACATACGAGATGGTTCAGGTAGGACAGACAGCGCTGAGCAGGCTGGAGGCATGAGGGAACCGTGCCTCTGTGTGAGCTCTTCTCACGGCCCCTCTGCCTCGCCAGGCCATTTGGGGAAACCATGAGTGTCTGCCGGGCCCTGGGCACCAACTTCCAGAAGGTTCTTAAGTAATCTGAGCATGTCTAGTGAGGGTCCTGGAGGTTGGAAGGGTCTAAGTTCAGCCCTAAAAAGGCACATGGGTCCTGACAGGCATGGATGGGCCGCCCACAGGAGGGCAGGTTCCGGCACCGGGTGCTCAGCAGGAGCCTTTCAGAAGGGTCGGAGGCCCATCCACTCTGAGGCTAGAGGACTCCCAGGTCCTAAGGGCCTCAGGGGCTGGGGTCCAGGCTCCAGCGCGGCAGGACAGAGAAGCAGGCAGTGCACGCCCTGGGTCAGGGCAACCTGAGTTCTAGACTGGCCCTTCCATCACGCATATGATTTGGGCAAGTTGTTGAAACCCACGGGCCTCAGTTTCTTCACTGGTAAAGTGGCAGAGGTCATACCACCTCACAGGATAACCCGCACAGGCCATGTGACTCTCTTGGCACAGTGCCCACGTGGAGCTGTTTTGGGACCTCCAGGCTGTTCAGCAGCTCTGAATTCAGCCAGCATCACCCAGCGGCTCCCAGTGCACCCTGGCCATCCAATTCCAAAGTCGCATCGGTGATGCCACCCTGGCAACTTAAACTCGCATGTGGGTTTTGATGAAAAAAACAATAATAGTGCAAAGATCAACATTAATGAAACTTTAGAGAACATTCCCAATGGGCCGGGGTCAGTCAAAAGGCGTGCGGGAGCGGTAGCTCTGGACTTGGGGTGGAATGATGGTGCACAACTGATATTCCCATCGGGGAAGATTTCAAAGTAATCCAATCCAAACGCATTCTCAAGATTGTAAATTAAGTAATTTAAAAGAAATGCAGATTTTTCTCTTTAGGGAAAACTTGTCTAATACTAACCTAATTTGTATTTTATTTTTATTTCATTTATTTTCCATATTAGGAAAACTCTTAGTGACTCTTCCATGTAGGATTAACTAAATGTTTCAAATGTTTATAATTGGGCAATCCCGAACACTTAGTATTGACATTTCCACTAACACATGGAAGGGAAAGGTGGTGACTTAGAATCATTGCCCGAGACCACAAGAAATGTAAGTCACAGAGACGAGGGAGACATTCTGCTCCAAGGGGAAGAAACTCAGTCCTCATTTCCATGTTAATGGGCCACATGCTTCATGATTGTTCAAAGAAGTCACTGTGTGCCTTATTGTGCTCCACAATGGAATGGATTGGAGAACATGTTGGGAGCATTTACTGTATTTTCTCCTGCTCCTCCTCCTTCTTTTTTTTATTATTATTATTATTATTTACTGTTACTACAGTGGCCCATCATAATGGAGCACAGACTCTAATAAATCAGAAGTGACATGAGATTGTTCTCTTGGACATTTCAGCTTTTCCCCTTTCCTGCCTTTGAATATGTGGGTAACTCTGACTTGACAGCACACCAAGAGGAGAAACTCACATAATTCACAGTTTTTGCCTTCAAAGCCTTCCAAACAGGTGCACGTGTATTCCCCGAGGCCGTCTTTACACTTGCCCTCGTTCAGGCAAGGACTGCTTTCACACTGGTCGCCGTCTGCAAAGAAAGGGTTTTGGAAACCAAAGCTTGCAGGCAATTTCTGCCATCCTGGAAATGACTTTGCTGTGTGGATCTTGGCACACATTTTTCAGATAACATGAGTGAACTTCAAGTTCTTCCTGTTTCCCTGTAAACAGTTTCTCCTATCTCAACTTCGTGTTATCCCCACCTTTTGTGGCTAAGTGTACGCGATGCTCTTATCTAAGCGAATTGTTAACTGAAGTTTCCAGTTTTTGCTGAAATGTTTGACAGTATTTTTACATCACAGTGAGGAACTCCGGGCTGGTGACCACGTGGGAGCAGCTGGCAGGACGGAGGATATGTGAGCACCTGACACTGTGGGCTGAGCATTTTAACAAGAGGGATGTTAGGGTTCCTCTTTCCAAACGCTCTGGGGGTAAAATGAGAATGCAGAGACAGCTGCTCGGCACTAACACGGGACCTCACACTTCTTGGTGCATTTGTACAATCTAATTTAGAAGTAAGTCCAAGAGTGATTTTGAGACATTTGAGTGCTGTTACCAGAATAAAGACACTAGTCATGATTTATACCATTTCAGGTGTTATAAACATAAAATCGAGGTGGCTACCCTATCGGAGGACCCAACCTTTCTGTCTCTATTTTTTTTTACCTAATATAGTTGGATTTAAAAAATTGTCTCTGAATTTGGTATTCTTAAATGAGAATAAACTGATTTAAATCTATATTTAAGTAACAAAATGAGAATTAGCATAAAGTTATTATTAAAAAAACTGCTTTTACAATAGACATTATGAAAATACTCGGAAGGGAAAAGTGTTAAATAAGTAAGATTTAAACAGGAGCAGAAATGCAATTCAGGAAGTATTTTCAAAATTCAAATACAATTTCTCCCAATTTAAATATCCTAATGAACCCATCACTTAAGATTAAAAGAGAAAACATCTCACCTTTGTATTTATTCCAGAATTCATTCTAAAAGGAAAAAAAGATTTTAAAGTACATTAGGGAAAACACAGGCATTTTACACTAATAACAACCATAACTTAATAACTCAGCCTAAATAGGATATTTTCCCAAACAGAAGTCATTTTCTGGAACAAATTGCTCTAGAACTGTTCAATCTAAAAGGGAAAGGTTTTCAGATCTTCTGCATCTATAGAAGTGTGGCTTCATTTACCATCTCTGCTGACTGTTGAAAATTTATTTCATATTTACCAAAAAATGGGTTGTACCAGAAATGGCTTTCCCTGTTTGCTGTTCCAGTGAGTTTTCAGTTGAAGTACTTGGTTCAAAGATTTCAACAAAGGATTGAATTTTATTGGTGAATAATCATGGTAATTTAACATATGATAATTAGTAATTAAAACAAAGTATCAAGAGCCTATATTACACTAAAAATGTTCATAGTATTAATTTTTTTTTTCTGTCTGAAGTAGGTTGAATAGTATCTTCTCAACCCCCCAAATTCAGGTGTAATCTCACAATGTGATCTTAATTGTAAATAAGGTCTTTGCAGGTGTAATTAATGTATCGATTGAAATGAGCTCATACTGGAGTAGGGTGGACCCTAAATCCTTGACCATGTCCTTGTAAGAGACAGAAGGGACACGCAGAGACAGTCAGAGAGAAGGCCGTGTGAAGATGGAAGCAGAGATTGGAGAGATGGAATCACAAGCCAAGGAATGCCAAGGACGCTGGCAGCCACCAGGTGCGAGGGGGGAGGGGCGGCTGAAGTAGATTCTCCCTCAGATCTCCCAGAAGAAACAAACCCTGATGACGCCTTAATGTCAAACTTGTAGTCGCCAGAACTAAGGGAATGAATTTTTAAAGCACCCAGTGTGAGGTTTTATTTGGCCTTTTTTTCCCCAAATGCCTTAAGGTAGAAGTTTCAGGTATCAATTTGAGACATTTCTTCCTTTTCAATAAAAACATTTAATACTATAAATTCCCCTATAAGCTATTGTTAGCTGCGTCTCACAGATTTTATATGTTGTATATTCATTTTTGTTCAGCTGAACATATTTTCTAATTTCCTTTGAGACTTTCTCTTTGATGCACATATTATTTAGAAGTGTGTTGTTTAATTTCCACATACTGGTAATTTTTCTTGTTATTGATTTTTGGTTAATTTCATTATGATCAGATAACATTTTACATTATTTCAATCTTTTAAATTTGTTAAGATGTGTTTTATGACACAGGATATGGTCTATCTTGTAGAAAGTTCCATGAGTGCTTGACAAGAAAGTGTATTCTACTGTCGTTGGGAATTCTAGGAATATCAATTAGATTCAAGTCAAGTGATCTGGAGAACTGGAGTGGAAAAAATGACAAACTCACAATTCTATGATTCTTTGACATCTAGTCTCCTTCAATGCACTGCTTCTATTTACATTTGAGTCCTCGAATAGCTGTCCCATGCAGTCTGTCCAGGTTTTATAGCTATATTCAGTGAGAGACAGGGTAGAGTATGGTTTCTTTATATTACTTGGAACCAGAACTTGTCGATAAACTTTGGTCCAGTAATCCTTCTCTGGAGCAGCTATTCTTAGAAGATAATCCAGAAGAAATATATGTATGTATGTTTTCATAATAACAAAATAAAAATAACTGACATAGCCAAAATATGAGAAAACTATATGTGTTGGTACAATAAAACATAATATAGCTCTGTAAAATTTTGAGTATGGTAGCTACATAGAAGTGAGGAAGAGTGGGAAATGATGCCAAGAACTTGGACTGGCATTACAGTTACTTTTATTATTTTAAAAAACTATATATGTGCATGTGAATTACAGGACCATTTAAAAATGAAAATAGTTCTTGAAATTATGAGTAACTTTTTGAAAGAGACAAAGCATTTATTTGGTAGTGAGTAAAAATGAATTCTCAATTCCTCTCCTCTCTTGTGGTGGCTGCAGTGAACACTGGTAGTCAACGGGATAGAAGAAACGTACAAGAATCCCTCGCAGACCTTGGTCTTTGGCAGAGATACAAAGATGTCTGAGTCACACAAGTTAACAATTACTGTTTTCTAGACAGAGGTGCCAATTGTGTTTTCCAATGTATTGGTGCTCCCTACACTTTCCTACTATCTCCAGGTAGTAAGCGAGTACTTCTTTAATGTTACTGGAGTCTGAGAAACAGTGATGTCGTTAGTGCCTGGGCTGCAGCCAGCTGCGGGTGTTCCGTGGAAGTATAGAGGTTGTCGTTTATGAACACAGCCTCCTCCTCATCAGTGGCTTCGGCCTGTTCTCTCTTTCCTTCCGATCCCCACCCCACACTCCCTTCCTTCCTTTACACTTTTATGAGTTTATTTGAAGCAAAACTGATGATAGTTGCCAGGAAGCAAGATCTCAAATGCTTTGCTCTTGTTCCTGCTCTGTCAAACTATTTAACTCATTGCAGGTGCTGCGTACTTCTGTCTTCATGACCAATAGCTCAGAGTGCTTGGTGAGACCCAGAGTGGACCATCTGGCCAAAGATCTTATTATCTTTGGGTGGTCATAGATGAATGTGGAATTGGGGCAACTCACTTTCAGCAACTCTCTTACAAGATTATCAAAGAGTCTGGCTGTGGTCTGAGGTGGAAGACATCCAATAGCTTCTGATACACAGGTATTATCAAGAATTTTTTTAGTTTCTTCAGCTCTGGAGAGGTTAGTTTCTGGCAGCCTCTGGCAGGTTAGTTTCTCCCACAGCTTTCTCAAGTTCTTCTATTATGCTGGCTCTTTGAAGAACGGGGTGAAGTCAACCTCATGGGTTTGCTCTTCTCGGTCATTGGAATGGTGGGTGATCTTGTCTGCAATATGCTTCACCATCCCTGATATAATTTCTGTGATTTCACAAGATCATAATAATCTGCAGAGGCCATGTAAAACTCACAGGTGGCAAATTAAAGTCAAATCGTCTGGAACTGGTATCTAATTTCACAAACTTGGTCAATACCACTGACCACCAGCATCTTATGGTAGAATTCCGGAGCAATTCATATATGTCAGTTCATGTGCAGATTATTGTGCTAGGTGATGAAAAGCTTGGCCACAGCTCCCCTTGGGATAACATGCATCCTAGGAATTTCAATGTCTAGGAATCCCAGCTTACCCCCAAAATGCTTATATATGTGATGTTCTTAGTGTGGATGATAGATTTCTTCTTCACAAAGGTGTTCGAGTTCAAGGCCAAGTATCTCCAGTGATATTGTGTTTCTTGTCTTTGAGGCCACAGTGAGAAGGAGGTGACACATGTGAACAAGGAGACAGTGGTGTGATTTTGTGGAGAATGAGCCTCAGCAAACCTTTTTGTTTTCTTCAGGATTGTCCCGAACTCCAATTATGTCTCCCAAGGTAGTCAATTATTGATATGAATAAATTCTTCTTGTGATTTAAAATCCTTGAATTGGCCATGGCTTGCAATTCGACCTGATCTCTGAGGACACAGAAGATGATCTTCCCCCAGAAGTTCTTTTGGCATGGATCCTATGTGCCTCCTTAAGGTGATGTTTGTCAGGCGGTCCCCAGGTGCAGCAAGTGAGTGGGTCTACATGGAACCTGTGTGATGGCGGATCTCCGCAGGGCTCAGCATCTGGTGGATGCTTAACTGTGGCCCTGCAGTGTGGATGAGGGTCGGCTGCCAGTGGTGTGGTAGTGGCAGCAGTAGCCTGATCTAGCTGTCTTTCTAGCCTGAGCTCCTGCTTGGCCTCCTTCTCTGGGAACTTCTTTTCAGCTTTCATGCATCTTCAGTTCATTCTTGCCCAGTTTCATGTGCCACCACTGACTGTCATCTCACCTCTGCATGGTGGCCATCTTTCCCCACCACGGTGGGTGAGGCTCATTAGCAATTTCCAGGGAACGGACGAGGCCCTGCCTATTCTAGGGGTGAAGAGGAGGGTGCTTTGGAACTGCCACCTTTTTTGCTATGTAGGCACGGTGTTGGGTCTCATGGCCCGCCATCTGTCATGTGCCTGCGTGTCCATCACTCTGAAGGATGCAGCTCAGGTGCCAGACATCAAATATGGCTGCGGCCATGGACTTGGGCAAAAACACAATGGGTTCCATGTCTCTTTCTCTCATATCGTGTGTGTGTGTGTGTGTGTGTGTGTGTGTGTGTGTGACCTGTTATGTTTTAGAATTGATTTAACTATACCTTCAGAAATTCTCCTAACTCACTGTGACTGATTTGGGCCATACCTTTCTCTCAGTTTCCTACCCACGCAACTTGTTGATGTGCCTCACGTGGTGGATGTAGAAACAGGAACCAATGGCATTGTGAGAGAGAGAAGGAGATGGTCTCCCCACTCCCTACACCAGAAAGTCTCCCCCGAGCCGTTCTCTCCTGGCTGAGGCCACAGCACATAAGGACATGTGGTGGGGGCTCAGCATGGGCTAAACTGACAGCCTCCAAAAGAGGGATAACTGGGACCAGAAAACATCCCCATCTGGGCCCAGCGTAGTTCACAACTGATCTCTGTCTCACCAACACTTACCGTCTTCTCCAAGTCCTCAAAGATTTCTCGGGCTTCTTCGTAGGAGCAAGTCTCTTCTAAACACTCTCTTTCAAGGTTTCCTTTCTTCAACTCTTCTAAAAATGAGTTTGCCCTCCGGGCCCTTTGCAGGAAAGTCTTGGCATGTTCTGGGTTAATGAACACTAGAAGACATGGAACGACAAAAGGTACCTTATCAAATTACCTGCTCTGCCCCCAGCCTGTAGTATTATGTCGTCTTTATTCTGCAAAAGGCTGAAAGCACCTTCTTCATGCACTAAGGCAGTTGGGAAGGAAATGCCCATCTTCCTCACGACTCTTTCTTGAGTTACAGAATAAGACACCCGTTCTAGACCACACGCGCCATTCTCTGGAGAAGTAAACACATCCCTTCCAATCAACTTATCATTCTCCCTGCACCTTCACACCCAACTTTAGGGTGGTCAACCCAAACCCTCTTTCTTGAACTCTCCCTTTTCAGAGTGGCTCCAGTTCACTGTCATCCCTGCACCCCCCACCCCAGGGTACTCCCCTCTGTGCTTTGGCTCAGGCTGTACTCCTCCATTCCCATCCTCAGCCTGAACCTCACCCGCCCTTCCAGTTCTCAGCTCTGAACTAGGTGGGGGGTTGTGATACTGTTTTGATTGCAATCTACAATTAAAGGCATGATTTATATCAAGTCCGAGGACTCACGTACACGCAATTAAAACAGAAGTTTCAAGAAGTAGTATTTACTATTATTTTCTACAAAATAGTACTTAATACAAAATTTTCTACTTGATTCTGTTCTGTTTCATTAAAAAATAAAACCCTGAGACTTCCAGTCAAGATGGTGGTATAGGTAAATACAGCTCACCATCTCACACAACCATGTCAAAAACGCAACTAAACTATGAAACAACCAACATTCAGAACCATCAGAAATCGAGCTGAATGGAAGTCCTACAACTACAGAATTAAAGAAAAAGAAAACACATAAAGGCTGGTAGGAGGGGTGGAGAACACAGAATGGGCTGGTCCCACACCAGCATGTGGCAGATAAAAATTGGGAGGGATATCTCAGGAATGAGGGGTCCCAGCTCCACACCAGGACCCCTAGTCCAGGGTTCCAGTGCCAGGATGTTAAATCTCCATAATGTCTGGCTGTAAAAATTAGTGGGGATTAAGGCTGTGGAAGACAGAGACTCCTGAAATTCCCAGGCAGTTTCTGTTAAAGGGCCGGTGCACAGACTTACTCAGACTCACTCCCTCTGAGCTCTAGTGCTGGGGCAGCAGATTGAAAGACATCAGAAATGTACAGGGAGGAATGAATTGTCCAGCATCAGGGTGAGAGCTGGGGGGCAACTTTCTCCCAGACAGAAGTGCTGGCAGAGACCATTTTTCCTTTTTGGAGGCTTCCCCCTCCGTCCACAGAGCCACAGAGTCAGCAGGCAGGCACCATATCTGATACACCATCAACCTGGCTCACGCCGTTTGCCCCATCCTGGTGATTCCCCAAGGTTCTACCCTACCCAACTTCTGGGACCACCTAAACTGTTTTCAGTGGCTTTTCCATATGAATGGCTTGTCTTGGCCCACGCTTCATATTTTGCTAAGTTCTCTGAAACAAGCATCATCTGACTTCAGCAAGCTCCATACTTCTTGCTAAGGTGCCCCAGGCCATGCACTAGCAGCAGCAAGTCTTGGTTCAAAGCTTGGCCTCTTCTGGGTACCTCCATGCCCAGCACAAGTAGCAGCCACCTGCAGATCACTTTGTAGCTAATGGTGTGTGACCCTGGATGGAACACAGGCAGTGACTAACCTTAGATGTGCCAATAGCAGTCAAGGCTCAACTACAAGAGGAGGGTGCACACAGCCCATACAGTAAGTGTACCTTGAGTACCCAGCTTGGGTAATAGGCAAGGCTGTGCCACTGGACCCTGCATGATGCCTACTACATTAAGCCATTCTATCAAGCCAAGTAGATATAGTAGCCCTACCTACTGTATTTTGCCATGTATCATAGGTATTTTTTTGCCCCAATTTTTTTTATTCATCATTTTATGGTCGTGGTTTTGAAATGTATTTTGTCTGATATAAGTATTGCTATCCCAGCTTTTTTTTTCCCCTGTCCATTTGCTTGGAATAATTTTTTCAACCTCTTTACTTTCAGTCTCTGTAGGTCCTTTGTTCTGAGGTAGGTCTCTTGTAGGCAGCATATGTGTAGGTCATGTTTCCTAATCCATTCTGCTACCCTATGTCTTTTGATTGGAGCATTTAATCCATTTATATTTAAAGTTATTATTGATAGGTACATATTCATTTTTCCCCTTTGTACCTGTGTTTCTCTCTTTCTCACTCTTTTTCTTCATCTTCTTAAAGCAAACCCTTTAGCATATCTTTCAGTGCTGGTTTGGTGGAGGTGTACTCTTTTAGCCTTCTTTTATCTGGGAAACTCTTTATTTCGCCTTCCATTTTAATTGAGAGCCTTGCTGGGTAAAGCAGTCTTGATTGCAGGCCTTTGCTTTTCATTACTTGGAATATTTCTTGCCATTCCCTTCTGGCTTGTCGTGTTTCTGTTGAGGAGTCAGCTGCTAGCCGTACCGGGGCTCCTTTGTATGTTACTACCTGTTTCTCCCTTGCTGCCTCTAGGATTCTCTGTTTGTCTTTGTTGTTTGCCATTTTAATTATGACGTATCTTGGAGTGGGCCTCATTGGGTTCCTCTTGAATGGGACCCTCTGTGTTTCCTGGACTTGTGTGACTTTTTCTTTCCTCAAATTAGGGAAGTTTTCCATCATTACTTTTTCAAACAGGTTCTCTATCCCTTCCTCCTCTTCTTCTCCTTCCGGTATCACTATTATACAGATGTTATTACGTTTCAGGTTGTCCTGCATTTCCCTAAACACCTCTCCATTCTTTTTGAGTCTTTTTTCATTTTCTTGCTCTTTCTGGGAGCTTTTTTCAATCTTGTCCTCCAGCTCACTAATTCAATTCTCTGCTTCCTCCAGCCTGCTTTTGATTCCTTCTACTGTGTTCTTTGATTCAGAAATGGTATTCTTCATTTGCTCCTGTCTCTTATTGATAGTTTCTGTGTCCTTTTTCATGCTGATATAGTTTGTAGTAAGTTCTTCATAGTTTCCCTGTTGCTTTTGGTAATTCCCTCTGAGCTCACTGAGCTCATTGAGTTTCCTTAGAACCATTGTTTTGAACTCAGTATCTGATAGTTTACTTGCCTCTATTTCATTTAGTTCTCTTTTGGGGGATTCCTCCTTTCCCTTCAACTTGGGGTTGTTTCTTTGTCTTCCCATTATTTGTGAGACTCTTCTTTTTTGCTTCTGCTTCTTAAATTGATCTGTCTTGATTTCCTGACTTTGTGGTGTGAACTTCTATAGTGGGAGACTGCTGTTTTTTCTTTCCAGATCTGCATCTGATGATGTCAGATGTTGACTCCGTCTGACCTTAGGCAGTCCGTTCGAGACTTCCAGGAATCTACTGTCTGTGGCTGTCTCCTTCAGTTATTAATCTAGTCACTATGCATTCAGCAGTCAGGCTTAGACATCACAGAGTGGAGCAGAGTCCTGCCTAAGGGCAGGGTTATTGGGTCCTTTCACACTGATGCCACTCAGGGGTACGATCTGCCTGAGCAAGATAGCTGCTGCTGCATGGGGGAGGAGTCAGCACTGGGATCCTGTGAGCTATTCTCTCAGATGTCTCCCCAAAGCTTCCTTCCCCAGTCTCTCTTCAGGCGTCTCCAGCCCTCTCTCCCCCCACCTTTGCTGGAGCCCAGGGTAAGTGGCTGCAAATAAACATTTATGCATTGGCCCTTTAAGCGGCTCCTTGCATCTCCAGCTGCCAGTCTCTGGCAGACAGCAACCCTGTGGCTTTTCGCAGCTGGGTGTTTTCTGTGTACTTTTTGGGCTCTGGTGCTGAAGGCTGAGGATCCCTACTTATGGTTTAGACCCCACTCTTCTCAGGGGGTTCCAACTGGCCGTTTAAATATCCTTCTCACACTGCTACCCGTGGGCGCCCAGTCAGCCTTCTCGTCTCCACTGTCCTCCTTACCAGTCAGGTTGTGCTAAAGCTGATTCTTCTGTCTGTCCAAGGTTATCTTTTGCCCAAATTTTTGAGGGAAAAATAAGGGTATGCATTATACATGGGTATACTGTCTATATACCATGAGCAAAATAATGGGTATAATAATCCTGTGTACAATGCACACAAAAACATGGGTGTGCATTATACACGACAAAATATGGTAATTAGAAACAAACACAAGGAGGCTGCCAAACTGAGAAGACAAAGAAACATGGCCCAATTGAAAGAACATAACAAAACTCCAGAAAAGGAGCTAAACAAAATGGAGAAAACAATCTATCCAATGCAGAGTTCAAAATGCTGGTTACAAGGATGCTCAAGGAACTTCATGAGGACCTCAATAGCATAAAAAATATCTAGTCAGAAATGAAGGATACACTAACTGGAATAAAGAACAATCTATAGAGAATCAATAGTAGAGTAGATGAAGCTGAAAATCAAATCAGCAACATGGAACATAAGGAAGCAAAAACAATCAATCAGAACAGCAAGAAGAAGAAAAAATAAAAAAATGAGGATAGTGTAATGAGCTTCTGGGACAGCTTCAAGAGGTTCAACATTAACATCGAAGAAGTGCCAGAAGGAGAGGAAAGAGAGCAAGAAATTAGAAATTTATTTGAAAAAATAATGAAGAAAAGTTTCCTAACTTGGTGAGGGAAATAGACATACAAGTATAGCAAGTTCCAAACAAGATGGGCCCGAAATGGCTCACACCAAGACACATCATAATTAAAATGCCAAATGTTAAATACAAAGAGAGAACCTTAAAAGTAGCAAGAGAAAAGCTATTAGTTACCTCCAAGGGAACCCCCATTAGACTGTCAGCTGATTTCTCAAAAGGAACTTCACAGGCTAGAAGAGATTGGCAAGAAATTTTCAAAGTCATGAAAAGCAAGGACCTACAAGCAAGATTACTCTACTCAGCAAAGTTATCATTTTGAATTGAAGAACAGATAAAGAGTTTCCCAGGCAAGAAAAAGCTAAAGGAGTTCATCACCACCCAGCATTATATGTAATGTTAAAGGATCTTCTTTAAGTGAAGAAGAAAATCACAAATATAAACAATAAAATGGCAATAAATACATATCTATCAAGAACTGAAGATAAAAACAAAATGAATAAGTAAGCACAACAGAAACAGAATCATAAGTACAGAGAATGTTTTGGTGGTTGCCAGATGAAAAAGGTGAAGGGATTAAAAAGTACAAATTGGTAGTTTCAGAATAGTCATGGGAATGTAAAGCACAGCAGAGAGAACAGAGTAGCCAAAGAACATACATGCGGTACCCATGGACGTGGACAAACAACGTGGGGGTCTCTTGAGGGAGTGGGAGAGGGCTGGATGGAGGGACACAAAAGGAGAAAAACTGGAACAACTGTGAAAGCATAACTAACAAAATATAATTTTTAAAACTCATTCATTGATTTCATGACTCACAGGTGACTCATGACCTGTCAATTCAAGCGTCTTGGGTCAGAGAATCTCTGGATCCACCCTATGGTATCTATCTGCAGCTGAATAGTCCCACCTCTCTGCCTGAGTCTTATCTCTCATTCACTCACTCCTTTTCTTCTTTCCATTGTGATACAGGAGAACCTCAGATTCCTTTCTTTGCCCTCTGCACTCTGCTCTCTTTTTTCCACTGAAGAATTTAGTTTCATGTAATAAATACTTTCCAAGTTGATTTTTCTAGTCCCAACTTTCTTAGCTCTGTTTTCAACTCTCTCATCATGATGGATGTCTTCCCTCATCTCAGAACTCCACACTCCCCATGTCCAAAACTAAAAACAAACGAAAGTGCTGCAGAATCAAGAAGCCTTGAATTTCAAATACATCTTGGTAAGCCTACTACTCAATATTGGCAAATGGGAATTACAATTCATACTTATTTCTTAGACTTGTTTTAAAGACTGTATGTTACTCCTAGTGTTCAGTTTGGTACACATTATGTGCCCAATGAAGGTTAGTGTCATTTCTACCTCAAATTCCTTTCCAAATTCCTCATTTCTCTTAGTGACATCAATACTATCCAACAGCATCAGGTTCAAACCTGGTATTTTTGTGTGACCTTCCCCCACCTCTCCTACTATCTGCTGCAATATCAAGTGCCTGCTTTGAAATAAAATCCACACATTGTTTTCTCCCTTCCATCATTTCCCTACATGGGTGTCTTCCCTGTTCTGTTTTCCTCTTTCACTTTTCACCACTTTCTCATCTCCCACAGACCTGGGTCTGTGCCTTAGTGCTCCTGTCCTTGCACTCAACTCAGAATGCAGACAAATCCCTGGGGTGATACCACCTCTGCTCTTTCCTCTGACTTTGTTCTGCATCTCTCCTAGCTGAGCCTTTTCTCTTTGGACAGACCCCGGGGTCCCGGAAAGTCCAGACACTCCCATCTGTCCAGCCTTGTGTTGGGCAGCCCCTTCCCCTGGTTGAGCCATTCTGAGGACGGGGACACCAGCTTCTCCCTCATTCTCTTCCCTGCCATGGAAACTCATCTCTGCCTGTGACCCCCTCACCCTCTTTTCCCCCAGCTCACCTTGGCAGGGAAAGGGAACTTCTCTCTGTCTCTGCCTGCCATTTCTCTCTTCTCTCCCTCTCTTCCACCATCTCCCTCCCTCTCTGTTCTCTCTCTCGCTCTCTCTCTGTCTTTGTCTCTGTCTTCCGGTCTGTTTGTCTCTGTCTGTTTGTCTCTCTCGCTCTTTCTTTGTCCATGTGTTTCTATCTGTCTTTATGACCTCTGACCCATTGTCCGACTCTCTACCCACAGGGAGGCACACCTGGCCCTAAGCTACCTTGGCTGAGACCACCAAGCCCAGCTGCCCCATGTCAGCCCTTAACAGGGGATCAGCACCCACCATCCACACTGTGGATGTCCAAGAGCGTCATCCCAGTTCCCCACCTCTCTCCTCCTCCCTGAGGCCACCTTTCCAGTCTGCAGGTTGAGGGGCACTTACCACTTCCCGCTGGCAACAGGAGGCTGGCCAGTGAGGCACTGAACAGGATGAGGTGCAGCGGGCTGGCCATGGTGTGGCCTAGGACAGCGTCTCTGTCCCCACTGTGATAGACCTCAGGGCAAGGTTCACCCACCCTGGCTTAGAGGGTGGATGATTGTCCTTCTGCTTATCACAGCCTTCTGATTGGAGCCTGCGCCAGAGCGGGGTGAGGGACAGGGGCTGGCAATTATGCTGGGGGCATTGTCACCTGGCCTGCGCAGCCTTGGGGAGGTCCCACGGGAGCCTTGTTGGTAAAGGTATGCAGTGGGGCCTGCTTTGGGCATAGGAACTTTTTGTTCTAAGAAAATAAAAATGTGATTTTATGGTTTTCAGATGTTTACGTATGGCTCTCATTTCAACCTTACAATCACAATATAAGCTAAGTATCACTTCCCTCATCTTTTCTCTGGAACAGAAAATTGAGGCTTAGAGAGACGTGAAGCACCTGTGCTACAGGTGGGATATGAACACAGGACTTTCCACTTATGTGTCCTGCTTTTTCCTCCATCTGACCTGGTCCTTCTGCTCACAGGCCTCTCTCTCTCCAGGTGGTATCAGGGGGTACCCACAAAGGGCCTCTAGCACAGAGGGTCCTGGTGCCTGCACATCATCAGCATGTTAGGCTTGCACCCACACCCCCCAAGTTCAGGGGTTCTGGGAGGCAGAGCTTGTCTTGTGACCCTCCCATGCCATATGACATCTTGTGCCCAGGCCCCTACACATACTTCTGGAAGGATACCCCCGCCTGGCGTGCCTGGAGGAGGCTGCTCTTCTGAAGCCCCAAAAGACCTGTTGACTAGAAGACAAGCTGGCTTGAGGTCGGTGCACTTCTCAGCCCCATGGCAAAGCCATGGAGGCACATGGCTTCTTTTGACAACACCTTTGCCTCACATAATCTATGGGGCTGGGTGCGGGGTGGAGAATGAGCCCTGAGTCAGAGGCCTGACAGTGTAGTCCATTTCTCACGCAAGTGCAGCTCAACGCAGGTCACCTGGGAGAGCACTCAGAGGGTGGCATGGTGTCTCAGGACCAGGACTGGAGGCAGCTCCTTCCTGAGGCCCCCACGCTCCACTCCCCTCACTCAGGGCCAGGAAGTATGGATGGCATCATCGCCAGGGAATATGCCTGGAGAGTCTCATTTCTTGGCTCTCATCCTGGGGAGAGTCCCAAACTCAGGGTTGTGTCTCTTGGCAACAAATGACAGGCATCAGGGAAGGGCGAGTCACCTCAGGTCAGTGGAAGCAGCCCGCAACCTCGGCGGCCAAGCTGGAGAAGGTGTGTGTGCTATGTGCATACCAGTCCCAGGTCTCACTCCCAGAGCAGAAACCTCTCTGAGGCATCAAATGGAGGGACACAGCCTGAGCGCCAGGGCTGAACAGGGTCCCTGGAGCCAGTCTCCAGGCTCTGGAGGAAAAGCCTGGGAAACGGCCAGCAAGGTGAGCGCTGCACTGAGAGAGACAGAAACAGAGGCAGAAAAAGACTGTGCTCCATTCCACAGTGTCCATCGCTCACACACATTCTGCACATGGTGGCTGATTATCCAAAGCTCATGGTCACTAGGATGTAAGTCTCATCATCTGGCTTGTTTGTCGCTCCGTCTCCAGCACCTAGAGGGCTGTCTGGCACCCAGTAGGTGCTCAATAAATGTCAACAGATGGAGTGAGTCAGTTCATTCCTGCAACTTGCCTGCTCTGTGCATGGAGGCCAGGCTGGCCTTTTGCCAGGTGGTCACTGTGACCTACAGTGCCCGGTCCTCAGGGACAACCTGCAGGTGGGGCCTTGGGCCTGTCTTACCTGGTCAATTTGTGCTGTGGTATTGTTTCTGGACAAATTCAGCATGTGTGGGGAGCCTGGATTCTGTGTGACCCTCCCTGTCCCCAGCACCTGACAGTGGGGGGTGGGGGATGAGCTAAGCGCCCCTCACTGAAAGATGGAGATGATCCATATGGTCAGCACATCTGCATGTCAAACATTAGCTTTGGCACCCTTGCTTACAGCAGCTCTGTGAGACGGAGGCCTGCGCCACCCATGGGTGGCTGGGGAAACTGAGGCAGAGCTAGTGACCTACCAGGACCTGGTGTAACCCCGTGTGGACCTGGGGGGCTCCTGGCCTGGCCACTTCAATCCCATCCCTGCCCTTTGCTTTCCAGGAACAGGGTCCAGATGGTTTTCATTTCTAAGAAGAAACTAGAGACTTGCTAGAATTAGGGACTCTGGAGATCTCCTGCATTTTGGTTGCAGAATTTCCCCCAAGTGTCTATAGCCTGGACAGTGGACAGCTGGTGTGGAGAACATCTGGATGTTTGCAAATCAGCCTTACCATCCATGATGACATGATTGCCTTCCCCAGATGCATTGTTCCACATGCACTGGTTTCATTCTCATGACAAGCATTGAGGCGGGCTCCCATCTTACAGAGGAGGAAACAGGGCACCAAGAGGGTGAGCGGCTTGGCCAAGAGTTACAGGCAGAGCCAGAGGGAGTCCAGGAGGTCTGGCCCTACGTTGGGTGCTTCAAGTGGACGTCTGACCACCTGGTGAGATCCCTAAAAATGTAGCCTGACGCAGGCAGCAAACCTTTCCTGTAAAGGCCCAGATCAATCATCAGGTCTGTGGGTCAGATGGTCTCTGGCCAGATGGTCTCTGTATCAACTACTCAGCGCTGTGGTTTTAAGCAGCCATGGATGATTTGTAAAGGAATGACCGTGTCCTAATGAAACTTTATTTACAAAGTCAGGTGGCTTGGACTCAGCCCTATTGGTAGCTTGTGGACCACAGTCCGCTCAAAACTAAATGTAGCTAGACTGCTCAGCAGAGCAAGTCCCAGCTCCTTAATTCGCTTGTGTCAAGTACCATCGGCATTTCTGGCATGGGACAGCACCACGCCCCGTGCCGAGGGGTGGTCCCTGAGTGGGGGCGGCGGGAGAGTGAGGAAAGGACAACACAACACAAAGACTCAACACAAGAAAGTTTAAGGAAAAGTGGGGGCCAGGTGGGACATAATCCTCTGATGGAGAGACAATGACAATGACCACGGTCCCCGCGTTTATTTTATGGGGGTTGGTTAGATGAAGTTCAAGGACGTTTCTGCAGCTGCAGGTGAAGGTTGTTCGTTTCCCAGGCCGGCTAAGTGATACCGCAGTTGCATCCAGCTGAAGCCTGCGGTGACCTTTTTCCTTCCCAAGCCCACGGGCTCGGGCTGCCGCCAGCTGCCAGCTTGCTCTGCTTTGCAGATGCAAGCAGTCAAGTGTGGCCTTGCCAAGCACTTGACCTGGCTTTTGACGCCAGCTGTCACTGTCCCCCACAGGCCAGGCCAGTCTCACTATCCTCCAGTCCTGTCCTGAGGGAGGGTTGTGCCCGGTGGGTTTGTTCCATCACCTTCACCATGTCCAAGGGGGCCCCCTGGAACTTTGATGGTTTGTCTCACTCTTCCCTACCTGAGACCTATGTGACCCTACGTTTGGTGTGCCCGCTGTCACCTGATGGACTTGATAAAAATGTAACTCACCACGTCCCACCACCCTCGGATCCCACGGATCTGGACAAGAACATGTGAACACACATTTTGTGGAGCATCCATTTTGTGGAGTGTCCCTGGAGGTTCTCAGGCAGCTGTACCCGGGGACTGCCTTTGAGGACTGTCATTGATGAGGGCCTTGGCAGGAAGAAATCACCCACGTCTATAGGGTTTTGGGAACTGCAGCCTCCAAAATCCCTCAGGGAGCTCTTGGTTTTAAAAATCAGCCTCCATGTAAAAATGTTCATTTCATGACGTTGCCAACAGCTTGATTGGTGATGAACACCAGGGTCTCAATGACATGAATACAGACAATCCACGAGTGCCAGGCTGCCAGGAAAAATGCACGGAGGAGACTCAGCTGTTTGTCGTTTGAGGGGAGAACCAGCGGCAAATGGGATGTAGAGCCTTTTATGCAGCTTATTTTAGGGTAAAAGATACATGTGCAGAACAAATGTGGAGGATATCTAGCAAAGTGAATGAATGATGCTTCCAATTTATTTGAAACAAAGATGAAATACTTGTATAGAAAGGAAAACAAATGAAAGCTAAAAGCCCGCCCTCAGAACGTAGCACACGTCTCTGGGTGAATGCACACTGGAGCAGAGGCCTGCGGCGAGGTGTGGCCACTTCCCCATGTCCCTCACATCCGAGCTTCCTGTCCCCCTCACCCACCGCCTTGTGCTGCTCACCTTTCTATTCCCTCAGTCTGTGAACCTCTGAGTCTCTTTCTCGCTCCTCCTTGGAACCCCTCCCCTCACTTTCTCTCTTCTTCTCCATCTCCCTCACCCACTCTCACCCTCTCCCCTCTCCTCTAGGCCTTTCCCTAGGCTTGTCTCCTCTCCACCGCCATCCTCCTCTCCATCTCTGTCTCTCTCCCTCCCCCATTCTCTCTACTTTCTTTCTCTTGGTCTCTTTCTCCTTCTCTCATTCTGTCTTTCCTTCTCTGTCTCTCTCTCAGTCTCTCTGTTTCTCTCCTTCCCTCTCCCTATCCCAACCCCAATAAAGGCAGGAGAATTTACAGGATTCGAAGCCAGGACAACCCAAGCAATAGCAGCCTTATTTCAGGGGAGCAGGGTCCACGGAGCCAAGACTGAGGGACTAGGGGAGCGGGGCTCGCAGGAGGCCTTCTGAATGTGCTTCCGAGCTCATGAGCCGTTGAAGCCACTCAGTGTACTGGGAGACCCTGGTGTACACCCCAAATTGGCCTTTGGCTGCGCAGCCCACGCCCCAGCTGACAACGCCCGTCAGGTACCACGTATCCTGGAACTTGGTGGCGTGCGGGCCCCCGCTGTCCCCCTGGCAGGCGTCCTTGCTCCCATCCAGGTAGCCAGCACAGAACATGTTATCCGTGACCTTTGGGGTGCCCTGCTTCCTTTCTGACTGCTCCAGACAGTCCTTGGTCATCAGCCTGGGCACATCGATGGCCATGAGCTCAAGGGCCGTGGAGCCCCTTTCGAGGAGCTGCCCCCAGCCGCTGACGGTTGAGAATCGAATGAAGGCCAGGGTCCTCTCGGAGAAGGACTTCTCGGGCAGACACAGGGGCACTGCATAGTCAGTGAAGTCCACAGGCCTGCTCAGGCGGAGCAGGGCGATGTCGTGGTCCGTCTTGCCTGCGATGTACTTGTTGGGGACAATGACCTGAGTGACGTGCCGCTCCTGCTCATCGCCATCCTCCTCACTCATGTCATGCTCACCTATGGGGAGACCAACGCCACTTACACCCTTTGCCCTGCAGCCTTAGGATGTGGCCCTTCCCAGACCTCAAGAAGGTTGGAGCTTCCTTTGTGGCAGGAGGGGTCCTGCATCCAACTCCAGGCTGGCCTGGGTGGCACCACTGGGCTCCATGCAGAACATGAATTGGGGGTGAATCTGGGGTCTGGAGTGCTTAAGGCATCGAGGGGGGTGCTGGGCCGGGCAGCCTGGGCAGGTGGGGAGGACTGCCCGATCCTCCCAGTGCTTTGCAGACAGGGCATGGCCCTCCCCAAGGTTCCTTATCATCCCATAAATCCACCAAGCCGAGGCCTGGCCATGGTGGTCCAGGAGCCCTGAGTGCCTGCATCCCCCTCAGGGCTCTTGGCCCGAGCAAGACAGGTGGGTACAGTATCACCCCCTGTGTCTTTACTTGGGGCAGGAAGCAGGCTGGGGGATGTGGCCGCAGTGGCTCCCTGCGGGCATTGGGGTTGGCCCAGAGGCTCCCCACTTCTCTTTTTGGAGGCGCTCATCTGGTTGTGGGAGTTGGAGGTTCAATGCCCTGAATCTTAGCCCCCAGTTGTTATCACTCAAGAGCTGGCCTCTTGTCAGAAGGTGGTAAGAACAAAACCTACCCACTACCACGGTCAGATTCTTCCAATTCTGGATTCTGTCAAAACAGTGGGCTGCGGAGACCACCCAGGTGGCGTTGATCAGGGTGCCCCCACACAGCAGCACCCCGTTCATCTTCAGCCCAGCCTAACAAGATATAACAGACATGGGAAGGTCATGTTGTTGTCCTTGGGGTCCCCTTCCTGGAGAATCTCCTTTTCCCTTCACCCTCAGGGATGGGCTGCATTTATAGGAGGGTTTCTGAAATCCTGGGGGCTCCCCAGGGCCCTTCTGGGACAAAGCTGTTCCAGCTTCTCTCCAGCAGGGTGTCTCCCCATCTAGCTAAGGGAAGGGAGAGCTCAGGGACACCGGCCTGCAATGGGGATGGCGGTGCTGAGTTCCTCTGTGCACCTCCCACCACTGCCTTCCACGCTTGACCCAACGTGCCTGATTTGCAGAGATCAGGCCAAGTGTTATGCTCCTAGAGCACGGGAGGAGTAAACGAAATAGCAGAGTGAAGCACTGAGCACATTCTAGGAACAAGAAGACCCTCAATAAATGTTTCCTTTCCTCTTTTTCTTCCTAAAAGCACAGGGGATGCTGAGCAGCGTCCTTGCACGCTTCCTGCGTGGAGACATTTTCCTTATGGTGACTCCTCCACAGTGGGTGGGAAAGGAGCCGAGGTCTGGCCAGGCCGGCCTGCAGACAGCGAGGAACGCGAGGCCAGAGGAGGCCCGGCTGAGGGGGAGGCAGAGCCACCAGTGAACAGCCCTGGGCTGGTTTTCGACAGTCACCATGCGTTGTGTGAAATTGGATCAACCAGGGAGGGAAGAGACCGGAAATGGGGTTCGCCAGTCTAAAGCCTAACATCCAGAGCTGTGCACAGCAGGGAAGGGGTGCTGGGGACCCTCCCTCACCCACATGGGGGAGAGTTGCATCTACCCCTCGGCTGGGACCGTGGGGGTTGAATGATACTGAGAAGTGAGGTCTTGGTGGGGCCGGGCTCAGGGGGCGCAGTGGCCCGGCGAGCCCGCCCGAGAGCTCCCCACTGTCAACGCAGACCCACATCCAGCAGCGCTGCCTCGGACTCGGAGAGGCTTCGCCACCCAGCGATGGGGGGCTCTGGCGGACACATCAGTCCTGTTTAGGTGTATCTAACTCAGATTATTCCTCTGAACACCAAAAACCAGGGTTTTGCAAAGCCGAGGAGTGGGCCCCCGACGGCCAAGGCCCCGGCCTGGCCCTGACTGCTCTGGAGGGTGGGGTGGACTGGGGCAGGCCGGGTGGGTGCAGGGCTGCCAGCTCAGCAATAAATGCAACCTCTTCGGGCTGGGCTGGAAAAGCCAGGTTGCTGTGACCAGGTTGGAGCTTCCCTGAGCCCGAGACCAACGGGCGATTCTCCAATCTCCTTTACAAGGTTGTCATTTGTCTACATTCATTTTTAAAACTTCTTGGCTGTTTAACTTGGGGTGTCTCAGGATGAGAGGTTAAAGAGGAGTCACTGATTCGGGTGCAGACCTGAGTTTGCAGGTCTCAGAGCGGCGGCTCTTCTTACACAGGAGTGGGCACCTATTCCCGGAGATGCTGACCCTGCAGGCTGGGGGCCTGAGACTCTGCATTCCCAACTGAGCCCACGCTCGTAGGCAGCCTTGCAGAGGGATGCCTGGAGGGGCCAGGGCCCATAGACCCGACCACGCGCGGGGGGCACAGACTTCCGGCTGGCAGAAGGACTCTGCTGCAGGTCAGAAGTCACCCTGTATGATCTCGCTTATATGTGGAATACAAGAGAACAAAACAAGCGAATACACAAAACAAAGCAGAAACGAATTCACAGGGAATAAGCTGATGGTTGCCAAAGGGGAGGGGGTTCGTCATTTTAAGAAATAAAATAAATAAAAAAAAATGCAATGTCTGGCATACAAAAAAAAAAAAAAAATCTTGGCTTCCAGAGGCGGATATAGCAGGTGGAGCTTTGAAGGGGAGGGAGCTGGGTTCAGATTGCGTGGCCTCAGCTTCCTCCTCTGCGGGAGGGAGAGACACTAGGAGCCTGTGAAGAGGGGGGAAGGAGGAGCCCTGGCTGGCAGAGGTGCTGGGGACACGGAGGCCTGAGAGAAGGGGCCTGCGGTGTTAGGAGGAAATCCACGGAAGCACTGCCGTGAGCTGGGGAGGGGGGGTTGGGGGGGCACAGGACCTGAGGTGTGACCCCCTGAGGCTGACCTGCCCACTTTACCTTTGAGGGCTCAAGGGACCCTGAAGCCTTACCTGCCAAGGACACTCCCCTTTGGGGCACACCTTGCCACCCACAATTCGGCCTTGGGGTTGCCTGAGATTTCTTTTCTCCAGAACAGGTATTTTTCCACACGGGTATTCAACTGTATAAAACACAAGTGAGCAAGATGTCGGGGGTCATGAGGGACTAACGTGCTAGTGAGAGGAGGGCCCCGAGCCCGCAGGCCGTGGCTCTGCCTCCGGCTCCCGCCCTGGGCCGCCAGAAGCCTCTGGGAGCGGGGAGGCCTGTGGAGGCTGCTGGGGGAGCCGAAGGGGCAGAGGCTGGTTTTGCAGGAACAGAGGGCCCTACTTCCTGAAACTGGTTTCTGCTTATTTTCCTGGGGAAAGATGAAGTGCTGCTGGAATTCTAAAGGCTATGCAGCCTCTCAGACAACTGTGCTTTACCGTCCTGTTAGTTTCCGGTCTGCTCCTATACAGTCCTTTGTCCAGAAAACAAAGTGTTTAGAGGTGGCAGCAAAAGTTCAGGCTGTACTGAGCATGCTAGGCACCTTTACCTCTGGAGAGACACAGGGCTTCGGGTGCCCCAGCCTTAGGAATTGCAGCCCCATCTGTTCGAGGTTGGTTTGCAGAAATTCTCCATTTTCCTAGAAGTGCTTGCCTTTAGAAAAGGTTTGGAAACCAGAATTGTGCTGTAGTCAGTATCACCCTTGGGTGGGGCAGTAGATTCCCAGCAGAGAGGACTGGCAGTGGGGCGGGGCAAGCTTTGTTTTGCTCCTCCGGGCCCACCTGAGATGGGTGGCGGTCCGAGGCCCATCCAGGGAGCGGCTCCCAGGGCTCTGTCCTGCCCGCTGTTGCCCTGGCCTGCCTCCGCCCTCACGCTCCTCCCCGCCTCTGAGCATGCAGTAGGTGCTCAGTTAACGGCATGTCACCTCATCTCATCTTTTAGCCAAGAGGAGGACTTGTGGCAGGACAGAAGCTGGTGACTGCTCATGTGTCAGTGAAAGAACACACAGCGTCGGAGCAGATCACCGAGGGCGTTACCTGTGGGTGTGCAGGACACCTCGTCGGCCTGCAGTGCGTACCCCTCGTGACACCAGCAGGTGCGCCTGGCCTCCGCCTGGTTGCTGCAGTACTGCTGGCAGCCCCCATTCTCGTTCTCGCAGATCAGCTGGTCGTTCTTGTCTGGGCACAGAAGGAGGCAGCCTGAGAGGGGCCTCTGCAGGCGGGGGAAGCCAGCCCTGGAGGCCACCCCTCCTTGGGCCAGGGGCAGCGTTCGGCATGAAGGTGGCCTCCACTGCCAGCCGCAGAGACTGAGCCTGCACTGCCCCAGCCTGCAGATTGATCCAGAAAGGTGGGGCGTGGTGTTTGGGGGCTCGCCCATGTCTGAGCAGCCTGACCAGTGGGGACACGGGGACAGCATGTGGTGGTCCCCACACCGTCACCCCTCCCAGCAGCTGGGGGTTGCTGAGGAGGGTCCGGGGAAAGCAAAAGTCACCTGGGGACAGTAGAAGAGCCGAACTCAATCAGAGACCTGGCAGTAAAAGGTCAGAGAGATGAGACTGCTCTGCAGCCCAGTGACCACTGATTCAAACAGACAGAGGAGGGACCCTTGGCCTGACTCTGAAGGACAGCACTTTGCTGTGGGAAACAGGGCTGGCTTGCTGTGGAAGGGCAGCTGAACATCAGCAGCCGGGCAAAGACGCTGAGGCTCTCAGCCCCTCTGAGCTGGCAGGAAGCGCTTCCCCGAGTCTTTCCTCCTCTCCGTCTGGCCTCTGTCCTGCTTAGGGCAGAAGGTGGCTCATGCAGCATCACAGCGTACACCTGTGTGGGGAAGGCTCCACCTTGCCTGAAGGGAGGTCTGGCCTTAGCCCTCAGCTCCTGGGAGGTGACTTCTCCACCCTGATTAAGTTGGACACTTTTAATTTAACCTCCTGCAAAGAGTGTTATTTCCTGGTTCCCTTGGGTCACACCGGACGGTCTAAGGGTATTATTCACGTGGGGCCGTGGGCCGCACACTATCAGCTCAGCTTCTGGGGGCTGCGGACTGAGGTCAGCCTTGCGGGTGGTCAGTCGTCACGAGGTGACGGAGCCCCGGTAAAATCTCTGGGCACTGAGGCTCAGGCACACTTCCTGGCGGGGGTGATGCTCATGTGTCTTTTTGTTGCACATCAGCCTTGGAGAATGAAAGACTGTCCAGATGGCCACCCTGGAAGAGGACAACTGGAAGTTGCTGATTTTAATCTGTATCTTTTTGCTATAATAAACTGTAACTGTGAATATATCAGTTTTCAGTGAGTTCGGCAGGTCCTTCCCTCAGATTATTGAACTTGAGGATGGTCTGGGGGATCCCTGAACTTTGCAGTACTTTAATATATGAAAGGTGAAAGAAATATCTCATACTTATTTGTAATAGCAAGTAGGGAAGGTCAGCTGCACCCAGCCGTCCTGGCGGGCAGGGTGTGTGGAAGCTGGGCAGTGAAACAGTGGTTCTCACCTGCTCCCTTTCCACGTGTACCTGAATTCCCCGGTGCTGGGATCCTGGGGGTTTTTGTTTCCCAGAAGGGAACAGGGGGCGATCACATTTGAGAACTGGCACCTCAGAACCGCGGGTCCAAGGCTCTCGGGTGGGCAGTCATCTCGGCCAACTTCCCACCAGCTCCAGGCCTGCCCAGGCCGTGCCCCTCGGCCGCCCCAGGGACCTGTCTGCAGGCTGTGGGGTCTCTCACTTGTCTCACAGTTCCGGCCCTCGAACTCATCAGGGCAGAAGCAGATGTAGGACTGCAACTGGTCCTCGCAGAAGCCTCCGTTCTGGCACGGATTTGAGGCACATTGGTCGCCATCTGTGGAGTGAGTCAGTGTCTGTATGCCGAGGAGAAGGGCTTGAAGGTGGGACATAAATGGGCTGTTTACCGACTCACCTGTGTAATACATCCAGAACTGCTTCTGAGGGAACAAAGAGGAAGCCACGTGAGAGACACGCTCACCAGAAGCAAACATTTATGGTGTCCACCGAGTGAGCCGATGGACTGGGTGGGCTGGGGGCGTCTCCCCAAGGCCCTTCGCAGCGGGCCCTGGAGGCCAGGCTCTCCTCTGGAGATGAAGTGGGCTCCCCGGGGGGAGAAAGGTTTTTCTTAGTCCCTTGTTCGCCACCGCAAAGTGTAAAGGCCACCAGAGGCCACAGATTTCCATCTCTCAGTCCAAGTACCCAAGTGTCAGCCCCAGTTAGCTGCAGTTCTGCCGCCTCCGAACTGTGAACCTGGGATAAGGCCCAGGTGCAGTCTGAGCCTCTGCTCCCTCTTGGGCTATGCGCCATCACCCACACCCATGGGCCGGCACGAGGAGAAGGTCAGTGATGGATGGAAAGGCATTCAGGGAGCACAAAGGGCTCCATCGACAACACTGATGTCCCGAGGAATCTTTCAACCAACTGAACATAAACTCACAGCATTGCTATGAGAATAAAACAAGATAAAAACTGTTGAAACTGCTTTGGAAAACTAACTGGTACACAGCCACCAAGCATGACCATTTTCAGCTTCCACAGAAAGATTCCTGTTAGCCTCTGTCTCAAACAGCCCGACTTCCTGCGGGGCGGGGGGCGGGCGGGGGAGGTAAAGCATTCTCAGAGCATGAGGTGAGGCGAGTGTCTTGGTGGATGTGAGGCGTGGCCTTATCTCACCCTAGCTTGACCCCCACTCCTATTGAAGTGTTGAAAGGGATGTGATACATTTTAAACATGTCTCTTTCAGAAGATGGAAACAGAAAGCCCTTCTATTCTCATGGCCCAGGGGCAAGTGGAGGAAGCAGTGGTTCCCGAGTGTGTCCTCACACGTTTCCCTGAGGAGGTGCCCCCGGCGGGTGCAGCAGTCAGAAGCTCACCCAGGCTAGTCTCAGACAGCTGCTCTGACGGCAGCATTTCTGTGAAGCAGGGGCAGCTTTAGGGGCCTGGGAAGGCAAGGGACACATCGAATATGCTGTTCAAACTGTTTTCTGATGCAAAGTTTGGGATGCATGGTATGGCCGAGAAGAGGATGTCCCTGGAAACGGGGGTTGTTTTGGAGCATCGCAGGACCTTGGACTAAGGAAGGTGAAGGAATTCTTAGGAATAGTGACCCAGATATGGAGAGGCGGCGGGGCAGGGGGGCGGAGAGCTGTGCATGCTGAAGCTGCCAGTGCGTTCACGTGTGTGTTCACCTGGGCATGCAGCGCTCACAACCACAGAGGCGAGAGACTTGGCCTCCAGGACCCGGGCGAACTCCGCTGCCACAGAGCTCCTTTCCTGCAGACTCAGCGCACTGGCCTACCTGTCTGTGGTGCAGAGGGCGCCCCCTAGGGGCGAACTCACCAATCTCTCGGTGTTCCTGAAGATCTCCCGGGCCTCCTCGTAGGAGCATAGCTCCTCATTGCACTCTCTCTCCAGGGAGCCCGGCCTCAGCTCCTCCAGCCACGAGTTGGCACGCCTTTGCCTGTGCAAGATGCTTTGGGCTTCCTCCTGGGTAATGAACACTGAGAAACAGGAGTTCCATGAAATGTGCACAACCTGCCACGCCAACATGGCACAGAAACCCTCCACACTGGCCTTGTCCCCTCAGCAATAGCAGTCAAAGGGGTCCTGCCTGCAGGCTGGCTGCATTCAAAACAGGAGTGCTTTCTCATGGCTGCCTGGTGGCAGACTTTATATACAAGAGAAAGGCAATATGTTCTCAAAATAATAATTTAACACACTCACCTTTTGACCTGGTCGCTTTACTTCTAGGAATGTATCCTAAAGAAATACTCAGTGGTATGCACAAAAACCTAGCCTCAAGGAGAGCTACTGCTCATAATCCTCTGAAGCAAGCAGATGAAGTACTCATGCTGCCAGGAAATAGAATGTGTAAGAAGCTGTGACAGTAAGCGAAAAAAGAAGATAATAAAACAATATTTACTGTATAATAGTTTTGTTAAATAAACATGTATATATGAGTAAATGTAATTTACTGAATGAATGTACACAAAAAATTAGCATTGGGGATTAACAGCTCTTGTGTTCCAAAATGTGCACATTCGACATGTATAACTTCTATAATCAAAATATGCACCTCTTCTGTCCCTGGGCCCTAGAGCGTTTCGTCCAGAGCTGCCGAATGAGTGAGCTGGAGGATCCCGTGGGGGCGCACGGTCCTACGGGATGTGTGTTTGAGAGCAACCGGGCAGCAGGGAGAGGCTGGGCTGGGGTGGGGGTGAGGTAGGGCGAGGCAGAGGTCGCTGAGACGACTGAGAGGGGCCGACGGTGGCCCGATGAGGGGGCAGGTGGGGAGGGCCAGGCCTTTCCTTGTCTCCATTTAAAGCCCCATAGTCCCGTTGGCTGCACGTCCTGGGCCTGTTCTTCCCGGCTCTTCTGGAACTCAGGGTATTTCCCAGTGTAGTCAGTTGTCTCCTCCCAACAAACTCACCTAAACCTCCTCTGCTTTGCCACCAACCTCTCTTCCTCCCTTCAAGATCACATACTTGAAGGAAAGTTGCCCACCTTCCACCAAGGTTCTTAAATTGACCCTTAGACCTGCTGTAAGCAAAAGCCACTGTGACCCCCTCAGGCTCCTCGTGGACCTTCTCAGCGGCAGGAGACCTGCTGATCACTGTCCACTTCTCCGCAGTCCCTCCCCGGGCCACCAAGCCCAGCCGCCTCCTGGTCCCCCTCCCGCCTCTCTGTCCACCTCCTCCAGCCCCCTTTGCTGCTGGCATTGAGTTTGGCAGCCTTCAGTTTTTGTCTTTCTACCCTAAAGACATTTCGAGCCCCCTTGCTCCATTTCTGGCTTCATGCCCCCCTCCATTGACCAGAACCCCTGCATTTATTTCCACCAGGACGTACCTCAGAACCCCAGACCTCTGTGTCCGGCTTCCCTGTAGACTGAGTGACCCACATTCACAGCCACTCCCTTCGCCTCCGCCGCACAGTGTCCGTGCTCCTCGCCCAAACCCTGCCTTGGTGAACAGCCCTGCCGGCCTGCCCGGCCGCGTCTCTCCGAGGCCCCCGCAGCCACTCTGCGGCCGCAGCTGCCGCCTTCCCGTGCCTGCCCCTCTTCTCTCCACCCCGGCAATGCTGCCTGAACTGGGGCGCTCCAGCCTCCTCTGGGTCCTTCCTGAGCCTTTGCCTGCTGCCAGTGGGGCAGAGCAGCTTCATGCCCCCTCCTGGCATCTCACAGCGACCCCCCCAGTTACTTGAGGGTAGCTGGTGCCCCCCCATTTTTCTTATGAGACAGGGAGGTGGGTGAGGCTTGAACTCACCCAAAGCCACACAGGGTAGGGGTGATAGAATCAGTCTGAACACCTTGAGTTCGAGGATTCTTTTGGACAACAAGGCAGACATGGGATCTGCACCCCAGACGAGGGCTTGGTGATGGAGGTGAGGATGTTGAGGTTGATGAGGTCATGCAGAGGTTGAAGTCAAGGGCGTGGAGGAGGCCAGGAAAGCCCATGGAGCCCCTGGCGCCGTCCCACTGTGTGTGACCAGCCCTGTTGGGGGCTGTGCAGTGAGCGATCCTAGCGATAAGCAGGGTGCACGTTGGGTGAGAACAGGAAAGCAGGAGGAAGCCAGCCCCGAGGGCAGAAGCCAAGTGAGGAAACAGGTCCCAGAGGAGAGAGGACCCAGAGACCGGCTTTGGAGAGGGCGAGGCTTCCGGGCAGAAAGGGCAAGGTGTCTGTGCTGCTTCCTCCTGTCCATCGTAAGCCTCTGGTGAGGTGGGAGGGGGGCCGGGATGGGTGGGAGGGAAAGTTATAGAGTGTGGGGAAGGGGGGCTGGGGGGGAGGGGAAGTGCCAGCTCCTGGGCCACCCAGGCTGAGAGACCACATCAGCTTTAAAATCAGAGACTTTCACCTGTCTGTATCCTGGGGCATTGGGCTAGCTTAGAAGAATTTGAGCATTAATCAAAGAATGGCGGCTCCTGAGAGGGGAGGTGGCCACAGAGCCCATATGGGGAGGGGAAGGGGTAGACACTGGAGACAAGGGATCACAAAAGAGCCAGGGGCTAACCAGAGCTGAATCGCTGGCCTGTGGAGGAGAGCGAATGTGCACCGAGAAGCTCTCAGGGAAGCAGAGACAACTCTGATAAAGTAACACGATCACTGCAGGGAATTTGAAAAAGACAGACTAGAACAAGGAAGATGTTGAAAGTCACTTGCAACTTGTCACTGTTTTCCTGACCTAAGAAAGAACAACAGGCAGCACCGCCTTTCTCTGGGGCAGGACATGCTCTCCTTCGGGCACCTGAAGTCACCAGGGCAGGCAACCACCCCTCGGATGCCCAGCTAGTTTCTCGCAGTGGGATCTGAAGTGGGGCCGGATAGTAAGAAGCTAGGGAAATTCCTTGACAAATGGATAAGGGAAAATGAGACAAAAGAATTAAACAAGGCCAAACAATTTGAACAATTTACAGCCAGCTAATGAATTACAAGGCTTTTTCTTCCCTAACCAAGGACACTCAGAAGCAAATGACTTACACATTCCAGACCATCGAGGGAAGGCCACCCTCCACCCCAGTCCCTCTTCAGTAATGCTCTTTAAAAATGAAACTTCCAGAAAAATAACCCTGATCCCTCTACACACATATTTTGATAAATCAACATATTGAAGGACATGTCTGAAAAGCTAATAAATATTCTGTTAAGACCCTCCCCTGAGTCCTCCCCTAGGATTTGCCCAACTGCCAAGGAAAGATAAGATGCCTGAGGACAAAGAATCCACAGCGTGCTCTTGCTGGAGCATGCCCATGCTGTGTCTCGGCTAAGTCCTAAAGCTCCCCCTGAAACCTGCCACCAGGGGAGCAGCGGGCAGTGGCGGCTCATCCCAGGCTTACCCCCCAGAACCCGTCTCCAAGGCCCCCATTTTCTCACTTTCTCCTGTGCTTCCTCCACCTTAAGCCCTTCCTCCGTTTCACTCTCCCCAGCTTTCAGAAACATATTCTCAAAATCACCTAGACGCACATTGTGAAATCTTTCTTACGTGAATTCAAGAACCCACACACTCCCAGCAGGGCCCGAGGCAGACCCACTCCAGGCCCAGGCCCCGTCTGGTAACGGAGGGATGACATGAAGCAGATTTTAGAGGACAGTGTCAGCACCTTGTTTCCACCACCACAGCCACTCGGTACTGTAAAGCCGTGATGAGGACAGCTGATAAACATGTCCCCATGTTTCTCCACTCAGGCCTCCCAGCACCCTCGAGGGGCTGGGAGGGTGGTCGCGGTCCCAGCCATGGTGCAGGGCAGTGCAGCCCAGCGTCACATCCCGCCCCCCCCCCCCCCCCCCGCTGTCCCTGGCACTTGTCAACTGAAAACCCAGGAGGGCAGAACATGAGGGAAGCACACCCCCACCCCACACCCCTGAGCCCCAGATTATGTGTTCTTGTCCAACTGCACATGCAGGTCCCCAGGGGAACGGGAAAGCACCGCAGGTCGGCAAAAGCCTTTGAAAAATAATTCTGCCAAAGTCTGCACCATCAACAGCAGTCTCTCCGCCAATGCCCGGCAAGCACCTGGGCGCTGTTTGTTTTTGGAAGAAAAGCAGACCACACTGGAGCCAGCAAATGCTCCTGGTGAGCAGGAATGAAGGTGAGGTTTCAGGGGGCTCGGCTGCCAACAGCTGGCTGCCCCTCTCTCCATGTTTATAGGGAAACCTCCCCCCACCTTCCTGTGGCACCCCCACATACCTGCAGCCAGAGACCCCTGCAGGCTCAGCAGAAAGCAGAGGAGGGCCAGCCCACCCGGCTGGGGAAACATGGTGAGGTCCAAGGTGTCACTCCCTGTCTGTTGACATTCCAGTGTGGGGCGGGGTGTGGGGGGTGAGCAAAGTTCTCAAATTGCCCAGAGGATGGGGGAGGGAGACATAGCCTCCCAAACACCTGGGCCAAAAGTATGCTGGGGCGGGTGGGCGGGATCAGAGACAGAAAGACAGGGCCTGAGCCCAGGACTCCGGGCCCAGAAAGCACAGCTGAGTCTTCAAAGCAGAGGTTCCTTTTCTGAAACGTCGGTGCACCTGGCATAAGCATCTCAAATGCAATTTAGGATTTTGAAGCCCATAGGGCTAATGATTGCAGTTGGGAAAACAGAGTTAAACTGCAATGAAAAACCATTGCTCACAGTGGTAACACTGGTAAAAGGACAGCACACACCAGGGTGTGAATGTTAATGTTTTGAAGAGAGCCACAGAGGAGACTGACAGGGCTGTCCCCACCTTGGAGGCCTGGTTTCTTAAGGGAGACAGAGCATCTGGCGGAGAAGGGAAGCACCAGGAAAGGGGCACCTGCCCCCAGCTGAGCCACCAACTCCGTTTTGGCTTCAGTTGGCATTCCCCGTGGCCCTGGCATCCAGGTCTTGTCCCTCCCTGTCTTCCTGGCCCCAGGGCACAGGAGGACGGCCAGGCAGGGAAAGGTTTCTCAGATGCCAGACCTCCTGTGCTGAACCTGGGCCCATCCTGGCCCCCTGGGATGCTCGGTTACCCGGCACCCAGCCCCCAGGGGGCCTGGGCCGATTCTCTGGAAGTCGCATCCTTTCCGTGGATGGGTGGAAACTGGGGACACCTGCTCTGTTTATTTCTGGCAGGATCCCAGCCCCACTCCCCAGATGGAAGCGTTAGTCCTTAGAGATATTTTCTTGATCAAATCTGGAATTTTTAATAATTGCTTAATTATTTAGGAATTTATTTGTGGAGCGGGGAGGGAGGGAAGGGGCTTTAGCATTTGACTGCACCTCCCAGCCACAGCCCTTTCTGGGGGCATCTCTGCCCTTGACTTTCCTTGGATTCTTCTTAAAGGAGCAGCTAACCCTAAAGAAACATCTGAGTCTAGTATCTGGGGTAATTTTTTTTTTAACTGCAAGTCAATTTCTTTGTTATTCATCAACCCAAGTATTTTATTTCTCCCTAATTAATTTTAACAACTTGCTTTCTTAAATTCCTATTTTGTTTTCAAATGTATTGGCAGAAGGTTGTTCATAATGGTTCTCTAATTTTAAAGCCTCTATTTATTGTAAAGTTAATCAGTTTTTCCCTATAAATTGCTGTATTTTGTTATTTTTCAAGGAATATGGTTTTGATTTTATTGATTCGTTTTTATTATCTTCTCTGAATTGTGCTAATTCCTCCTTTATACTTTCTTTGGGTTATATTGGTCTTATTTTTAGTTTCTTTTAATGGTAAACTCATTAATTTTGTCATATAAAATATTAAATGCAGCTAGTCTATCAATGCCACTCAGAGCTATGCCTTAGGCGCACTCATGAGCTCTGATGTGCATAATTCTGTCTAGTCCTACATATATCATAATTTCCAATACTTGTTTTCTAAACTTTTAAACTGTTTTTTCACTGTTTTGTAGATATTTGTGTATATTCCATGTGTGTTGAAAATTAATGCATATTTTTTCCTATTTTTAGGGACAAATGGGTATTAATTTCTGTGAGATAATTAAATTTTCACCCATGATTGCTGTCTTTGCTCTCTATCTTTTGAGCATAACTGTTAGATGTTTTGAAGTTCTAAATTTAATTTCATGTGTTATCAATATTGTTATCCCAGCCTCCTTTTGGTTAGAGTTTGTGTTATATGTTTTTTCTTTCTCTTGTTTTCAACCTCTATATAATTTTGTTTTGTGGTCTCTTTTAGCAATTGTTTTATACAATTTGATACTCTTTCCATAGGTCAGTGTAACATAATTACATCTGTTGTGACTGAGAAATATTGGGGCTTTTTTCTTCCATCACCTTTGTGCTCCTGTTCATCATGATTCTCCCTGTGCACACCCTACTCTTCTAGTGATCGACAACTCTTCTCTCTTCTCTACCTTCCTGGTTTAAAAGTGACCAACTGTATTCTTGTTCTGACATGGTAATTCTACATTTCTTTTGTTATCTTTACATTGTTGACACACATAAGCTTTTTGTTAGTCTATCTTCATTGCTTTCTAACAAAGTAAAGTATATGAAAGGTATCTAGGCACTGCCCGCCTTATTTCTGTTTTAAGATGTGATTGTCCTTCTGTGAGTAGATGAGCAAAATAAACACTGCAGTGCTGTGACCTTAAGACAGAAGGAATTCTGTGCCTTTGCAGATGAAGGCAGACAGCAAGAGTTGCTGATGTTTATTCAAACTTCGTCCATACAGTAAAGAATTCTGATTTTTAAATTTCGTTTACATCGGCAGGGGGAAAAAAAGAACAGTGACTGAAACATGAGGTTTTAAAGTGCTTTTAGAGGAAGAGATGACAAAAAATGGTGGACAGTCCCAGGCTGAGATGGTAGGAAAGGCGTCTGAACAATCAATATATTAAATTATGAGACACATTATTTTTCAAATAACGTATACACAGAAGAAAAGCTGCCAAGTCTTGCACGTTTTTGTTTTATTACCACACTCCGGAGGGGTCTGGCTGGCGAGGACATGTGTGTGTGGGGCAAGGACCTTGCCTGTGGTGGTGGGGGAGACTGTTGGCCTCGGCTCCGCAGGGCCTGGGGGGGGCTCAGGGAGGGCTGTAAAGTGACACATTGCCAGCAGCATGAAGGCTATAAATACGTCCCTTACATTGGATACATATGTACACACATCAACATATATACACACATATAAAAATATCTGCCCCAACCGCATACAGAGAGTGTTGCCAAAGAACAGAATTTGTTTCTGAAACACAAAGAAAGGTAAAACAGGAGAGCTTTCTTTCCAGTTCTGCTTTGATTGGAATAAAATAAACTCTGCACCTTTAAATTTCTGTATTTAGGGTGGCTCTGTCCGGCGCGTGCAGGGTGATTTCACTGCCTATGCAGCGGGGGAGGGTGGGAAGGAGGCAGAGGGGGGCTGGGCTCAGGTTTTCCCTGAGCTGCACATGACGTCAGGGGTTCAGATGATACCCTGCAAAAACTGCGTCTTCATGTATTCTTTAAAAACAATAAAAAATCCTAATTCAGTGAAGCGTGTTAAAAAAATGAAGAGTCCTCATTATTTTTGTAGAAAAAAAGGTTAGTATTTTAAATTATTGTTTAAATTTTCTTTTGAAAATTAACTACACCGGGTGAAGGGATTTTCTTGGTTTCTAACTGCTTTTGTTTGTAGAAATGCTGTTTGATTCTATCAAAGGATGTGTTTTCATCCTCATCACCAGGTGGGCTTCGGAGAGTGCCGTCAGCTTCCACGAGAGAGGCCCCCCCCCGCCAATCATTCAGCGGTATATACAACGTGCTGCAATGTAAACCCCAGTAACAAAAAAATAGTTTTGTATCAAATGCAGTATCAAATTGTCATTTCATGTAAACACAGTGATTCTTGGTAAAGATTAGAGGCCAAGGTACCACCAAAAAACGGCCATGGGATTAACCCCTGCTTTAAAAAAAATTTGTAAAAGACAAAATAGTCCCCCCACCCCCTCTCTCTTCAAGCTGTTGGGTCAGTGAATCGGTCACATCTTTTGGAAGCAGTCCCACAGTATGCACATTCCTGCAGAAAGCACCAGACCAGAAATGTCAGAAACCAAAGCAGAGCGGTTGGGGCCAGCTCCTCCCAGGCTGCCTGGCAGAGGTCAGAAGGGACGGCCCCACCTCAGAGCCCTTCTGCACAGGTGGCCTGTTGGCCTGCAGCCATACTCTGTCCATCCAGATTTTCCGAGGAAGCTTGGTGTACTGGTCTTTCCATGGGAACCGGTCTCTGTGCCCTGGGAGGGAATCTGGCATGGAGGCCGGAGGGCAGACTCTTCCTGAACCATCCCTCCGAATGCCCCCATTCCTGCACCATGAGTCTCGGTGGGCAGCAGGCAGCTCGTTGTTCGGGTCTTGTCAGGATCTTCCTTTCCCAGGGCGTCTTAGAGCACCGTCCCCTCACCAAACTAGGCAAGCCCAAGCAAAGGAAAACTTAGAGGTTCGCAGGCTGGTCTCCTGCACTGGGGGCCCGGCCAGTGCTACCCCTGCAGGTCAGAGAGGGGGCCGCCGCAGCTCTCGCTGCAGCTGGAGGAGTTGCTCAGCAGAGCGGACCCTGTGCTGGACTCTGCGGGAAAACCAGGCGAGAACGGCTTCGGCTCCGTACGTGTGCACTCAAGTCCCTCTTTCTTGTAAATAGGCTCAAGGCTGCGAAACCCGGTGGGCTCAGGGCACGGTCAGCGTGGATCGGGGGGTCTTACCTGAGCTGCTCAAGCACTGTGCTGAGCTGGACTTGCTGAGGAGCATGGACAGGCTGCTGGCCGGCACCCAGCCCTCCTTGCTGGAGGTCAGGTTCCTGACATACCTGCAGGGGGTGTGGGCCAGTCAGTGGCTCCAGCCCACTTGCCCAGAGTGGCTTGAGGGTGAGTGCACTGTGGGGTGTCTTACCAAAGGCCCTCGTCGCCCTCCTGAACCACCTCTACCATGTCCCCGCTTCTCACGGCAAGTGTGTTGAGGCCTCCCTTCTCATCGTCCACCACGATGGTGTACCTCCCTGGGACCTGCGGAGAAAGACACACAAAACCCTCTGCTTCTGCCCCCGGGCACTGAACGCAGGCCATGGCGACTATCCAGCAACAGGCAAGGTCCCACGTGAGTGGCCTTCCAAGTGTCCAGCGATAAGAGGAGGACACGAGCACTCTGTCAGGGTCCTGCCATTTGTGGGGCTTCTGGTGCAATGACTACCTTAAATTGGGAGGGTCTCTTAGTTGTAAAAGATGCTAGGTCCCTCATTGTGACCATGCTAAAAAAAAGCCCTACTTGGCCCGCAAAGTGCCCTCAGCTTGCTCCTGGTGGTCTGGCCTTCCTCTGCTGCTCCCTCTGCTCCTGCCACACTGAACAGGCCTCAAATACTCCAAACATAGCCCTTGGCCCCAGGATCTTTGCACCTGCTGTTCCCTCTTCCTGAAATGCTCTTCCCTCCTCGGCCTCCTTTCGAAATGGCAGCCATCCTCACCTAAATACTATATATTTTACTTCGTTATCATTACTGTTTTGCTTCTCTATAGAGGAGATTCTTGTCTATTTTGTGCCGTTTTATCGTCAGTGCCTAGGACAGTGCCTCACACAGCAGATGCTCAGCACCTATTTGTGGCCGACGCTCTGTAGAGGATGCGGGCCCTGGGAAGAGGAAGCTGTTCTGACGGAGCATGGGGGGAACTCAAGCCTCAGTTGGCAATAAGACATGTGACAACATGTGGCTAAACTGCAGGACAGGGCTTCAGGGCTGCAGGGTGTGGAAGCCGGGAGGTTGAGGGTGAGAGCCCTCTCTCCTCACGGGAGCCGCCATGCCGTCTTAGGATGACCGGTACTAGCCCCTAATTGGCCCTGAGCAGCCAAAACCATGTCCTCCTGCTACAGTGAGAACAGAATCCAAACCCCCCTCAGAGACTGCCCGGGCCCCAGAGCCACCCCCTTCCTGACCCTCCTGCGCCAGCCAGCCTCGGTCTCCCCCTCCTGGGTCCCCCAACGCCCGGGCTCCTCTGCGTGCCCTGTGTCCATGTGCGGCTCTTCTCGTCTTCAGGCCTCCGGGGCTAGGCCACCTGGTTTGTGCCAGGGCTCTCCCTGTTTCCTCCCTTCACTTGTGTCCGCCCTCCAGACTCGGATGCTCTGTGAGCTGCGAGAACCCTGGAGCTAGAACCAGGGCAGCCCTGAGAGTGCGGTAAATTCCTGTTGGTATAATCCTGACTCTAATGACTTAAAACGTAAATAACTTCTCCCTGCGGCGCCAGTTAAAACAGGACCTTATTTAGAATGCACACCCTGAAGACAGTGCTATTCTCTTAAAAATGAGACAGAGGTGCATACATAGCTATATGGAAGCTTCTGGGACCATTCTATTTTTCTGAGAGGCAAATCGGTGTGCATGTTCCCTGTGGAGGAGAGCCACCTTGTGTGGTGGTGTGACAATGATGAACTAACAGAGAGGAGGCGACACAGAGCCACAGGGAGCCCCGGAACCGAGAAGTTCCTCCCAGTGGCCACAGAAATTGCAGGCCATCACGCTGGAGCTTCTGGGGCTCCCGGGGACCCGCTGCACCAGGCTGACTGCCCAGGGGGGAGCCAAGATTACCAGCTTCCTGGGGCCCACTCCGCCTTCTTCCTCCGCATCTGAGGAATTAATTGGCTCCTCGGCACTCGACCAGCCATCGTTGTCCTCAGGGGCCTCCAATGGGTGGGATGTTTTGCTCCAACCTGCGAGAGAAACAGGCTCCAGTGAGGACTGCCCTCAGTGACAAGCCTGTCTGAAGGTGATCTATGGAAGTCCCTGCAACCCCCAAATGTGCCACCCACGTGGAGCCTGTCCTCTCCCCAGGAGCTTGTAAAGACTGCAGGGCACACTGCTGATTTCTGAAATGCCTGCCATGTTCGCTTCGACTGTGCAAATAGTCCAGGGAGACAGGGTCCGGAGGACTTGCTTCCATTGCCCGGCCAATCAGGGGAAAGAAACGAGCTGCCAGCGCCTCCCTGGATGGCTGTGCACTTCCCCAGCAGGCCCTGCGGCTTCCCAGGTGAGAAGCAGCACTCCCCGCCCCCAGCCTCCCATCTGCTGGTCCCAGTCCCAGGGGAGCACAGAGGCCCTGAAAGACCACTAGCTGGAGACACTGCTACCCATCTGTGTTGGAGCCAACGCATGGAAGGGAAGATGTTCGATGTACCACTCAACACTCATCAGACTGAGCCAAAAGAGCTCCTCCCATGAACGGCTGAGGCTTACTGATAGCGCCCTGCTCCAGACACACTCCCAGTTCTTCACATGTGAGGTAAGGGGGTTGCAAGCCTCATGGGAATGACACTGTCATGTGTCTGAGCTTCTGCAGACCATGGAGGCAAAGCTGGGATCCCAGCCCAGGCCTTCGGGCTGCAGGGCCGGCCTGTGTGAGCTGTAACCATTTCCACTGGCCCAAAATTCAGTGGAAGAAAGCTTTCCTTTTGGACTTTATAAAGTATGTATATTCTTTCATTAGCCTCTCCACTGGCACGTAGCCCCAAAGAGAAGCAACTGCATTTCCCATTGGCGGGGTGGGGAACGCAAGTAAGTTGTGAGGAGATAGGAGGCGATGAATTCCTGATTCTGAATCGATGCAGTAAATGCCAGTAATAAAGCACCAAGCGAAAGCCACACCCCTCTGGTATTTGATCACAGCCACCAGATGGTATTAAATAACATTTCAACAGGAAGCAAGTGAATGTGGGAAATAAGCAGACTGCTTGTCAGATCTGGGCTTGGGTACATCCAGTTTCAAGTTACATTGGTAGAGGCTGGAAGCATACTTTTCCCCAAGAAAGAGAGGGTGCTGGGTGTGAAGGAACCACAGTGAGCCAAGTGCAAATGCATGCTCCCCTTTATAAAGTTGGGGCTGCAAAGTGGCAAGCTGTCTAATGGGCTAGTTCCCAAGGCTGAGAATATTTAAGCATGGCAATGAAAACCTAGTGTTAAAGAGGCAATAGGAAGCCATCTTTGCCTTTCTAGAAAAGGGAGCTGGGACCCAGAGTTCTCCATCAGCCAGAAGAACAGTGAGCCCTGGGAGGAAAGCATGTGTCTGCTTATATCCTCAGAGCCGAGAAGCCAGCAGATGCCAGCAGCCCTGGGGGCTCTCCAAACACCCCTTGGGCCGGGAGAGTCTCTGAGCTTGGCCTGCTTGGGGCCAGGTGCTGGGGCCAAGGGAGGTGTGCGAAGCTCGGCCCTGCCCATGTCCCTGCCACGCTTGTGTCTGTGCATGGATTAGGGCTGTGAGTTTCCAGCTACAAACGACCCACCCTTGCCTGCTTCAGGCCTGTCTGGAATTGTTGCATTGTGTGGGAAGCTAAGCAGAGCACTGGGCAGGGGACTAAGAGGGTCACAGTGCCAGAAGCCTGGCTGCAAACATCTTCCCCCCTCCCGCCCACCACCGATAGATAGGGTGGGGTTTCTGGTGAAGTTTCTGGCGAAGCAGAAGTCTGAGGCCAGTGAGAACAGGAAGATGAAGACTCTTCCATGGGCAGATAAGGCAGTGCTGCCTGGCCAAGAGGCCTTAGATCAACCTACGCTACAGAGAGCAGCATGGCTGTGTTTGTGTGAACAACTCCCCCCCCACCTCCCAGCGCCTGCAAAGAATGGCAGGCTTTCTACACACAGGGCAGCGTCTAGGCCTGTGGTTATTCTTCTCTCTGCCCGGGAGCGTCTGGGCGAACCTCTTCAACAGGCTCCAGTAGCAACTCTGCCTTAAGGTGGGGCTGCAAAGGGGCAAAGGAGTAAGCAGAAAACTGAGAGCTGAGTGTGCCCGAGGCCCCAAGCGTGGAACTAGAGAATGACATCGTGGGTCAGTGTCACAACCACAGATCAGGGCAGCATCCTCCTTTGATCTACGGAGGATGCTGGGGATTTTGCAGGGGGACATTAATATGGTCACCTCTACTTCCTGTAAAACAGTCCCTTGGCATTGATATTGAGTAAAACAAGAGCTGCTGAGGCTTTTCAGGAAGCAAGCACTTCAGCCTTTGCAAGAGGGCCAGCCAGCAAGTTCACCGTCACCTGCTGCAGGCGGAAATGACCAGTGATGACGGGGAGGAGTAGGAGGAGGAGGGGGACTGGCTGCTGGGCCCCAGGTGCCGTGCTCAGGACTTTCAAACGCATCCACTGTGACCCTGTGAGGTGGCCTTGTCCTCATTTTACAGATAAAGACTCGAGCGTGCGGAGGGGACAAAATTTGGCTAAAAAGCAGTAAAAGCAGCATTTGAGTTGTACTGAGACGTGCTCAAGGCTGCATTCACTGCTGCCCCATGCCAGCCTCCGACACAAGGGAGAGGTCTCAGGGGAGAGGAAATGTGTAAAGGACAAAAATAGCCCTTCCCAGGAGCAGAATGACTTTTCCCCCCAAGCACCTGGGGCAAGCTGGGTGTCACCCGTGTGAAGGCTGCAGGAGAGGGTCAGAAAGCCCCTGGCCTCTGAGCTGTCATGTCCGAGGGCAGCAAGAGGGCCGCAGCCTGGGTTCCCAGGGAGCAGAGCATGGTTGGAGGCCGGAGTGGGCCTTGCATGTCCTCTGGGTGGTCTCTGACAGCGCGTGTAGGGAATTCTGGTTCAGTCTACACCCCTTGTGAACCTTCACAATTGTTTGCAAAATTCAGAAAGATTTACAAAGTGAAGTCCTCACTGGACCAGGAAACCATCTGGGTTTCCCTGGGTTGCAGGGGCGGGGGGCTTTACCCTTGGGATAGGAGAGGGCAAGAAAGGAGGAGGCTTGATTTTCAGCATAGACCTTGACCTCATCTGTCTGCATGACTGGTCATCCCCCCATGAAATGAGAGGTCTGACGGGATCCCGCAGCTGCCATCTCTGCGTTTCCACCAAGTAGTGTCGGGATAAACTGGTAAAGCAGGGGGCGGCTGGTGCTGCAGGGGCCTGTGGAGAGAGTGCCTTGCAGCCTAAAAAGCCACTGAGTGGAAAAGCCCAACCCAACCCAATGCCAGCCACGTGTCAGCAGCCTCTAACTAGTGGCCGGTGGGTGGTTCTGTAGGTTCTAGGCAGACCTGGTGTGAGGAGTTCAACCAAGAAGCGTGACATCATCACAGTATCTGTTACCAGAGCATTACGCTTTTGAACAAAGCAATGAGTTTGCTTCTGGCTAGCAGAGATCTATTTCATTTTACATTCTAGATGACACATAATGGCAAGACAGACAGCATCTGTAACTGGACAGGAAAATAATGGATGGCAGACTATGTCCAGAAGGTTGAGCCACTCTACCTCGTAAACCAAAAGGCGTTGGATCGCTCTTAACTTCATGTCGCTTAGCTTTTTTGTCAGGACTGGTAGGAGAAGCTGCAGAAGGAGGAAGAGGCAAAAATATAACAGGAGAGAAGAGAGAGAGTGAGGAATTGCATGCAGAGCGCCGAGGAGGCCATGAGAAACACTGCGTTCATGCCGGGATGGGACACAAACATCGAAAGGCTGATTGTCACTGATTCAAGAAGCAGCTTCCTGGGAACAAGCTGGCTGAGGGGTCCTGCAGGTGGAGGGAGGGCGTGAGGAATAATAAGAGAAGAGACCGGTGTGCAGTGACTCTAGCAATCGGTACCATCATTTGGGGCTCTCTCTGGGTTCATTTTCTGAGTTCTAGGTGCATTTTCTCAGCTAGGCATACACTTCCTATACTTAGCAAAGTATACAGTACCAGAATTGGTCCTTTTTTTTTTTAGTTTGAGGCCAACTTGAAAGTATTTTATAAATTGGGGAAAAAAAACCCTCTCATTTTTTGGACCAACCTCTGGACCAATGAAAAGAACCCTAGACAACACTGGCTCTTAGCACCCGGTGGAGAGCCCTGTGAGGCCCGCCTGGCACGGCAGGGCTTGCGCCCCGAGCTATCGCGGTGTATCTCCCTCCCGGGCAGTTCACTGTCAAGTAGCACGCAAAGGTGGTCAAGCTTTTAGAGATCTCCTTCCAAGGGAGCCTTGATCTGCCCTGGGCACTGGCGAAGGCCCCCAGAGAGAGCTGACACCAGCACCTCAGCTTCCGGCTGTAGAGAGTAATTGCAGCAGAAAGGTTAATGCCCACAGCGACTGACAGGAAACAGCAAGAAAGGGGGAAGAGTAGACCAAAAAAGCAAATGACAAGTCGTTTCTGAGCAGGCCTTCCTTAGAAAAGCTCCCCTCTACCTTTTGAAAGAGAGGGCTCCCAAAGGAGAACTGTGGCTGCATATGTAACAGACCTAGCAGTGTCAGTAAAAAAACCCCAGCGAATCAGTGGGAAGATGCTCTGAATGGGTGCGCTTGGGATGAAGCAGGCAGATGCCCCTCCCAAGAACATCCTCATGAATGATCACCACACAGATGGATGACGGACATGCCACCTTGGTAAGGGACATGTCCAGAAAACAATTTTAGGTGGGTGCCTTTTACCTTTCTGACCTTTGAGGTTAGCAAAGCCCTGCAGAGTAAAGCGCTTCTTGGAAAGCGCAGAGCTTTCTGAGGTAGAGCTAGTGACTGTGTCATCTACAAAGGAAGAGAAAGGGACAGTGCAGAGGGTGTCCACAACCCAGGGTGCTCTGGGGAGGGCACATGTCAGGTCAAGCAGGGCTTCATCTCAGGCTGGGTTTGCGCATAATAACCATGAGGAAGAGGGGCTCATCTGGGAGGTTCCGGTGCTCTGTGTGGGGTGGCTAGGGAACCCTGAACTCCTTACAAATGCTCTGCGGGCCCATAGGAGGCCATGCACCCCTGGTACGCCCACTGATGGACACCTCTGATGCAGGTCCCGGTACACCTGGGCTCAGTGGCTGCAGGCACCCACCTTTGCCCTTTTCGGGGGGTTTTGGCAATGCCGTTGAGCTCACGTATCCTTCCAGACTTAGAGGGTCAGTTTTCCTTTCTTCCAACTTTTTGACGTTTCTTGTATTCCCTTTCGAAGGACTAATGACATCAGACACATTGAAAAAGAAATAGAATGTTGCCTGGTTAGTTTCTGAAAACTCTCCTTGAGAATTTGAGGCATCCAGACTGAATTCCTATCTGGTCTTTAAAGTACGCTTCCTATCACTGCAGAGCGGCCAAGAATTTCTGGATTAAGCCCAAATGGAACAAAATGAGGATAAAACCACCTTCCTAGACATTGAGCAGGAGGTGGCTTTTTTGGGGGGGCAGGGGGGCAAGGGGTTCTTCTTTTAAAACCAGTGTTCTATGGATTATTCATTTAGACCATATCCTGTTCTACAAATGCTTAGAGGTGGCTTATATAAGAAACGGGAACAATACTGTTAAAAAAAGTAAGTGAATGTATAAGGCAGGAATAAGGGCAGAAAGGGTTTGAAAAGCCATTGTGAAGGTTGGTGTCTGAAATGTGTCCCATGTCTGTGAGTTTTGGTTCAGCCTCTAGCACCCAGTGGTCCCTGTCTGAGGAGCTACTGACACTGAAATGTTAGCGGTTAACTATTACCTGGAACAGCTGCATCATATGCTGAGCATCACGGGAAAGAACTGACCCACAGATAGAAAGTAATGAGCAAACTGTCAGGGACTGGCCCCTGCCTGGGAACGGGGCCAGAGACGCACGCCTCTGAGGCCGCTTCCTGGGACTGACCCACCAGCTCGTGATTCCAAAGGGGGAGCACTCCAGGGGGCCTTGGGCAAATGCAAAGTAATCGCATAACCAAGAGAGTCAGGTGACAAGGGCCAAGTAAAGTCTGTGGCCTGTGCAAATGACTGCTTATGACTCTTCGCACACGGCGGCGGCATTGCAAGTGCTCGTGTTCCTCACCTTGTGTTGGATGATGCGGGCAGAGGTAAGCTCTGGGACTGCTCCAGGGCTCTGTGCTGGCTGGCTTCTGCGGGAGAAACAAACAAACCACCCACGCGTGGCTGAAGAACTTGAACCCAGCACGTTTACTTCTAAGGGCTATGTTATCTTGGATAGCTTACAACTGTGAGATTGCTTCGAACTTATGTAAAAATACCCCTGGAGCAAAAGCTAGGAGAAAATGATAGCTGGAGGCATTCTCACCTCGACAAGCCTGCAGCTGGCTGGTCAGCACTTTCCGAATCTCGTTCACCCACGCTGCCTTAATCTCAGGGGTTGGTGCCTGTCCCCCCAAAGAAATGTCAAGAGGTAAGGGCTCTCATTCCCTAAAGACACACGTTTTGGTATTTTACTCTGAAAACTTCCGAGGACAATCTTAGAAATAGGCAATGAGAGCGCTGTATGTGAAAGGAGAAGGGAGTAAACGGTAGCACATTCCTTGTTCTGGGACTTCGCCCCACAGGCAAGGGCGTGATCTGACAGGGCCCAGGCTGCTGCAGCACCAGCTAGTGGACTGACAGCCAGCCAATACGTCTGCACAACCACTGATGTCTGACTCAGTGGGAAGATCCTGTGGCACACACTGAGAATAAGTCTCTCTGGGAAGTGGCTCTGACGCCATTTTAGGTGACAAGAGTAGCCAGAGTCTGACACCTTACGGGCAGACTCTAAACTTCCAGGGGGAGGGAGACCGTGAAGAGCATGAACGCTGGCCAGGGCTCCGTACTGCCTCGGTGCAGCGTGGGGCCCGACGGGCAGCGCCAGGTGGGTGGCTGGGCTCTGTGGACCCTGGGCCTGTGGGAAGCCAGAGCACTGGGCCGCATCCTCGCCATAGCTCTCTGGGGCCCTGGGGTCTGGCGGCGCTGCTGTGGGTGTTATGAGTTGTAGACAGCTAAGAATAGTGTGATACAGGGCTGCCACATAGCCCTGGGCCCAAACCATCCCGCGGGTCAGGATTTTGAAGGCAGCCGGGAGAGGCAGATCCTCGCGCTGGCTGACCCCTTCTCAGGGCACCGGGGGTCTCACAAATGCACTTACGGCCTCACCCGCCTCCCGCCCTCACCAGCAAGGTGAGGACAGGCAAGGGCTCAGGACAGACTTCCTGCCAGGGGGAACTGGTTATGTGAGTGTGGCACAGGCGAGCTGTGCTCCCCTGTGCCGCCCAGGCACACCTACGCTACAGGAGCCTGAGCTCGTTTTTCTGGAAGGACACTTCCAACACCTTAACTTGCAGCGTTCTCCTGCCCTTTCCCCTGGTTCAGCTCAGGTTTAAGATGGCGCGGGGCGGTGCCCCCAGATGAGCAGTGGCGTTCCTGGCCTCTGGGGACTAAAACTTCGTGGGAGACTCTAGACACCAGCCCTCACTAGGAGCCTTTCAGTGGCAATCCTAAGGGGCCCCAATGCCTGCTCAGAGAGAGAAAGGTTGGGGTCCGACCTGTATGATGTAAACTTCCTCCCTGGCGTTGTACCAGATCTCAAACTTCTTTGCATCACCTTTCACGTTCTCCGTTATGCCAACAGCTGTCATCTGAGAGCACACAATAGGGAGACAGGTGTTAGTGTTGAGATGGGGGTTAAGGATGCCAGAGATTCCAGAAGGTGGACGGCGTGACCAAGGCTCAGTTACAGCATGGAACGGGTCCCTGATCCTTCTCTCCAGGGCTGGCGCCAGGAAGGTTTGCAGCTGCTGGGAGCAAGCCTTACTCACATTTAAGGACTGCTTGTAGCTGTAGGACGGGGCCTTCTCGTACCCTTCCCCGTTCTCCTCCCTCTTCTTGCAGAAGAGCACGGCCTTCTCATGCAGGAACAGATGTCGCTGCATGGGCTTGAACCTGGCCAGGTCCTTCACCTTGGTGTGGCCCTTCTTGTGGTCCGTCCAGACACTGAAGGAGCCCTGCATCAGCAGCTTCCCCAGGTCACTCAGATTCCCCTGAAATGCGTAGCAACGTGAGGAGCATTTAAAACCCAGAACGAGCACGGCGGGGTGGGGGTGGGGCCTTAAATGTGTGTTGCTGAGGGAAGGAAGCTGGTCTGGGGAAGCCGCATTCCAGGTCCCAACTATGTCATGTTCGGAAAAAGGAAACTATGGAGACGGTAAACAGATGAGTGGCTTCTAGGAGCTGGAGGGGGTGCAGGGAGGGATGAACAGGCAGAGCACAGGGACATTTATTGCAGTGAAACTACTCTGTAAGGTAACTGCCATGGTGGACACATGTCATGAAACATTTCATGCAAACCCACAGAATGTGCCACACCAGGAGTGGACCCTGATGTACACAATGGACTCTGGGGGATAATGATGTGTTGATGTTGTTTCATCAATTGTAACAAATATCCCACTCTGGTGGGGATGCTGATAACGGGGGAGGGGGGGACAGAGGGTATATGGGAAATCTCTGTACCTTCCTTTCAATTTTGCTGTGAACCTAAAATTGCTCTAAAAATACTCTATTAATGAAAAGAAACCTAGAATGAGTGCTGAATAGGCTTACAGAAATGCAAACAAATTAATAAGTTGGACTGATATGGGCACACAGAGATGTAGAAACCTGACTTTAATGCCCACTTGTTACATGTTATCAGCCCACAAACAGCATCAGAGAAAACAGATTCACACCCGTCCCCTGAGACATGCTGACGTCAAGAAAAGACCAGGAATGAAGAGGTTTTCAGGGGTGCACCTCCAAGGGGCACACAGTGTTGAGCCCCCGTGCAGACCTGCCGCAGGCCCCCTGAGTCAGACCGGGCTTTGACCGATTCCAAGTGACACCCGTGCTCACCAAAGCCCCAGGGCACAGCTCTGCACTAGCTGTGGGCTGGCCTCGGCCCCTGCCTGGCAGATCCGTCCACCCAGCAGGCTCGTTAGCACCCCCAGCAGGATGGGGAGAAAGGCAGGAGCACCCACAGCAGTCCTTACGTCATAGCCTGTGATTGCGATGAGGTGCATGGAGTCATTTACGGCCTTAAGGATGCCCAGGATGGAGCTCAGCGCCTCCTGCAGGTCCTCTGCCCCCTCGCAGTTCTTGCTGTATTTCAACATTTCCTGGGAGGGGGGTGCAGGGAGAAGACACCATGTTCACACACCTGTCTGGACACTGATCCCTACCACTCCCTTGAGAGCTGCTGGAACTCCAGTGCTCTGTCCCAGACGTGCAGGTCCTGGGTGGCCCTGAGCACAGACACTCAGGACACAGAGTGTGGCTCCCTGCTCAGTCATCGCTGATGAGGACAAGACCACGCACGCATGTGGACACTCATACCCTCCCTGGACGTGGGGCCTGCCTGGGGACCCCTGGGCTAGGAGCAGTTCAGGAAGCTGCCCTCTCATCTCCGTGAAGCCCCTCTACCCCACCCCACAACAGCCCAGACCGATGCTGCAAATCGGGGACGCTTCCTGAGCCAGTGGACGCTCAGCCGAGCTTGGCAAGCGCAAGCCCCTTACAGTCCCCCAGGGCTGACGCCCTTGTGCAGCTCTGACCCCAGCAAATTCAGACTGAGACCCCTGCCTCCTGTCTCCCTGCTTCTAAACTGGTTATTCCTTCCTTTCAAATCTGACACTCAAACAAACGAACATCTGATCGTCATGCACGCACTCTCCACGTGCATTGGCTTGCTCACACCGCCTCTGGTGGGCCCACAGACAGCTGACACAGCCCAGGCCTGGCTGGGCAGGCTGGTGCGGGAGTCCAGCCTGGTGTCGGGGTGGAGACCCTTTGAGTCTGTGCTCCATGGGGCGGGGTTTGTCCAGCTCTTCCCTTTAGTGGCCCTGCCTTCTCCCTAACAATGGCCAGCACACAGCAGGCCGCCACACAGGTCTGGGAAGAGCCCGGCCCTCGCAGAGATGGGAGGAAGGAAGCTCAGAGACCATATCGCTCAGAGACAGCAGGGCGGTGGCAGCCTGGGGGGCGCCTGGCCAGAGGGGAGGCCGGCAGTGACAGAGTGGGCTCCAGGGGACGCCCCGGGCCTCACCTTGAGGAGCAGCTGGTACTTGGTGATCCTCTGGACTGGCTTCAGCAGGTAGGAGTCCAGACTCAGTTTGTGGTCCAGTTTCTTCTGGCATTCCTAAAACCATTGAATCTCTGGTTTAGACACTTTCCATCATTCTTTCTGTGAGAGTCAGTTAGTAAAGGAGATTATACTCTCCCAGGGGTGTCCGACTTGTGGCCCACGGGCCGCATGCAGCCCAGGATGGATGTGAATGCGGCCCAACCCAAAACTGTAAATTTACTTAAAACATTATGAGATTTTTTTGTGATTATGTGTCACAATGTATTTGCTGTGGGGCCCAAGACAACTCTTCTTCTTCCACTGAGGCCCAGAGATGCCCAAGGGTCGGGCAGCCCTGCTTCTTAAAGAGAGCCCCGAAACATACCTGGAAAAAAGGACAGTCGGAGCACTGGCGCCACAGGCTCTCAGAGCGGGGCTTGTTCTGGCAATACTTCTCGTAGACCTGGAACTCTTCCATCTGGCCCCGGGGCAGAAGCATGTCACAGTGCGGCTCAGAGGGGCCAGCCGGACCTCCTCCTGAACGCCGCCCCCTGTCCCCACCTCAGATGTCACATCGCTCACTGTGGGTCAGTCAGGTAACATCCCCACCAGAAGTTCCCGTCTCAGGGCTGGATTAGTCCTGATACTTCTTTTAAACAGATTCCCTCAATCAATATAGCTGGCTCTTGCCATAGGTCTAACAGTGTAAGATAAACACGGGACTAACACGCACTTTCTAAAGAAAGGCTCTCCAGAGCTTAGCCTGTGCAGTGGTGCTCAAACTTGCACGCACATCAGAATCGCCGCAGGCTTGTGAGAACAGGCTGAGGCTCTGACTGGGCAGGTCTAAGGTGGGGCCTGAGAACCTGCATTCCTATCAAGTTCCCAGGAGACTCTGAGGCTGCTGGCCAGAGGACTCACTTTGAGAACCACTGGCCTACAGCGTGACTGCCCCACCCCACCCCTCAAATAGCACCAAGGAGCATTACAGCCAGGCTGAGTCAGAATACCGGTGCTGCTCCTCCTTTTCCTCCCTGCGGCCTCTTCATGTCAATTCATTGTACTGCTCTCAGCCTCCAGCCTCTTTTGTGAAAATGACTTAGTTTTATTGCTGTTAGTAAGCTTAGCTGCATTTTCCACACTGCTAACGAGCAGTTTATGGAGATCAACACAAGAGGATCACGTGGGACCTTGTGGAGAAGAGAGCAGCCCCCTTTCCTGCTCCTAAAGCCCCCTTTCCCTCCACACACCCACTTTAGCTGATCATCCCACCCGGGAAGGAGGCAGGCATCTACTATGTCAAAGAGTTGAGAAAAATAAGGCTCAGAGGACGTGGATGACTGGTCCAAAGTCAGCTGGTCAGTGAGGGAATCTTAATCAGGACAAGACCAGACACAAAACAAACACCATGAGAAATGTCCAGCCTCATTTAACACAATCAAAACTCAGATGCTTGCTAATTTTGACATGTCTCAAAGATTTTTTTTTTTTTTTTAGTTTTTCTCTTTTTCAAAGTAGTTCTTGGGCTTTAGAAAAAAACATATTCTTTCAGCCCTACCAAAAAGTGTCATGTCAAATCAGCCAAACTGGAAACATTGGTACTTTGTGATTTCAGTTGGGGACTGTAATAGAATTTAAAGTTATTATTTTAAGTACTAGTAATTTTAGGAAGTAAGGCACAGGAAAGTATACATTAATAAAAACACATACCCTTTCTAGAAAACACCTTCCAACCAGCTCTGGGCAGTCTATGTAGTTTTCTAGCTCTCTCAGGAATATTCTAGACAAAGAAAGTGTGCATTAGGTTGTATCATAAATACCCTGAACAAGATGGCATCTGTAACAAATTAATAAGCCATTATTTGCCAAACAACTTTAATCCCCAGCTCTGGGCAGTTCAGCAGCTCCTGCGTGTGAGAATACAGTCTGATTCCTGGAACCCATAGCCCCCCGTCACTCCCAGAGCTCTGACTACATCACGCTCTCAGGTTTAAGCGACATGGCCCCACGGATCCCTGCATGCTTTTGGTGTTGGTGTTCACACAGAATTTAGGACAGTTTTCTTTTTTTTTAAATCAGCACAGACATGGGATGCGGAGGCCATGAGCAGACAGACAGAGCATCTGGAGGTTCTGGAAGTGCAGCCTCACAGCTGTGTGCTCCGCGGGTTTCTGTGGAGGTGAAGGGGGTTTCGGTCCTGTCCCTGAGACCCTCCCCGGTGCAGCCTTGTTTCTGAGCCATGTGCCAAGTTTTCCCACGTGTTTGACTTACACCTGTCCATGGGGGTGAATCCCCCAGGGAGAGGAGCTCCTGGGGGGGTCGCTCACTACGCTAGTTCTGCGGCCAGGGGCCCGGGGCCCGAGCACTGGCCAGAACCCCCAGGGATGCTGAAGGTCCAGGGCACCCTCTTCATTTAACTCTCAAAGGAAGGCTCTGAGGCCGGGTTCAGCTGTGGCCTGGTACCCCCTTTATCAATGGGTGAGTGAGGGATGCTAGTAACTGAGGGGCAAAAGCAGGTGGTGAGAGAAGTCCCAAGTGTCCCCTGAAACCCATAGGAGGGTGGGGCTAGAGTCCCATGCCAGCTGGGCTCCCTGGGTTGGCTCACAGCTGGCCCTTTTCCAGGACACACAGACGTCGCCATCATCTTCTTGCTTCCCTACCCACTTATGTCTACCTGCTCATTTCCTGTCCCATGAGCTCCCGCAAGTTGCAAGTAGGAGCCCAGGGTAAGCAGCCCCAGAAGGACTAGCCATACTTTCCCCAAAGCATGAGGACAGAGCAAATTGCTGTCCCAGGGCATAAAAGGCAGAAAAGGAACTTCTGATGTTACCACCCTTTCCAAGAATGGGCTTGGGAACAAAACCACCTTTGCTAAGTGGTGTGGCCTTCAGTGCCACCCCAACATGCCAATATTCGGGCCGTGGGCTGGCTTCTGCTGGTCCCGAAGGACAGGGAGAGGCAGGAGGGGCGGGCTGTTCCTCTATGTTCGTGCTGACAAAGCTCTGAGGCATCATCCCACTTGGGCAGAGGCCCACTTGTAACCACCCACCCCGGCTCAGAGAACGAGCCATGGGCACATCCCATAAACTGCTCTTGGTTTGTGGCCCTTCTGTGAGGTTATCCCATCTTGAGAGGAAGGGATTTGGTTTTAGCTCCCTGCAGGCAGCTACTTCAGAGGCTAGACATTACGGTGATCAGGGGAAGGGTCCCACCTGTTATGGAAGTGGTAAATTTCTTCCATGTTTCCAAATAAAACATCCTTCTTGTTTTGAAGGCCTGCTGAGATGAGATGCATCATTAAGGGATTATCCATCTCAGCAGCGTAGCCCTGCAGAAGGGGAGAGAGGTCAGCAGGGAGCTCCTGAACTACGGCTGACAGATATGTGGGCCACTTTAACAGCAGCCCAACAGTTCACCACCAAAGGCCCGTCTCCGTGTGACTGCTTAGTGGGGCTTAGTGGGGCAGGTGACACTGTCTCAGGTTTTAGAAAGCAAATCCACCTCGTATTTAGTCACTGCCCATTTTTAAGATGATCATCTGGACAAGTAACACAGAATATGAAAGAATTACAAACAGCACAAATTTTGGAGGGTGGGGATGGGGAGACTCCATCCTTCTTCCTTTTGGCCTTTTCAAAATCCAGGTATAATTTCTATGAAGGGGACAAATCTTCTGTGTGCCCCTTGTTGCATTATTATATGTCTACAACCCTGTAACAACTGCTCAGATCCAGATGTAGAACATTCCAGCACTCAGAAGCCCCTCTGCCCTTCCCAGGCAATGATCACCGCCCGGCAGGCTCCGCTTGGCCGTCCGCCCCCCAGACTGGCTCTGCACGTCCTGGGCTTCCTCTGCAGGGACGGCACGTACTCTGGGCAGATTCCACTCCTCATTGTACGCTCCTGAGGGTTGTGCTTGGCTCTCTGCAGCAGCAGCTCTTTTTCCTGCTATAAATATTGTCTCTGTGCAAATCCACCTAAATCTACTTGTCCCTTGTCCCACTGACAGACATTTGAGTTGTTTGCACTTTGGGGCTGTTATGAGCAAAGCTGCTGTGAACATCCTTTCATGTGCTTTGTGGTGGACACAAACCACACGGTGGGGAATCCCAGCCCACGGCTCATGCCTGGCCGTCCGCCAAGGGCAGGCTCACCTCCAGGACGCAGAGCAGCTCCTCCACGTAGACCCGCTCCGTGTCGAGGAGTTCATTCATCACATGCCTGTGAACGGGCACTAGGATTTATAATCTAGGAGCAGATTCCCTGACCCGCCTCCCTGCTGTGGGGCCAGCGGCACAAAACGAGCTCCGATTCCCCAGGCCTCCCTCTCTTTCAGGTCACGTCTCCCAGTCTCCCCCGCCCTGCAGATCTGTCCCCACTTCCTTCCCCAGCTGCCCCTTCTCTCCCCCTGGAAGAGTCCCTCCTGTGCATGCACGGCAGGCTCCTTGCCTGGGGGCCGTCAAGGCATCATTGTAGCCGGTTCAGTTTACATCACCACCTTCTTGCATGTAGTGGGGTACAGTGACGATGTGTGGAACTACTATGTGCCCATCATGTTATGGAGTCCCAGGAGGAGCATGGGACTGCAAATCAGCTGCTCAGATGTCTTTTTAGGGATGAGGACCACCTTCTAACCGCTTACAACCAAATATCCCATTTTAATACATAAGAACTAGAGCCTGCGGCAGGGGGTGCTCCTGGGTTGGGACTATTAAGCATGATCAATTCTGAAACAACTGTCAGCACTCAACAAGGCATTAGGCTTCAGTTCAAAGAGTCAGGGATCCTAAATGGGGGAGTGGGGGGAGGGGGAAGACAGGGCCTTGGGCCTCTTTCTCACCACCACAAGCCAGAGGGGAGGGTGCCTATCTGGGAGCACAGAGCACAGTGTGCGCACAAAGGGGAGGATGTCCTGGTGGAGAAGTGAGCTGGACGCTGGGGGCCAGGCACTGTGTTGGGGGTGGGGGGGCAGCTTTCCGAGGACCGATCTCAGAGTGGGTAGACACAGGAAGGCGGCAGGACGCAGGCTACCTTTGTGGAAACGTGGACAGCCTAGCTAGGCCGAAAGGTAGGGTTCTAGGGAGAAAGTGCCTGCCATTCCTGGGAAGGACTTTGGAAGTGCCCTCCCTGTCAAGTCCAGAGTTCAGACCTCATCGGAGCCTGTGCCTGGGACAGACGCGGTTCCAGACGCCACGGCAGGTGCTGCGGAAGCAGTCTAGGTGGGTAGTAAGAAGAGCCGGGGGCGGGGGGCGTGTGAGAAAAGCAGCAGTGGGGCGATGAAGAAAGAGAAGTGTCACCCAGCACACAGAGCCGGGATGACCCGGAAAGGCTCCTGGGAGGGACCAAGTCCACCAACGAGACAGACAGCTGGGCCAGGGGGACGGGTATGGGGCCAGCCCTGCATGTGTGACCCAAGGGCCTGGGTGGGCTGAATCACACTTGTCTTCTCACCTGGTCTTGAAGGGAGAACATAATCCATTTCAAATCATCATAGTGCTGCCTGGGGACCCGGGGCAAATGTGGCTTTTTCAAGGGAAATCTAAATTTCTCTTGGTTTCAGATGTAGACGTGCCAAACAGACACGTGTACTCCATGTCTGCGCTCTGCACAATGCACATATGTGTGTGGGCCCCATGACGCCAGCTGTGCTCCCACATGGTGGCTTTGGGGCAGAGGCTGGCATTTTCCACCACCTTTGGCTTGTTTATATTCAGATCGTCCTGGCCAAAGGCTGAGGTCTACGTGGGTCCCGCTTGTCGCCTGGACCAGAGCCGCTCAGTGGTGCCCGGAAAGGCAGCCCACCCACCTCCGCAAGATGGCCAGGCTCTCCTCCTCGTCCCCCGTGGAGCTGCTCCGGCCCTGCCGGCTCTCACTCATTTCACTCTGGAGGGAGAAGAGCACGCAGTACATCAGTACATCGAGATCCCAAAAGTAAGAAGACACAGCCTAACATCCTGACTCTAAGGCTTTGAAGTCCAAGCTCATTTTCCATCTGGGAGCAGATGTGAAATCTGAGATCTCACAGGACAAGTACCGCCATTGGGGGAGGGGCTGGGAGAGCTGGGCTGCATGCCTGCCGAGGAGGGTGAGGTGGCCAGGAGGTGGCAGGCCAGGGGCCATGCAGGGGCCGTGCAGGGGCCGTGGGGCCTCACCTTGGCCCTCCGGTAGGGCCCTCTCCGGAGTGCGTTGCTCTCAGAACTGTTGTTCTCAGAACCTCTCCGGACACCTGGTTTGGGAAGCAGAGGAGAATAACTTTATATCTTATTGCCTGGACAGGAAAAGGCACACCCAGGAGTGTCTGGAAATTATTTTTTTACTTTCAGAGGAAAAAAAGCAAGCAGCCTAGAGAATGGCAAGGGAAGCACAGCAAAGCTAAAGAGAAAGGAAATGGGGTCAGGAGATAAGGTGGAGGGAGAGGACATGGGGGAACCACCTGGGATCGGGCCCTGGAGTTAGTTCATATGCCGAGAGGGGCTCCCAGCCAACAGGGGTAAGAAATTCTCGGCCAGGACAGCTGTACATACTGGGGGCCGGGAGCCAGCTCACCAGGGCTGCCACCAACTTAGAACATTTGCCAAGGCCCTGAGGAAACCAGCAGGAGGTCCCAGTTGCTGCAGAAGAGTGTGCTGGGAGACAAGGAAGGGGTGAGGAGTTGTCAGGAAGTGGCCCCGCGTCTAGCTGGGCCTTGGAGAAGGACTGTGCTGGGGAGAGAGGCGACGAGGGGCCACGGCCACTGACTGTGGAGCCTGGGGCGGCAGAAGTGGCCGAAGCATCGGACACCACACGAGGAGGCTTTGGGGCTGAGGCTGGACCTGTGTGTGGGGAAAACTGTTTTGGCAACAGCACTGGGAAGAGATGCGCTGGGGAGAGACTAGAGTCTGGGGAAACAGGCCCAGGAAAGTCCTGTGACAGTCGATGCTTCAGTTCTTTGCTATGACCGATCAGCTGTGCTGTGCTGAGCACAGAGGCAGCAGAGATGAGAGTGAACAAGTAAGCGGGCCAAGGGCCAATCAAATTTATTTACAAAATAAATCTTGACACAGAGGGAGGGCATCCCCTGAAGGGAGGAGGCATGCTGGCACATACCTGGGGACGGGCAAGGAGACTTTGTGAGAGCCTCTGGCCGGGGGGCCACTGGCTGCACAGGCCTCGTCTGCTTGGCCGCCAGCTTCTTCAGGCTCGCCTGTCTCCGGTGAAACATTTCCTCCATACTCTCTTGTTTCTGGAAGACTTTCTGCACGTGTTCCTGATGTGAAAGGGTATGACAGGTTAGTTAGCAAGATGCCTTATAAGTGTTGGTGTTTGCAGTTTAAAAACAGAACAACCACTTGTAGACCTGTCCTCTGTGTGACCGCCATTTTAAATGCTTATGATGCAGCACCCATCACCGATGCGGCAATCCTGCACCGAGTCTGCTCGCTGTGGCCAGGGAGCGGTGGCAACCCCACTACGGAATGGGGGTGCTGGGCCTCGAGGGAACTCAGCTGGAAGGGAGGCACATGTAGCTCTTTCCATGAGTCTGAAGACTGCCTATGGAAGAGGCAGTAAACTTGAGGGTTGCCCCAGGGGGTAGGCCGAGTACAGCTGGCCAAGATCGAAGAGGAGTCCTATTTCAGCACTCTACTTAGAGGAACACCCGGGAAGCGGGACCCATGGGAATGGCTGCTTCATCAAAAACATGCCCCTTGCAGGGGAAGGCCCTGCACCTTTTGAGGGAGGCATGACAATGATTTCTGTATAAGGAAAGTTGAGCTAGATGACCCTCCGCCCCCACCTCTCTCTCTCTCTCAATTGCCTACTATCCTCGAAGAATTCATCAAATGATTCCTTCGAACATCATCAGAATAACTCCCCACCATTCAGGACAGGTGAGCTACAGGTGAAAGGCCCAGGTTGGCATACCATCAAGTCTTGGGTGAGGATGGGTTCATAGTCCTGGTAAATTTTATTGAGCTCCTGGATCTTATTTTCTGCGCCGGTTTCCAAAAACTTCTCAATTTCTTGGAGGGCTGCCTCGGCCCCATCCTGGGACTGGCACTTGTCCACAGGCTGCGAGGCCAGCAGGTAAATCCCCTCATCACACCATTTCATGGACTGGACATGGGAAGCGTTGCAGAAGGAGAGAATGGCACTGTTAGCAGCTGCGTCTGGGCCCTCTTTGCTGGGACCTGTTGGCTGTCTCCCATATAGCCCGCTGATCGCTATATTTTTGGGAATATTTGCAGCACTACATCATCCTAGTTCTGCTGCTATATCCAAAGGACTCCCCTGGAGGGAATGCAGTGCTCTAAAAAGTTGAGCAAATAAGCCAGGACAGGACTCACTCACACGCACGGAGAGAGGCAAAATGCAATGAGTTAGCTAGGTGGCAAGTTTTCGGGCTTTTAAAAGAAATTGTTAGTTGTTGTTAGTGAATTCTAGAAAACAGCTGTGTCGGGACATGACCATCTGGGCCACTAGAAAGGCATCCAGACAGGAGGGTGTGGACCAGCTTCTAATCAATGACTGTGGCACATCCCACACAGAAGGAGCTGGCCACGTGGGACCAAGAGTGATTTTGCCATCAGGGGTGTGGGGCTGGGGGGCCTACCGCCTCCAGGAGGCTGTGCAGCTCCAGTGACTTGTTGAGTAGACCCCTCCTCTGCTCGACCTCCGCAGCAAACTGGTCGCAGAGGTGCTGGAGCTCGTGGCACTTGGGGCGGATGGAGTCCACAGCGTAGTGCTTGTTGTCGATGAGCTGCTCCCCCTCCAGGGACAGGGCGCGGGCCCGCTCCACGGCTGCCTGCAGAGAGCCGCCCAAGAAACACAGCTCAGCTTAGGTTAAGTATAAGCAAGCAGAGCGCTAGTTCCTTTGAAGGATCTGTGAGGATGGGGGTAGGGCCTGGGAATGGGGGTCAGGGGTGGGTAGGCCAGGCAGCTGGTCCACTGCCACCTGCCGACATCACTTGGGGTTGGGGGCTTCCATTCTATGGCAGAAAGTCCAATTCCTGTGCCTTTCTAAGAAACTTTGGGGACAATCGTGAGTACCTCTTCACCAGGCTGTCTCCCGCCCACACCAGTCCATGTCCCAGTCCTTACACTGGACTTGTCCTCAAAGCTGGTAAGGTCCTTCAGGAGGTGCTCTGCATGTGCCAAGCTGTTGCCCACATCCGTGAAGGTTGCTATCTTCTGAGCCAACACGTCTAAGGAGGCCTTGACCTGAAACAGGGAAGGGAGTGAGAGACTCAGGTCCACGTCAAAACAATCACAGATGAAGGGAAAGGATGTGGAGATATAACCGAAACTGGGAATGAAGGGAGGAGAGGGAAAACTGAGACCTCCTCCTAGAAAAACAGAACTAGAGGGAAGCATCCCCAATACGATAAAGAACATCTACAAAAATCCTACAGGCAACATTATACACGTAATGTCAGTGAAAACAAGGCTCTCTCCCTAAGGTTGGAAACAAGGCAAGGACGCCCACGCTCACAACTATTATACAGGTGGTGGCAGCTCTAGCCAGTGCATTAAGGGAAAAAAAAATTAAAAATATAAACAAACAAAAGGCATACAAATGGAAAAGGAAGAAATCAAGCTGTCCCTGTCTGCACATGACCTAATCATCTATGTAGAAATTCCCAAACATGACAAAAAAAAAACCCTCCTAGAATATGTGTGTTCAGGAAGGTTTCAGAAGACGAGATAAATACACAAAAATCAATTGTATTTTTATGTATTACAATAAATACACAGACACCACAACTAAAAATACAACACCATTTATAATTTCTTTTTAAGAATAAAATATGTAAGTGTAAATCAAACAAAACATGTACTGAATGGGTATTCTGAAAGGTACACAACATTGATTTAAAAAGTCTAAGAAAATCTAAATAAGAGGTGAGACATATTGTGTTCATTGATTGAAAGACTCAACATAGTAAAGATGTTGATTTTCCCTCAAGTAGAGGTTTATCACAATTCTTAACAAAATTTTAGCAAGTTTTTCATAGATAAAGACAAGGTTATTTTCAATTTACATGGAAATGCAAAGGGACTAGAATAGCTAAAACAATTTTGAAAAAGAAGAATAAGGCCTGGCTGGTGTGGCTCAGTGGATTGAGCACCAGCCTGTGAACCAAAAGATTGCTGGTTTGATTCCCAGTCAGGTCACATGTCTAGGTTGTGGACCAAGTCCCCAGTTGGGGGCGTGTGAGAGGCAACTAATTGATGTATTTCACACACATCGAGGATTCTCTCCCTTTCTTTCTCCCTTTTTTTCCTGCTCTCTAAAAATAAATAAATAAAATCTTTAAAAAAAAAGAATAATAAAATGGGAGGATTCATCCACCTGATTTCCAGGCTTCTAATAGCTACAGTAATCAAGACTATGTATTGATGGAGGGACAGAATACAGACCCAGAAATGGACCCAAACAAATACACCCAACTGATTTTTGACATAAGTCGAAAAACAATCCAATGGAGGAAAGATAGCCTTTTCAACAAATGCTGTGGGAGGAACTGGACATTCAGAGATTTAAAAATGAACCTAGACCAACTTCTACACCTTGTACAAAAAGTAGCTTGAAATGTAAAAACCTAAATCTTTTAGGAAAAGAAGTTTAGGGGAATATATTTGGAATCTAGGATTGACACCAAAAGTACAGTCCTTCGAAGGAAAAATTGATAAACTGGGCTTCAGTAAAATTATAAACTCTGCTCTGTGAAAAATCCTGTTAAGAGGATACAAAGACAAGTGACAAGCTGGAAGAAAATATTTTCAAACCACATGTCTGACAAAGGACTAGTATCTAAAGTATTAAAAATAACTCTCAAAACACAACAGTAAAACAAAAATGGAAACAATCCAGTTAGAAAATGGGAAGTAGAAATAGAGACATGTCACCAAAGAGCATATAGTGATGATAAATAAGCACATGGGAAGATGTCTAAGGTCATCAGCCATTAGGAAAATGCTAAATAGACCACAGTGAGACATCACTACACATCTATCAGAGTATGTATATAAGATTTAAAATAATACCGCGCCAAGGGCTGGTGAGGCTGTGGCGAGGACAGGACCACAAGGAAGTCGCCGTGTATGTACACTGCATAAATAAATGATTAACAGGCTTCTGATGAGCTGGCCACCTCTAACGATCTAACACAATGATGGCGCATCACTTCTACTATACCCTTAATTACTTGCTTAATCCAAGGCAGGAGTATATCTCTTATTTGTGTATACCCAGAGCCCATGCCAGGTACACAGTAGGTACATGTTGGAGAAAATATACAAATGACCATAAAGGAAGAACAAAGTTTGCCTGACAGACAAATAATGTGGAAATACATGCCAATGAACAGATTTTATATATATTTATATTTATATTGCATATAATGATTTACTCATCAATCACATATTTCAAGGTTTAGTCCAACTTGATCTTGTGGCTCGATGTGGTTGATGGAGACTATTTTACATTTAGCCACAGTCAACTGGGTAACTCAGCTCTGGGCACCCAGGTGACCCAGGCCACCTGCTGACTTCCTGCAGTTAGACGCCAGGTGCCCACCTACAGGCTCTCTTCATGCTCTGGTCTACTCACCTCTCGGAAATCCTGCTCAAAATGCCGGAGCTGCAGACACTGTTCAAGTTTTTGCTGATGCTTTGCCCAAAACTCATCAAAGGCAGCCTCGGTTTCATTCAGCTGGGCCAGGAGCCTAGGAAAGAGAAGAGGCACCTGTGCTGTGTGTTGGAATGAGCCGTGAGGCCTTGGGAAGAATGGCGCCCTGCAATGTGAAGCAGCGGCGCGGGGCTCAGTCTCCAAGCAGCCTTCCTTAGACCCCTGCATCCTCTTTTCCTGGGGACTGAAGCCCAGGATTTGAGGGTAGGGGTTTCTTTAGAGACCACTGACTTGAGAGGAGGGTGGCTGGCTGAGTTTGTTAATTTTTACAAAGTCAAGATGGTATAGGTTTGGGGTTATTATTTAAAACTTTGATTCAGGGGTAAAAGAAGCAGTAAGCTGCCACAATGCACGGGTGGGTGAGGAGCTGCTTCCACCATTTACTGTCATCATTCCCTGATCTGAGAGCCCATGTGCTCCAAACACCATGCCGGGCAAGTAGGAACCGATTTTGCCCCACATCCACCGCGTCAGGTGTGCTCAGGCTAGCCTCATCGTATCACTAAAAAAACTGAGCCTAGGGGGAGTTGACAGCGTGCTCCAACCTCCTCCACTTGTGGCACCACATCTGCATGGGGCTGTCTTGTGCCCCAGGGCCTACTCTGTGTCCCTGGTATAGAACACCTGCTTGGCATATGAACTTCGGCCAGGAGGAGTTGAGAGTTAAAAAAATCAGCCAGGGTCCAGGCCAGGGTTTGCCTGTGATGGGCTGGGAGCCTCCGGACATGCTGTGCAGCTGCTCTACACCTGTCCCCGACCTGTCCCCAACCTGTCCCTGAACAAGGAGATGTGCCCTCGGTGCCGACCTGGCTTGCATGGGGAAGAGCGTAGAACAGGAAGGAAGTGTGTGGTGTGTGGACATCGCGGAGCATCACAAGATGTTAGCTAACAGCAGTTAACCGTGCGGACACTTTACCCTGTCATGCAGCTAGAAACTAAGGGAGGAAAGTACAAATGATCCCCTTTCCAGGGAAAGAAAAGACATGCTTTTATAACCTGGGGCTGGAGCTGAGAAAGGCCTCAGGCTGCTGCCTTACCTGTAAATAAGCGGAGACCAGGAGTGAAAGGGGAGAGGAAAGCATTGAGCACAGACCTACAAGCCTGACAGCTCCTGCCACCCCTGTTCTCCCTTAAATGACCTCTCCATGTGTATGGAAAAGAGTGATTACTCTAAGAAATCTCCCCAGAAAAGCTGCTTTCTTTGGCATTTGGAAGTAAAGCATTTCAGCGGCAAGGACTCGGAGGTCCTCTTGCTTCCCTTTGAAGTGAGGAAACAAGGCTCAGAGAGGCAACAAGGCACATGGCGTGGGGCCTCCTGCTCCTGTCTGTCTGTCCCTCTGTCTTCAGCCTATAGCCTCTTGTTTCCATAGAGGCCGTGCACCTGAGAGGCCCCTGTAGCCCGAGGTCCTCACCGCTGCACAGTGGTCTGATTGTCCAGCTGGTCCTGGTTCAGGCTCTGCTCCGGGCTCTTGGCCAGAGGCTCCCTGATGCTCTCCAGGATGCTCTGCCCCTCGTCCAGCGCCAACCTCATGTCCTCCTGTGGGAAGAGCACAGCACCTTGCACCCCAGGCCCACCCACTCCCCAGGACTCCGTCCAGGTTGGAGGGAATGGTGGGCTTTGTGAGGCACCCCCGTGAGAGGGGGGTGGGAAGGTCACGATGAGCGAGGTGGGCACAGCACCAGCCACAGTGAAGTCTTCCTGCCCCTGTGCTGACCGCTGACTCACTGGGGAAAGCAGGCAGGTGTCGGAGAGACTCCTCCCACTGCGACCAGGGCAGAGCTAGGGTTACGGGTCACTCAGGGGCAGCAGGATAAGGTAGGAGAGTAACAGGACACCAGGCCTCCAGGTGCCTGCTTCTGCAACCACCCTCGCTGCCAGGAGGGCAAGGGAGCGGGGGGATCTCTTGGAGTTGGTGGGGGCAGCCTCCAAGGACCACCAGTGTGTCATGGTCACTGCTGATTCAAAGCCTGCCAGGTGCAGGGGGCCAGGGGAGCACATCTCCCTCAGAACACATTTATCCAGGGAGTGATGGTAAGTACACAGGTTCAGCGACTACTTCATGAATTTCAGCCTCTCCAAGCCAGCCCACCACCTCTCTGCCGGCCGTCTATGGGACCCTGGAGGCAGAATTCCTGTCTTGGTTTACTAATAAGCAACAGAAACACCCAGATGAAGTACTCCGCTCACTGTAAGACAGTTTGGGAGCTGGTTCAGAGAGAAGCTGCATCTGATAACTTGCTTCAGTCAGATTTTACAAGTTACTCAAGCCAATCATGGAGTATCTGCATTGACAGCATTTGTTAACGCTGCTTTTAAAAAGGAGCGTGTCTCAGTCTTCATCACAGAGGTTACCCAGAGCATCAGCATCAAAAGGCATCTTTGAAGGCCCTTCAGTTTTGTCTTACCTAATGCCGACATCAGCTCTTTCTACTGCGCTATCTTGCACTCAGACATAAGACACCCCTCCACCCCCACAAAAGCCACGCATACCTTCGCTCTGTCTTTCTTCTCCGTGTGTGCGCAGAGCACTGAGCTCGTAGACTGTACGTCATTGGGCAGTTCCGTTTCGGCCAGCTCGGTCCCAAAGGACTGCAGCATCTGGGCCGTCTGCTTAACCATGAGGGCGAAACTTTCAATGGCCTTGGGAAGAGGGAAAACACCATCACAAAGCTTTGCACGCACCGCACCCTCCTGCTGCCTGAAAACCATCACCAAGGATCAGACGGGCATCTCTGCAGGGGGCAGAGCCACAGCAAGCCTGGTCTGTATAAAGTAAATACCTTCCCACTGGCTTCTTAGCCTCATGCCTTCTTCAGAAACATACCAGACACTCTTTACATATGCTTTCATCACCTAGAGTCATTCTATGCTCAACATCTCTCTCCTTGTTGAGAGAGGTGTGAGTGCCGCAAGCTACAACAATATGGGGTTTTTCTTTCTTTTCTGTCTCTTAGCCCAGAGAAAGCCACTCCCGAACTTATTACTCATGTTATTTCTTTGGATGACTAAGGTCCACTGAGACCATCATTGTTCGGGGAGAAAACTTGGGTTAACATGAACACGTCATTGGAAAAGGCAGCATCAAAATGCAAAAGCGATTCTAGAGAATTAACTAGGAATTATTGAGAACCACAGTTCGAAGCCAGCACCCGCCAGAGAGTGCCAGAAAGACTCACCGTGCGGTGACACAGCCACCTGGTGTGGCAGTAATCCAGGGTCCCACCCAGGTCCTCTGTCAACTGGGACTTGTCGATGTAACCGTGTAATTCTGGTACTGAGCTCAGCATTATGACCTAGAGGGGAAAGAAAACCACCTCCATAAACAAAACGCCCAGCACACAGAGTCAGGAAATGTTCTCCTGCTGGTTGCTAAGCGTGGCAGTGTGCACAGAGATCACTGGCTTTGGTGATCTCTGGTAAAACTGGGTTTAAATCCCAGCTCTATCACTAACTGGCTGGTTGACTTTGGGCAAGTCGTTTATTCTCCCTGTGTCTCAGCTTCCCCATTCATGGAATGGGTATATGATGATGGATCTTGTCAGATGACAGCCATCAAAGTATGCAAAACCCTTGACATAGCTGGGCTTGCAATGGTCATCAGGGATCTGATAAGCGTTTAGATGCTCCTCTGGCCAGGTGAGCTCAGCATGGTAATCAGACAGTGCTCGGACTTGAAAGAAGATAATTTTGGCTTTACTCCTGCTGAACTCCCGTGAGGTCATCACAGGTGCTAGTCAGAATCACTACAGCGCCCTTCACCTGCACGCGGCTACAGTGACCAAGCAAGCTCTTCCACACAGGACAAGGTTTCTAAAAAAATACTTTTCTTGTCCTTTCTGAGGTCATTCTGTCCATGAGTTTTGGATAAAAATATAGCCTCTCTTTGGAAGCTGTCACTCAGATGCTACAAAATAGGTCTTGAGAGGTTTAGTTTAAATGTTATTCGAAACCACCTCATGTATTATTAAATACTGTATTAGTTTAAAGCAGGGGTTCTCCCCCAGGGGATTCTGTCCCTCAGAGGACATTTGACAACAGCTGGGGACATTTCTGATTGTCACAATGTTGGGGTGGTGCTGCAGCATTTGGTGGGTGGACGGAAGGGGTGCCGCTAGGATCACGCACAGGACAGCTCCCGCAAAGAGAGTAATTCTGCCCAAACTGTCACCAGGGCCAATGTTGAGATCTCCTGACTGAAGCATAATCTTCATTTAAAAAGCAAGCTAAAATGTCAATTTAAGGTAGAAAACAGTTCTTAGCAGACATAACCCCATTCTCTCTTTGTTCCTCTCATAAAACTATATGCAGCCAAATTACCCCAATTCACGACCAGCAGGGCCAAATACTAGTTAACTGGGCAATCTAAGAATTAAAGTCACCTTCCTTTATGATTTCTGTACCTCAGTTAACATCCTCTGAAGTCTATGCTTTATATACATTTAACTACAACAGAAAGAGCACAGGGACCTGCTGTTTTTCTTAACATTTTCTACTAAGCACTGAGTTCAGCACACAGTACTGAACCATTGTCATGAACACATTTTTAACAACAGCATTCCAATGATGCTTTCTGTAACACTAAAGAATGATCTAAAATAGGTCAATGAATTGAAGATGCCGACATGACATTTGTGAAAACTGTTTTTGACAACTCACTAATTTGGCTGATACCAGGGAGCACCTTTTCCCCGAAGCTGCCCTGTGTGAGCTGGAGAAAGGAGATGAGGTAGGGATCACTTTGCAGGATCTGGGCCAACTACCCCCACTGGCAGCTTGGGGTTCCCTCTACAGGTCTTGGGGATGCTCATACCCACTTTCCCAGCCCCTCTCTTGTCCCCAGGTGCTGGCGGAGCCTGGCCTTTCCTCACTAGGAGACAGGCAATGGCACTCAGCATATTGGGCTCTCTTGTTTTTCAGCTTGACTCGCTGTAAGAATGTTCTAGACTCGTGGCTCTGACAAAATGCCTGTACTTGTAAGGTTTTCCATCCAAGGCCATGCTTTGCTCATTCAACCCAGGGATGGGGCATGGCAGATGGAAAAGAAGGATCATACTCTTCCTGGGTGCATAAGATAAAGTACAATACAATTTCCATCTGAGTCATTTGGGGCTTTATTTTTGCTCACAGCACTGAGGTTAGCACCATGAGAATTTCGATTGTTATAGAAGGGCCAAGAATGCAATTAAGTTTAGTTCTGCCTATGAAACTAAAGTAGCGTATACTTACCGGTACCTTCATCTTAAAGTCATCTCTGTTGAATTTGAAAGCAAGGTCAGAGAGAGTCCTTTGGAAAAATCCTGTTGGGCGCAGAACAAGGACGAGCTGGAGGTTTGCTGGGAAGGATGCCTGCAAGAGAACATCGTCTCTTAGGGCCGTGGCATCGTCTATGGACAGCCGTAGCTGAGCTTAGGGTTCCCACACAGCTGCAGCTAACTGCACAGTCTGGACGGGGAAGACTGAGCTTATGGGTCCAGTTGTTTTCAAGACATCAACACCACACTAAGATAAATAGACACTGGACTCTGTTAGAGACATCACCATTTCTTAAAAGAGAAGGGGAAAAGCCACATTGCTTGGTGCAACTATATTATACTACTTATAAATGAAAAAGTCAAAAGCTTATTTACACTTGTTACAGACTGAATTGTATCCCCTGAAGTTCGCAAACCGCTAGTGCCTCAGAATATGACCTTACTTGAAGGTAGGGTCCTTACAGAGGCAATTAGGCTAAAGTAAGGTATGGGGGTGGTCCTCTAACCCAGTGGCTGGTGCCCTTATAAAAAGGGGAAATTTGGATACAAAAGCACACAGGGAGATGCCACGTGAAGATGAAGGCAGAGGTGGGTGATGCGTCTACAAGCCAAGGATTGCCAAAGATTTCCAGCTACACCCGAAGCTGGCGAGAGTCTGGAATACCTTCACCCTCATAGCCATAAAGGGGATCAGCCCTGCGGATGCCTTGATCTTGGACTTCTGGCCTCCAGACTGTGAGGTAATAAAGTTCTGTTGTTTAAACCATCTGGTCTGGGAACTTGTTATAATAGCCACAGGGAACTAAGACACTTCTCAAATAGAAACAAAGCCATATAGGCACATATATGTATTACCTAAAAGAAAGATAAAAATAAGTGCGCATACGCATACCTTTAGATACAATTATGTCAATATGTTCAGTTACCAGCTCTGCTTACAAGGTATGTGACCTTGGGCAAGTTACTTAACGACCCTGTGCCTCAGTTTCCCCATCTTTGAAGTAGAGATAACACAGTGCCTTCCTCACTGCACATTCTTGCGGGTTAAATGACCTAAGACAAATGCAGAATTTAGCACAGTGCTCACGCGAAGCACTAAAAAATGTGGCGATGACAGATATATAGTAAAAGGCTATTCGAGATGCCAGATTATTTCCAGATGCTGAAATCCAGGGAGATCCCATTACTAAAACAAGAAATTTTGAGGCAAAATGAGTTTTATTTCCAGATGACTAGGCTAAAATGCTCCTAAAATATAATACATAATAAAGAATGGCACAGCCCGAAGGCCTGAAACAGATACAGCAGGAAGAAATGGAAGAGGAGAATCCGGTCATTCCCAGGTCCCACTCTAACACCCATGCTGGTCTCAGCAGCACTGGCAGAAGTGAGCCCTGCAAGGCACGGAGCTGGAGAGTCCCCTGTCGTAGACCAGCGGGTAGCCCACCTGCACACCAGAACCCACTACAGCTGTGGATATTCCTAGGCTGTGCGGTGATGTCCACGCTGTGTCTGTGACCTGGCCACTCCTTGAGCTTCCACCTGAAGGTCCTCGATACCTGCTGGGCACCTCCATCGTCTTCCAGGGACCTTGAGGGCAGCGCTAAGACTTCAGTGATCCGCCGCCTCTGGGTCAGGGGTGAGGCACGGACACTTCCTGCCTGCAGCCCCCCAGGCAAACCCTCACTCAGCCTTCCGACATGTCTCTGCACACCGGCAGAGCCCTGGAAGACAAGCACCGTGTGTCCTTGGTCGCCAGCACCTTAGCAGAGGCTGGCTAAGTGTTTGTAGCTGCGTGGACAGGGAGGTGAACTGTCATGAGGTGCCATCTGCCCAGCTGCGGTCTGCACAGTCACCCACATTCACCGGCTGGACCCACAGCTGGGCTGGGTGGGATTATTTTGAGGAGGATAGGGGGTCCCTGAACCCTGCGCCCTGCGTCTCACCATCGCACTCCATGTTTGGATACAAAACTGTGGGGATGCACAGGGCCATGGGGGAGGCCCGATGGCTCAGTACCGACTCAGGAGGAAGGGTGAAATTAGCACTCCTTCAGAGATCTCTCCATTGCGCCCTCTCCTGTTGGCCTGCGCCAATGCTCACAAAGTTCGATTCCTTTCGGTGGAAAAAAACAACTGCTCAGAACCATGAAGAGTCAGAAGCCTGGGTTACTTATCAACAAGAGAACTGTGCAAACCTGTCACCATCATTTGTGAAATTGGCCACCACTATTTAAGGAAAATATCCTTATGAAAGTCTCTTTCTACAGGTCACAATGAGTCATGCTTTTCTAAATTTCAATATCGTTTTCATCACCCTTGTTTACACCTCATGGCAGATGTGCTTTGTAAGAACAAGTCTGAACTTATAAAACTGTGTCCTTGTCCTTCAGTGATTTCACTTAGATTAACTCAACACAGGTGGCAAGAAGACCCCCCGGCAGTGGCTCTCCCTCACTCCGCCCTGAGAGGAGACACTGAACTGGTTAAGCCTGTGGCTGGAGGTGACTATCAACATAAAAAATAGTTCATTCTTCTCCTTTTCTCTGCTTCAGTGTTTCCATTTCTTTAAGTTATTGAATCTTTATAAAAGAGTAATTGGAAGACCCTAGCCCAGTGAGAAGGTTTAATGACATACACAAACACATATTTTGAATATAAACAACAATAAATTAAATTTTCTCTGGGTTAGAGCCAACCACATGTACTAACAGCTGGAGAAAATAACAAAATAAAAACTTTATTTAAAAAATAAAAGTAACTACTGAAAAAAATAATAAAGATAACTAGATGGAGTATTTGGGATAAAGGCTATAAAATAACATCTTTTTGTAACTTACTCATTAATCACATAATCATAAAATGATTAAAATAGGTTCCAATTTAATATAAAAGCAATATTGTTTATTTTCAGGGGCTGACCTTGATTCACTCAGGAACACATGTAATATGAAGACTATACAAATGTAATTTAGGGACAGAAAAAGAGGAGTTAACTGGCTTCTGCATTAATATTCTTAGAGACTTACAAAATGAAGAGGCAACACAGCTCAAGCCAACAGAGAACATTAGAAATTCTGCAGAACCCTGGAGCTTTGGGAACGCTGTTTGAAATCCTTGCCAGGTTCAAGTAACTGCCTTCACTTCTGCTGAAAGCCACAGTGATCTAGCCTGATGTTATATGCTTTATTTCAAATGGAGCAGCTAGAGCCTGGCCAATGACATTTGCCTCATAGTAGTCAAACAACAAATGCAAGTGTGTATAATAAATATAAATTTGAACGTTTGGACCTCACTGTTAGGAGTTGAAAAGCCCACAGCCTGAATCAGAGAAGCTGACTGTGAGCAGAGGCCTCCAGCTCCCAGGGCTGCGTTCCCCGCCTTTGGATGTGAGCGTTAAGGATGGGGCACCTAAGACCAGCCCCTCAAAAACAGTGTTGGGACTACCATAAACATCGTTAATTAAAGACGTTGAATGAAGAACGGGTAGGAAGGGCATGATCTCTGAGTGAAGGACGATCATTGCACTGAATGCTCTCAGCATTAGGAACCCTGCGTGGCCGGCCTTCCTTCGGGACACTGTGGGGACCAGCAGTGTCACCGCTCACGTCTTCGCCTCCACCGGGCACTCGCTGCCCCGTGCTTAGGCCTCTCGTAACTGGCACACAGTAGGAATTTAGTAGCGTTGTTTAATATAATATTATTTTGCCATGTATGGTGAATTTACTAAATGACCTAAAAATCCTGGGTCCCTTGGATGCCTCATGTTGTACGCTTTCTGCACTCACAGGCAGTACTGGCTTTATAGGCAAAAATCAGAATTCTACCCATGCAGATTAAAACGACTTTAACTGCAATTTCCTTCAGCGGCATACTCTAGGATATAGATTTAGCTTGAATTAGGCTAGCTCTAAACTTAAATATGTACACTCTATTACAAAACCCTCAAATGCTAACACACACATGCATGCTCGCACATATATGTAGCTCAGATGTGGATTAAAATTTGAAATGGGATACTAGAAGAGACACTTAAGGTGTTTTATAAAAGATACATCTATCCCAGGACAGAACCAACTGTTAGACAAAGAGCGATGTTTGAATTCTCAGATTTGTGCCTTGTCTCTACCCATGTCCACCCACGGAGATCGTGATCTGTGAGAGGTAAGGACACCCCTCGCCCTCTACACCCCATCACAGCTGATAAAGTCTCTATTTTTGATGAAGGCACAAGTCTGATTTTCAAAAACAATGGACTTTGGCTCCTCCAATGCCTTATTTTTCTATTTCAAGCCAAGCCGATGGCATCCGAAAAAGAACACCCCAAATTAAGGAAAGCTCAGCTCATGAGACAGCACACATGGTGGCTAAAAATAGCCCTGAATTTCATGGCATTGTGTAAGCGCTGAGCCTCAATCCGGGGTCCAGACACATTTGGAGATAAATAGAGCCTCTGTGGCTGACTTGCTTTTGTAGCATGTGCAAAGTGGCTGGGGTGCTCTGGCGGAATTGTGCACGCCGGTGCACCCGTGCACGTGCTGATCCGAGGGCGCTGAGCCCGGCTGACACCAGGTGGCTGTTTCCCAAAGCTCCCTCAGGTGACAGCATGAGCCAGCTGAAGGTAACGTTCCTGGTTCACAGCCCCGGGTGACAGCCTAAGTGTACCAGCTCTGTCCTACCCAGCTCCCCTGCATGGGGACAACGGTGCCAGTTCTGTCTTCCACCTCCGGGTCCCACCACAGAGCTGTGCTGGAAATCAGACCCACATCCTGGGCCTCACTCTTATCACAATGTTCCGTCAGCTGTCTGCACCCTACTTGGCTGTATACTCCTTGCTTATATCCCCAAGACAGTTCCAGGCACACAGCAGGGTCTTCATAAATGTTTTGAAAACATGAATAGAATTTTTGGTATTAATATTAGTAATTTCTTATAACAAAAAGCATTGGAGTTCAAAGAGAATTTTTGAAAATTCTGCCTGAAAAATGCTAACTTCTGGGATTTCCAAATAAGTATTGGGGGACTCGGAGAGTTACAGGAAAAAGGATGGAAAAACACCCCTATTTTTATTGTGTAAGAATCGGTGCAAACCTTAAAAACTCAGACACCAACTTTTTAGCTAAGATTTTCACAAAACAAAGTTCTAGAAATGAGCCAGCTTGCTTCAGAAAGTAGCCCGATTATAAACTTGATGATGAATAAAATTCTGATTATACTTGGCATCTTGAGAGCTTGCCTTGGACAGCTTGGGCAGGCTCGCCTTGGACCACACTGCTGAATTGTAGGGTGATTTGAAGGATTTACTACCACTTAAAAAAAAAAACCACTTTATCTGTTTCTTAAAAAGCAACCCTACATTTGGTTAAGTTTTTATCTCTAACCAGGAGCAACTGATGGGCTTGAGAACTATTCATGGTGAACCTGCTTTACATGGGGCCTTGGCTGGGTGCCCAGCCACACACATATGGACAGGGCTAGGCCTTGACTTTAAGGAAGCCATGCTGTGCAAAGAAAGAAAGACTGTGTACTTCCATAAAACAGAAGGAAAGCAGGAGGTTCCCAGAGAAGTGCTCCTCTGCTGGGAGGCTAGCTAGGCGAGGGGATGCGGACGGATGGGAAGCCACCTGGGGCCCAGGGGCGGGGGGGGGGGGTGCATTCCGGAGAGAGACACGTGTGCAGCAGCGATGAGAAGCGCTCTCTGACAAAGATGAGAGACCTGGACCCCACAGGGCACGCCTGTGGCCATGTGGGAACGTCAAGAGTACTTTGTGAATTTCTGAGAATTGTAAAATGAAGGAAATTTGATAATATAACAGCAATTTTCAACTGGTGTGCCCCAAGAATTTTTGAAACATGCGGTTCCTGGCTATTTGGTCAGGGGCCCTGGCCTCTTTTCCCTTCGATTGTCAAACCAAAAAAATGCCAACAGCCAACACAATAGCCATCAGTGTGAATGAATCAAAATTATACCTATGTATTTTGTCAGGTTGGCAAAAAAATATACCTTTTGGTGTGTTGCAGAATTTTTGTTACTAGTTTGTGTGTTGTGAGATTTTTTTTAAAAAAGGTTGAAAATTTCTGATACAACACCTGACTTCTTTTGAAACACCCTGAAGTGTTATGATTTGCTTCAAATACATGATGTCATAGGAAGTGTGTGCCAGGTGGGGATAGGGAATAGGAGGCAAACCTGGGTGGTACAGGGAGCAGCTTTATCAGAAGGACAAAGGTGGGATCCAGTAGTTCAAGAACGGGTTTGTACCGAAACAATGGAAGTCGTAAGAGCCAGAGCAGTTACTGAACCTTTACTTGTCACTAAGATGAACCTCAGCACAGCAGCCTCCCTGAGGCCAAGAACCAAAGATGGTTGAACACAAGACACAGAACAAGAGGTTAGGAGAATTTCACTCTATTGGGAGTTTGGTTTTTGAAAAACACTTGGGAGCAGTGGCGCCATGACAGCCGAGGGAGGACCCGGCCACAGTCACTCTGGGTCACCCTGCTTGCCAACAACCTAACTTTTCAGTCGTTTGGCTGCCGGGAATGAGTGAGGGTGAAACTCAGCACGGTGAGCTACGCCCCATGGCAGAGATCATAAGGGTGGGTGGAAGCTACTGCTGAAAATAAGATTCAGGAGCTCTCTGCTCACTGAGCTCCTCCCTCCTAAATGGTTACTGCAGGCTTACAGCGGCCCTAGCAACCACGCCGGCTGGCTGCTCTGCAGCCCTGGAGGGCAGCTTGCAGTCTGCAAACCAACTCTATGAATATAAAGATCGATTCCTTGGAAATAAGGTTTCTAAATGCAGGAATGGATTACCAAGGAAGACTAAGGCATCGGATTCAGCCGCAAAACTTAAGAACAGACAGTCCATTTGGAAAAGAGAGAGTCACTTAGGAAAAGCTATAGTGTTAAACTTCTAGCCTGAAGGTTCTCTGTAATGCATTCAACACCCTGCTATTTGGGACCAGTGCTCTATTTAAGAATGAATACACAGTAAAATTCTGAGCATTTCACACACTCAATGGTCAGAAATGGTCAGAAAGAGCTGGTGGAATTGATTTCAAATTAAAATAGGCCCCCTAAGAGTTAACCCATCTGAGAACAGACATGCACATAGGTGTGTATACATGCGCACACACAAACATGCCCTAGCAATGGAAGAAGCCAAGGAGGTGGGGCTCCCAAGTGCCCCTGGGCCTGGCCTCAGGCCACCCTGGGCTGGTCTTCTGAGCTGGCTGCACACCACAGCTCTGCACAGCATGGTGGCAGCCTGAACCCAAACTGCTGCCCTGGCGGGCGGGTTGCTAGAAGAGAAACACTGCTGTCACCCGGTCCAGGAAAAGAGTAGGTGGGAACATCACAGAGCCGGGGCACTGACACTTACTGCTATTCGCAGGACTGATGCCTTCACCGAAGTCCATTTGTCCTGCCTTCGGTCTATGACCAGGATGAATCCGATGCCAGCATCCTGTAAGCTGAAATGATGGGGAGAGATATCGGCAATTAATGGGCGTAGCAGGAAGACAGGCTTTCATGTAATCTCTAAGAAAACCTTATGATAAAATGATTCCTCCTATAATCCTTATGCCACTTCCGCACTGCAAAGTAAAATGCGTGCCAAGTAGGCGTCTGAGCAGACTGCAGCATTTCCATGAACCTCGTCCGGGCAATTTCCAATTGCTCTCATCTAAAGATGGACCAGTGTTTTCTGTGTTTTGCTTATTTCCCAGGCTAACAACGACCATTTCACAAGGCAAAGATCCAGGCAGAGCCCATCTTTCCTGGAGCTCAGTCAATTTTTGTTCCACAGTAGGAGCCCAGTCATTTTCATTTCTAGGTTGACTAGCTGGCTGAACTCTCCAAGACAGGTGTTAAGACACGCACGGTACGTTAGTCCTAGTATCTGAGGCCCCCGTGTTCATCCACATCAGAAAACTGCTCTTGATGGCATCGCTACAACTTTGGGAGAAAATCCCCGAGGCGTCTGAAGGCTCAGGAGCATCTGGTGGGAGGAGGAGAGGAGATGAGGCTCCTTGCAACAGCAACATCTGTGACAGAGATAACACTGAGCCGCTGTGTAATGATAACCTCAGTCCTGACTTAGCCTAACGCAGGAGCCTGAGTCACAGCGTAGAGACAAGGAGGTCCTCCTCCGTTGGCTAATTTTACATCCGAGCCAATTGTGTAATGCCAGCAGCTGCCGCTGCCAGCCAATCGACACAGGCGTGAGAAGGGCAGCCTGAGGCAACGGTGGGAATCACTAATTTCCAAGCCTCTGAACCTAAGGGAGCCACTTCTTGGTTTAAATGAAAGTCAGAATGACACGAACAAACATAAATGATGCAGTCTGTGAAAGCCTGCTGTAAACGTTATGTAATAAAGTCAGAGCTGTCATACCCCAAACCCTTCCTGACCCTCAGATTTAATGACAGTGACAGCGATAACACACAATGCACATCTGTGGGTGCACACCTGCGTGGGTGGGTGCACACCTGCGTGGGTGTGGGCTGTTGACTGTATCTTTATCCACACTAGAAGATGAAGGACTCTATGTATCGGGGTCTGGTTCAACAACAGCAAAAGCCTTCTGGGTAAATGTACAAATCAACATCAACTTTCATTCAGAACAGCCTGTCTGCTGCTGGCATTAGAGCCCACGTGTGCGCACACACTGAGAAGGCAATGATGCTGTTTCACAGCTGCACAGAGTGCTCCAGACAGACCTGTTTCCTGAGCTGCCAGTGTTCTTATGGAAGTAAGGTTTGTTTTTGTTTTGTGTCTGACTCAAGTTTCAGTGCCTGAAACCTAGATTCACAGCAGCCTTGCTCCCCACTGCACCTCAGCAGCAAGTGCTCAACACAGATGGCTGGCCAGCTTGCCTGATTCAGGCTGGGCAGGTCGGGTAGGAAGCTGAGTCGGAACAGAAACCCTAGTCCCCAGCCTGGACACTTCTTCTGGGAAGAGGGTTTTTTGTTCTTTAGGGTTGTTACTGGCCAGCCACTACACTAAAAGCTCAATTGATATTCTTCCTTTAATCCTCATAACAACCCTATGAGGAAGCTCAGAGATGAGGCACTGAGGCAGAGAGGGGTTAAGTTTTTTGCCCCAAAATCACAGTTAGTGAGCACAGATGGAGTGAACCCCATGATTTGGCTCTGAGTCAGAGCTCTCAGCTGTCTGCCAGCTGCCTCCCAGGCCAAGCCCACCCTGAGGAATGAAAGAAGCCTCCTCCCGCCCCTCCCGCCCCTGGGCTGCATCTTAATGCCGGGCCAGCCAGGGGCCTGCTCTTCAGGGGTCCTTCCTCCACGGCCGGGTGTCAGGGGACATATTGAGGGGGCCTGGCTCCAGAAGTAGCCAGCAAAGATGCCCGCACACCAGAACCCAGCTCAGGGTCCAGGGAAACGCTCTTCCATGTCCTCCTCATCTTGTCTCTTGCCATATTTTGGGACCAGTGACTCAGAGGTGCATAGACTTAACTAACATATGGCATCTTATGTAAGGATGCAGAGACCCTTCTAGGCTCCCATGTGCCCACGTGACTGCGGCCCCAGAGCCAGGCCATGCCATTTGCCCCGTTCCCCAGGGGTTGAGGTACAGCGGACCATCGGGTTCCGTCATTCCACCCACCACCAGGCTAAGGAAGGTCTGGATCTGCCCACATGAATGGAGGCCCTGGAGCTCAGGAAGCCCTGCTACACTCCCTCTCCACCCTTGAATATATGACCTCATATGCCCAGGGGGCAGGGCGGCTCATGCTTGCCAGGGGCTGCCCCCCATAAAGTCCCTTGCGTGCCAGGCCTTGGGCTGACTGCATTGAAGGTGGTGGCAGCGGAGTAAACAGGGAATACATAGTTCAGAAGCTGGCAGCCACACAAAGTGTCCCAGTACCACCGGCACACATGGCCTGCAACACACAGATGTTGGCCTCCAACCTCAAAACACTTGGACCAGAGGGCCGCCCTGGCCAGCTGCCCAGCAGCTGAGTGAGGCCGATGAGCTCACTATTGACCTAAATAATTAAAAGAGGCAAGGAGCTTGCATAAACGGTTTCTGGGATTCATCCATTCACTAGTGCTGTCTCTAAGCCCTCAAGACTCACTGGCCTTGGGCACCCATGGGCCTGCTAACTCCATCCGGGTGGCCCTCAGAAGCCTGGGGCACACAGGCCTGTCAGCTCTGGGTTTGACCTCACCAATGCAGGGCAGGAGCAGCGAGCAGCATGAGAACAGTCCAGACACAAGCGCTGGGCGGTTCCCTGCCAGTGAGTGAGGTCTGCCGTCACTTGGCATTGTATTTATCTAGTTCTTGGCTGAGCTGCATCTTGCTCCCCAGCCTGGGTGGGCCTTGCCTCCTCCCCCTCCTCTGGTTTAGACCCAATTTATCACAGAGCAGGGATGGGCGGAGACACAAAGAGGAACCAGGGTGACAGAGGAGGAAAGGCATTCATAGAGAGAATGGCCCTGGCCGGGAGAGCTGAGGGGCAGAGGGGGCAGTGAAACGGGCCTGCCTCTCCAACGGCAATGTGTACAGAGCGCTCTTGCAGAGTTTGTTAAAATGCTGATTCAGCTCAGGAGGCCAAAGTGAGGCCCCCCTTAGTGCATTTCTAACAAGCTCCCCATGCTGCTGATGCTGCCGGTCCAAAGACCGCACCCCGAGGGGCAAGTCCCCTAGACGAGTCCTGAGGACGCCCTGTGTGGGGGAGAGATGCTGTATCTGTCTGAGTGCCTGACTTTCTGCACAGAGGAAGAGCCCAGGGCAAGCTGGGACACCAGGTGTGGCTGCTAGCCTGTGGGACTTGGGCAGGGTCAGGAAAGGGGGGTGGGAAGGAAGGGAGTGGTGGCAGCGACAAGATCCCCCCTCCGAATAGCACAAGGAGATGCTCAGGTGGAGTGAAGCGGGGTCCCAGGGACGCAGCAGGGAGAGCAGTGCGGAGGTTTCGGGGCACCGGCGGCATGCTGGAGGGCAGGGAGTCAGTGGAGGTGAGCAGTCCGGTGGCTGGTGGGAGAGGGAGGTGCTGACGCCGGTGACAGGCCAGATGGTGTTTTTGGAAGAGAGGCCATTGGGAAGAAATCTTGAGGGACTGGGAGGTCACTGCCCCGCTCCAGAACAGCAGGGCCAGGGCCCGGCACCACACACCTTCCTGCTGGGCCACTGTCCCCACACCTGTCCTCTCCCCCCTCTCAAGAGGCAGGGTGTTCAGGAGAAGGAAGGAGGGCAGTACCTATGGGCAGCTTGTATTCCAAGCCTGGCCATATGCACAACTGAAAACATACTGTGTCCTAGTTATACGAATAAACAAGCACCAGCGAAGTGCAGGAACAGGTAGAAACCGGAGGAGGAGCTTTTACGTCAGAATTTTTAAATCTGTTCTGGCTGATGGCGCCCTCTTGTGGTTGGAAGTGAGTGCTGCCCGTGACCAAGCAAGCACTGGGTGCTGCAGGCGCGAATGCGAGGGGGCAGGCCAACTTTAACCAGCTGTAATGTGGTTACAGTGACTTCTGGGGAGCCCACCATCCTCTCTGGCCCCTGGACACTACTACAGTGTCCCAGAGACCTGTTAGGTTATATGTGTGGGAGTCCTGCCTGGCCCAGAGCAGTCTGAAGGGCTCAGAGCCTGAGGACCGAAGTCTCAACATGATAATCTAGCATTCAAGTGTGCTTTTAAAATTATAAAATTTGGTCTTGCTCCCCATCTGGTCTTCTAAAAACCAGGATGACAGGACAGCCTTAAGACAGCCCTGCTTTGGGACAAATCCCTTAACGCTGGGGAAGTTATCCTCTCGTGATCCTGTGGCTGATTCCTGCTGGGCCTGGATTTTTAAGAATGGGAGGGACCATCACTCAAGAGGGCCCAATAGGCTGAGGGCATCACAAAAGGTTCACTGGAGTCCGTCGCTGCAGCCTCTGTGAGTGCTCCCCACAGCAGGCTCTCCTGCGTGTCTGGCTGCTGCCGAAGCTGGAGTTTGGGGCAGCTGACCCAGTTTTAAATTACTGTAGCTGATGCGAAGGCTCAGCAGGCTCGGAAGCCACTGCACTCCTCCTGGGCTGCGGGGGAGGGGCTTCTCAGGAGAAGAGACCATACCGAAGCCCTAGTTACGGAAATCACGGGCTCAATGCTCTCTCTTAGAATTAGGAATTAGTGATCCCACTGCTTGAAAGACCTTTGATATGATTATTCCCCCCTCCCTGGAAAGACCTGGAGGGGACTGGGTTCTGTAGCTGGTTTGGGGTACACCGGAAAGGACCCCGACTATGCCAAACTGCCTCTGCCCTTCCCTTGTGGCAGAGTGAGCGTTTGGTGCCATCAGATCTCTGGCAGCCGAGGGATCAGGTGTGCTGCAGTGGAAGCCCTGACCTTCCCAGGAGCCATCATCACCCCAGGTCTGCCTGGGAGCTGCATCCGCTGGCCCTGACCGCAGGCCCGCTCAGGGCCACACCCTGTCTGTCCCCTGCCGTGCCCAGCCCGAATGAATGA